TAATGGGAAAACCCAATAAAAAATTAGAGACAATGCAAAAAGCACCCTGACATGAGCTCATCCAAATATCAATACGGTGAGGAAAGGTAACATCATAACATCTTAGGTGTTTGCCTCCACTCCGCCAATATGACTGTTGTGGTGGTAAAGGTTTAATTAAATGTGAAACCTGTGAAGGATATTTACAGGAACCATGAGAGATTATTCATACAACCTTCAGCTTCATAGGCTTGTATTCAAAAGGACATTTAATAACATTAGAGCAAACAATAGATAGATGGAAGGATGAACGGATGAGGTAACATGATTGAAAATCACTTGAATTTTAAACTGAGCTAACCATGCAAACCAGGCCAAAGAAACATGTGCATGCTTTAAGTAATCTCAAGCACACAGCAAAACCATCCACATCAACTACCTTCTTGGACCAGCATGTCAAGGCCAGCCAGAGTGGTAGGGGCTGTGACAGACAGATTAAGTCACACAAATTATAAATACTATAAACACCAGATGGATGTACCACCCTCAAACAAGTAGTCCTTTTGCATTTGTGCTCAACTGTGGGTTTGCACATGTATCATTTAACCAGCACTATTCAAACTAGAAAACCTTGTACTCATTAGTAATAACCACGACTAGTAATGTCAGGCATGCCACCAATATTTGATGTGATAGAGAACTCAATGCTACTGTTGAACAGGATCAACAGGGCATATCACCAGCCATGTCATTCCTGTGGAACCAATTTGACAGGTGAATAGCATATGACACCCCCAGATATAACTCACCATACTCCAAGTATGCCCTACATCTCATTAATTTACATTTTGTATGTAAAAATGCAAAGCTTTCTAAATATCAAACATTGAGGAGTTTCTCAATCTAAAAAGGAAAACCAACCACAACCAAGTTAGAAAAATATCTACCAAACGTCTTGTACCAAAATCACTGTAATGGCCATTGTTGGAAAACAAACAATCTGACTGGTTACATCACCAGTTGAATGACTCTGACACATCGTAGCAAAGGCACTTAAAAACGATGCATTGTGATCCTATAATACTATTACAATCCTTGTGATATACAGTACAACGAGAAATTATTGAGAATTTAAAGATTGTAAATTTTTTTTATTTTTTCACTCATTACTCACGTATTAAATGTGAATATTACTAGCAGAACTCCAGATTCAAAGACAGGTGAACAGTTAGTATTTTGTCAAGTCACCATGGGCAGCAATGCAGGCTTCAATGCGGCTGGGCATACTACTGATCAAAGAAGTTAGAAAGTCGTGGTCCATGCTGTCCCAATATCGGACCACCTCTTCTTTCATTTCAGCAATATTTGTCAGATTTTTCTTATTGACACTTTCCTTCATAAGTCTCCAAAACATTTTCTATTTGATTTAGGTCAGGGCTATAAGCTTGGCCAATCTAATAATGTCATAGTTTGGGTCCGAAACCAGGCCTGTGAATGCTTTGAACGATGTTTTGGGTCGTTGTCCTGCTGGAAAATCCAAACATTCCCATAGAACACGTGAGCAGATGGAAGTAAATGTCCCTCGAGAATATCTGTGTACCGCTCACTATTCATATTCCCTTCAAATACAAAGAGGGGCCACCCCCACACGTTAAATTTCGGACTGTACTTTGGGCGCTGATACAAAGGTTTTTCAGTTTGTTTGGTCCAGAATTTCAGTGTATTAGGAAACAGCCACACAGAACTTTCATCTGAGAAAATCACATTGTCCCAGTTAAAATTTCTATGCCCTAAGCACCAGTTCAACCTTCGCTCCTTTTGTTCAGGTTTCATGATCAGTGATGGAATTCCTCGACTTTTCCGCCAACCCATTGCATGCAGCTCAGTTCTAATTGTCTCCTTACAGACAGCCACAGTTCCTCTATCATTCATATCCAGCCTTAAGTTTTCTAAACTCCCTCGTTTGTTTTTAGAAACAAGAATACCAAGCCGCCTCCTGTCACCGACAGTCAATTTTCTGGGCCTACCTGCGCCTCCCTGGTGGTCAATGCCATATCCATTTGCAATATTTTTCAAAACACGATAAACAGTGGACAAAGGGATGCCTGTTCTACTTGAAATCACTTTAGCTGATCTGATGTCCTTGTTATGATACTCTAAAATCAACTTCCTCTTCTCTAAATCATCCATACTGAGGATCACTGAAGAAGTCATCTGCTAGCAAGTAAACAAAGGGGATAACTCTTCACAAACTAATGAAAAAGGATTTACGGTGTTGTCTCTCTTGAATGAATACAAACACTTGATAGCTGGTCAAGGTTGTTTATACTAGAAATCCAATTAAACATATTCCTAAAATTCTCAATAATTTCTGGTCATACTATATCTACCTTATTGTTCTATAATGAGTTATCGTTGGTTATGTGGATGATAAAACCTATAGAACTGCAGAAAAATGCAGCACATGAAAAGAATCATATGATTTGCAATTTTATCTAACAGGAGAAAGCAGAAGGACGTAGTTGGCTAACTACCATCGAGACATTTCCAGACTAGATTCCAGTTCCTGTTACATTGAACATATAAAACATAATTAACTACTGAATCATCACCTCCACCTGTTTATGGTACACAAGAGATTGCCTTCTCTCCTATGTTGTCCTTTTGTTATATCTGGTTCGTGACACTATCATGAAACACAAAATCACAAATCAGGTCTAACGTACTAATGTACTGTTAATAAAGTATTTCATCATACATGCTATATAGCTATGTCTGTATATTTTCCCACTGGTTTGTTTGGAAGCAACTTATACTTGAGCAATATCCCCTAAATTCTAATTATTTTTCATGGTGTATTCATATCAAACAGTGATGTCAAATAGTTGTACTCATATTAAACAGTGATGTCAAAATAGTCCCTTATTCACATAAGTGATGTTCAGATGAAAGGGCATAAAATACTAAGCTGATGCCTAGATTAGTAATGTCTATATGTGAAGATAAGACCTTATAACAATATCTGAAAATGCCCCCAAACCCTAATTATTAACAAAAATCTATCATCGATGTACTAAACAAGGATTTTCATTTTTGGAATAAATTAATAACTAATGTGAAAATGCTTCCAAATCATGCTATTCAAGTATTATAAGAATTTTATCTGAAACTATAAAGACAAGATTTATGTCATACTGTAACTGAAAATTTACTGAGTATATCATCAACCTATGCATCTGTCAGTAGTGATCTTATTGCAGTCAGGAAAGCAGAAGCACATTTCGAAACACACTTCTTGTGTACCTCCTGTTGAGGGTGGTCTTTGCCGATATCTGAAGATTCATTACATTGGACGCAATCATATCACAGTTTAAAAATGTCATGTGCATACTTCACATTCACATGAATCATATCTTCATTTTTGAATGTAACATCAAAAGGTGATCCATAATCGAGTGTTAAACCAAAATTATTGAGAAGAATGCATGTGGTGTATCGGTACACCTACAGCTTTTACACATGCCTTGCATTGTTGGAGAAAGTATAAGTAGGTACCTGTAGCTTGAACAAGGTGGTCAAAGCCTGGGTGGTACTGGGTAATGAAGCTCTCTGTGACATGAAAATCAAATTCTTTTGGACAAAGGGGTTTGGTGGCCGTACTGATTCATGGGCAATGCTAAGACAAATCTGGAGTCATAGCACCTTAGGCAGTGTGCTGTTTACTTCAAAACCCTTATGGCAATGCTTACAACACCACCTATACCAAGCAGTAAGTGTTGATGCATTTTCCTTGTATCTATCAGCAACATGAGGAGATTGGGACAGGGTTGAAAGCTGCTGACTCTCCACATCAAGCTGCTGAAGCCAGCACCCAAGAGAGTGACAGTGATGGCACTACATGAGGAGATTGGGACAGGGTTGGAAGCTGCTGACTCTCCACATCAAGCTGCTGAAGCCAGCACCCAAGAGAGTGACAGTGATGGCACTACATGAGGAGATTGGGACAGGGTTGGAAGCTGCTGACTCTCCACATCAAGCTGCTGAGGCCAGCACCCAAGAGAGTGACAGTGATGGCACTACATGAGGAGATTGGGACAGGGTTGGAAGCTGCTGACTCTCCACATCAAGCTGCTAAAGCCAGCACCCAAGAGAGTGACAGTGATGGCACTACATGAGGAGATTGGGACAGGGTTGGAAGCTGCTGACTCTCCACATCAAGCTGCTAAAGCCAGCACCGAAGAGAGTGACAGTGATGACACTACATGAGGAGATTGGGACAGGGTTGGAATCTGCTGACTCTCCACATCAAGCTGCTAAAGCCAGCACCCAAGAGAGTGACAGTGATGGTTAGCAGTAGCCAACCAGTGATCAGCCAAGCTTCACCTTCCTTCGGGAAGATAGATAATAGTCTAAAAAAGACTAGTTCCACCTTTGAAAAACTAGGTTAATATTATGGAGTTACACTGTGGCTGGATTAAGTAGTCTATGAACAGTCAACTTTAAAAAACAAACCAGATATAATCTTGGCTCCTAAATTATGAGGCTACTTCCTCAAATTACTTAGCGAAATCATGCACTAAATTTTTATCTGGTTTTCATGTCGGGATGAAAATGAAGAAATGCATAAAGTCAATGACACTTTACTTGGTAAATTTGGGCAGTTCATCACCTGATTTTACACATAGATTACAAATATACAATGACGAAAACTAATGAGTAGATATCATGATGCCACTAACCTGTCCTAAGTAATACACCGTGGATAAGATGAAAAGATTTTCATTGTACTCATAAAATCTACTTTACAAAGGCATTTGACAGTACCTATGTATTTATTGCATTTTCCATCTATTTGATACAACACAGACATGTAACTTATTAATGACATGCAGGTGACATAGTCATGATTAATTTCCACAACTAAATGGAGTTCTTAAAGTCATATATTACATATAAGTCCTCACAGCAAATCAAGTGTTACTTCGTTAGTAGAATGTACATGCAAATATGAAGAAATTTACCACAGGCTATTTCACTTCCATCAGGAGCAGGAATAGGCTCTGAATCGTCAAAAGTTAAAGTCATTGACATCAAACAATAGTCATAACTGCTATAAATTCAGAGAATACTATGTCTATTACAACATTACCTTCATCCTGTATTTCAGCTGTCATCACACAAACACATCGTCCAATATTTCCCTTTTGCTCTAACACTGTCAAACCCTCCATAACAAAATGTGACTATAAAAGTATCTCTGGGTCAAAATCTATGAAAAAAACTCTCAGGCAACAGAAGAAAAAAACCGCAGGTGGTTCCAGTACAAACTGTTGCATAGAATTCTTCTCACCAAGTCCTTCCTCTATAAAATAAAATAATCTCTGCACTTTCTGTTCTTCATGTGACGAAACTTTCATTCACTTGTTTTGGCAGTGTCCATTTGTAGATATATTTTGGAATAACTTCCATGGATGGTTAACAGAGACATGTGACCATATATTCAATCTGAAGCTCTCTGCTGAACTTGTTGTATTTAGGTGTGACTCTAATACTGTCACAGATACTGTTTTTGACCTCTTAATTAATTAATTAATTAATGGCTAATTTTTGTGTGTATAAATGTCGGTGTCAGGGAGTAAAGCCACACATTGATGGTTTTAAGAAAGTGTGTGAACAGAGGTATTCTGTTGAGAAAATTAGTTTCTCAAGCAGAAATAAACTCAATAAATTTTACACAAAGTGGGCATTTTATCATCCCTTTTCAGTAAGTCTAGCCTAAGGATACGTGAAAAGCAGACACATAGTAAAAGCTAGCTGTTTAATTTAAACTCGCAACAGTATGAGTATGAATGTGAGTGTGAATGTTTTGTTTTGTTTTTTGGTTTTTGTTTTTCTCTTCTGTTTTTCTTTTAGAAAATGTCAGATTGTCTACCTGTAAGATTGCATACCTTACAACTGAGACTCACCCTTACCCTGGCTGTGTTTCCGGTGAGATTCAAATTTACCAGTCCATGGGACTGGTAAGCCATTATTTTCACCAGTCCACTTCTTTTCCATGTTAATAAAGATAACAACATGAATGTGTGTGTGTTTGTGTTTCATTTTTAATAACAACAAACGTATCAAACTCATTCGAACATGAAATGTGAAATGACATCATGTTACTAGTAAACCGCAAGTTTGTTTGGCAGTACTTGTACAGGTATCAACTGTTAATTACACTTTTCTTTTCTTGGTTTTACGGAATAGTTCGGATGCTCTTGTGTAGTCGAAACGGTCATTAGCATGCATGTTGAGAATCATGATTGTTCATACGATGCTGCGCAAGACGGTTTCTGCTTGCAGTGTGGATTCTATTTTGCAAGCTAAATCCCCTCTCGGCAGGCACGCTACTCACCGGTATTGTGAGCGCAATTTCAGCGAGAGTACTGAAGTCTGGGAAGATGTCAGCATATTCAGTTATAAGAACTTTGCAAGTCATGTCAAAATTACCACTTCCAATGCCAGAATTGACACGTTTGAATTGCTGGAAATCACGAAGCGACCGATCCCGGTCGATATATGGCGTCGTGACATCATTGTTGTCTTGACCAATCACAGGGCAGAAGTGACCTAGTAGCACCGTAAGGGAATCCCCACCAGAGTTAGCTAGATCTTCTTTTGTGTCAGGATATTTGTCAGGATTAAGCACATTGTCCAACGCTTGCAGAAGGTCCAGGGATTTCTCAGGGAATCTCTTATCAAGGGAATTACAAGATCTTCAATAAAGCATGTCCTCATGGCTTCCACTGATCGTTTGTCCGCAGAAGTGATTTTTATTCCTCGGAACTGACTCTGTCCCTCTTTCAAATTCTCTTCTAGGAACTTTTCGTTCTCCCCCTTTTCTTTAATCAAATCTTGGAGTGATTCCTTAGTGGACAAGACCATTGGTCTGATAAAAGCCAGATTTAAAACTTCTCTCTGGAAAACGGTCACTAGCTTTTCCATAAGCGGCAAAACGTCACTCAACATGTATGCTGTTGCAACGAAAGAATACGCTTTCATTTTTTTTGAAATTCCTGTCGCTGCCGTATTGTTGCGTTCCGCCCCCTCCTCCTCGATTTCCATGACTAATGCAGGCCAGTTACGTTTAGTTGAGTTTACAGCCCGCCCTAAAGAGAGCCATCTAACAGCACATAGTTGTTTTATGCTGGAAAACTCAGAATCATCCAAAACTTCACTAAGTTCCCTCAGTCTTGCATACCTCGACGCTGAATTCTGATAAAGTTTGTACACCTGATTTAATGTATTGCGGTACTCTGTAATAGTTCCGGAAAGTTTAGCAGCATCCTGTGAAGCTAAAGCCACGCGATGGGCAATGCAATGCACATGGATAAGAAAAGGGGAGTCCTGTGTAAGTTGAACACCGACGTTAGTTTTGCGGCCTGTCATGACACTGGCACCGTCAGTTCCCAAACCAATGATTTTTCGAGTGGAATGCCCCATTGGTCAGCCACCTGTCGTACTTTCTGAGCAATGCACTCAGCATTACCGCTGTGTACTGTGAAATTTCCTAAAAAGATAGTCTCTGCTTTTCCATGGTGTACTAAGCGAGCAAACATGATGAGGTTTTTTTCAACAGTTACGTTCACAGTTTCATCCATGATTAGCCTGACAAACCGACTTTGCGACAATTTCTGTTTAAGATTCTCAATGGTACACTCCGTTAATGCTTCTTCCATTTCGTCAATTGAATCAGAATGTGAGTATATAACTCCACTTAAAGATGAACAGCCATTTCTCTTCTGTAGGTCAATAAGCCCCTTGAACTTGTTTCTTGGTACATTTTCCTTAGCCATATATAAAACTGTTCGCATCATAGCAGTCAAGCTATCATCATTTTTCGTCTGAATATCACTAACGTGAGATTCCATAGCCTTCTTTTGAGATAAACGAACCACTGCTTCATGATGGTTAGCGCTGTCACGGTGCTCTTTAAGGGCGGATTTTTGGAAATTGATACAGCCTTTAGTAAAGCCGTTTATTTATGCCGCAGCCTCACAAATTCGACCAAACATAACACCCGCCCCCGACTGCTTTTGATTGTCATATCGGAGCCATGGAAACTCCTCTTTCCAATTGGTATTGAATTTTCTGGACTTTTTGGATTTTGTTTCACATACTGTTTTGCTGGAAGTTGACTGTTTCTCATTTACATCTAATTTTCGTTTAGAACCAAAGAGCCCAGAAAGCGTCGTCTGCTTTGAGGCCGCCATTTTCAAACTGTAAACTTAGGAACCGTTCATAATTTATGGCAAGGCGGGTGATGATGATTTTTATAAAGAAGCACGTACAATGTGAATGATCCCCCTAAAATTTACGTACAAATTAAGTGACGCCCCCCACCTTGCAAATCATGTACAAAATCAGTGACCTCTGTCCCTTCCCATAATTTCCAAGCTTAATATTTTTATGTACAAAATTGCTTACTCCCCCAGTATATGTGTACAGAATTGTTGACCCCCCTGCCTCCCCAGAACAAAATGGGTGACAGCCCCTCTTAAAATCATCATCAACCCCGTAGCCATACACTATGAATGGTCTCTTAATATGTCCATTCCCCATCGTAAAGTTTTTTTACTATTGGCCCCGATAGAGTATTGTAATCTGATGCATTATAGCCTCACGCCAAAATGCCTCTCATCTGGGTCGAGGCTATGCGAGACGTCCAGCCAATGACAATAATCGCTAGGGGCTGTTACTAAAAATAGACACGGAATTCCTTACACGTATCGCATATGGTGCAGATCGAATTTACAAGGCAGTTTCCTTTAATCTAACAGTTGCTGGTAATTTGTATTGCCAATTTGGAGGAAATGATTTAATCGGGTGAATTTATTGCTGGTCCCCAGGACTTGTTTGCCATAAATATACCGGTACTTTGACTTTTTAACCGGTAAAATACTGGCATATGCCGGTAAACGGAAACACTGCCCTGGAGGTGATCCTCAATCCTGTAACAGGGACTTTTGGGCAATAAAAACATTGAAATAAAAAAATAACATAAATAAAAGTATCTCCCTTCTCATGACTCTCATGTATATGCCAGATGGGAAAAGCTCACCTCTTTCTAACACATTTCGTGGGTGTTAATTTTTTCACAATGGTCAAATGAAATTTCTAGCAGTTAACTATCCTTGACTTCCACAACATTGTAACCTACCATTGTTGCATGCTTATGAGTTCTTTGATATCAATGTAAACATAAATTAAGAGCTGAATTTATTTTATAATAAGGAATAACAAACAGAGCAGCACATTCTCAGCCCATAATCATATTAGTTATTAAGTAATCATGTATGTCATTCACTGGTATTCACTGTGGTATATGGTGTATAATAATTATCACTGTTATGGGGTCATTGGCTGTTCCAGATCTGATTTTCAACAGCTGGAATCAGTTCCATTTAAAGTCATAGAAAAGCAGATGTTGAAGCTTCGACTGACTCGGCCTAAAAGCTGAGAAAACTCCTTGTGAAATCCTCCTGACATGAGATGTCGCTGGAAAGTTTCCATACATTACGTGGAGCTGTTCCAGGTTGCGCTGGAATCTGTGAGACTTTGGTTGTCTGAGAAGCCTTGGCGAAAAAGGCAGATGTAATGGTTGATCCCACCAGCAGGGATAGAACATCCATGGGCATGTCTGATGATTCCTTATCTTGGCTAGGATTTCTGGGATGAGCACTGTCTTAAGCGATCATGCATTCCCAAGAAGTCGTCATTGCATCCACTGCGTTAGCTAGAGGATCAGGAACTGGGCTGATGTAAGTTGGTAACTGAGCGACATTGCAAACAGATCTGTATGAGACTGCTCCCCTTTGATTGCTGTCTGTCTGCAGGTGTCTGGATGAAGAGTCCATTCCATAGATAGGAATTTGTCCAGACGAGATAGAATATGCTGCATATGGACTTGAGAGTGGGTTGTAAGCTACTACCATGGAATTGTCCATAGCGTTTTGAGCAGTTCCTTAGGTGTAGCACACAGTGCTGAATAGCAAGGAGAACTGCCTATATCTCCAGAATGTTGATGTGGACTGGAGAAGAGGCACCCTGATTCGAGTTCTGTGGATGATGGTGTTAACAATATTCCACCATTCAAGGTCTTTGAACACTAATCTATAGGCTCCATGACAGTGTTTAGCTGTGTTCCTCCATTAGTTGATCCCATCTTGAACGTATCTTAGATGCAGATGGCCTTTGGATGTAAGATCCAGCATAGAAGTGAGAGCTTCTAGTAGCGACATCCATTGATGAAGAATGTGAGGAGATCACACTGAAACTAACATCTCGATGACGTTCCTTTGGAGGATAAACTAGGCCTCAACCGGTGTCAAATATAGCTATGATATAAAGCTTTACCTTCTTCGGTTGAAGTTCAGGCATTTCCATTGAACCAGGAACCCAAAATTTTCAAAGAAAGCTTGCAAATATTGAGAGTCTTGTAAATGTGCATCTACATCAGTGTTTGGAGACAACAAAATCGTCCAGGTACACATGAATTTGTATATGTTGAAGATGTAAATAGACATTGATTGGAGCTGTGATGATTGAGAATAGCCACCAGCGACTGATATTCTGCACAGTAAAACCCAGAACTTGAAGAGCAAACGTTGGTATCTTTGAGAGTCCGGATGAATTGGAACATATAGATATGCATTCTGCAGGTCTATGAAGATCATAGTGACTGTTTATCTGAGTTCATCTCTTGTTTTCGAGTTTGAAGTTCTGCAGATCAATAATCATATTGAGGTCTCCTTCTTGGGGATCAGGAACACTGGAGAGAAAAACCCTGGTCCGGGCCCCAAAGGATCAACCTTGATGACAGCCCTGTTTTCCAAGAGCTTGTCTATAGCTGCCAAGAAACTTGGGTTATACTAATATCCTATTGGGTGTGTCATCAAGAAGGGTCTCTTGGTGAATTGCAGGTGAAATCTTGTTAACTTTGAGGATCCACTGATTGGTTGTTATGATCTTCCACTGGACCCTTAACACACCTTTATAGGAAATATGTGCATCTTTTACACATAATTGTTTTATATAGCCAAGGTCGAGGTCAGTGCAGCTGAACTCTAATGTTGGCCTGAAACACTTTCCTGTATGCCTTGGAATGAGACTTGGGCTTGTTTCTGATGTCCTGTCAGAGATCCACTCTCAAGAACTTGCACGGGTCAAAGCCCTTGATGATAGGCCGCGTCCACCTGCACTCCAGCATCTGGGGGATGCCAACTTTCTCTGTACATCTGGTATATCAGCACTTCCACCTGGAGGAGTCAGGGTCTCAGGTCATCCTGAAATGCTCACACTTCCAGAGACAACATGTTTTTCGCTTCAATGTTTACCAAACTGGCAACTGTGTACTTCTGTGCACCTCTGAAATGTATTCAGCTATTACACAGATGAAAATCACTCTTTAGTTAACTACTAATAACCTAAACTAAAGATACTAACTGTGCTGTGACAATGTTGAAATTAAGTTACAATGACAGTAACTTACATAGGAAACAAGTGAGCTTCTACCATCTTGTGCATGTGCAAGAGGCATGGGAAAGGAAATACTCTTAGAGTCACAAGTTATTATGGATAGTTGATAGAAGAGGATGTCTGTTGAAAATCTGACGACTGGTGTGAATCAGGGTTTAGCCAATGCTATAATTGAGGTGTTGTCTTTGTTTTGTATTCAGTTTATCAGCCAACCAAACTTTTAGATAAATCATAGCAGCAATACACATGACCCATTTAGCACGTTTTGGTAATTAATGCAAGAAACCATCTGATCACCTTTGGAAATAATTACCACCTACATGGTTTAGTAGATAGACTGCCTGGACTGAGGCAAGTTGGTGGTTGGATATCATACAAATGACCTGTTTGACTTCTATTTCAGAAAGTGTCAACTTATTGTAAAGGTAATATACGTTTATGGATAAAACAACCTCAGATGACAGCACCTTTAGCTCCTGTTAACAACTAATATGAGAAAAGCAGCCAAATTCCCTTTCAAAACACCTCGTTACCAGAATCACACCCTCCACACCACTGTCCACAGAGAGCCAGCCCAATCAGTCCTGTACATTCATTTCCAGTCCTGAACCAAAACTGGCATAATCTCAACTCTCACAAGAACAGTGATCAATCTCTTCTATGTCTCTACAGAAGAAATTCAGCCCCTCTGCCATTGGGAGCCAGTGGAAGGAAAACTTCAGAACATCATGAACATGCCCTAATCACAACACTTTGTTGGATGAAGTACAAATCCTATCAAGCCATCTCAATGACTTTACCAAACAAAATTTAACTGAAGCCCTTCAAATCCAACAACACAAACCCTTAATAAACAGTGATCAAGGATACCTCATGACCTCTGACCAATGAACTGATTCAACAACAGAACACTCCAGCTTTCGTGTCTAAAATATGTTATCAGCACTGTATATGTGTACCTCATTACAAGGGTTCCGGGGCAGTAGGTAGCCAAGTGGTTAAAGCATTCGCTCGTCATGCCGAAGACCCAGGTTCAGAATCCCCACATGGGTACAATGTGTGAAGCCCATTTTGGGGTCCCCCGCCGTGATATTGCTGGAATATTGCTAAAAGGAATATCTATTACTGCCATAAATTTATGCTGATGTCACATGGCATGCCCAACAGCACCGCCATAAAAACTTACCATAACAAGTGATAGTTTTCTGAATTTGTATTTGAGATATACCTGTGCACATTTTCATTCCCATATAAGGTGGCATTCATAGGTTTTCAATCCCACCATTTGGCTGTCCTGCGTTGCACTAGCAAACAAGCCAGTCAAGTGAGGTGAGTAAGTCCAGTCAAGTAGGTAGGGACCAGGGTCAATAAATGTAGCAGACAAAATAAATCTGGGTCTGCCTTAGCAACAGGTAACGTACATGGCTGAGCTACCTGCAACCTTACAGTGGAGGCAACATGTCTGAGTGTTAACATGGGTGGTGGAGATACAGGATAGGGCACTGCCATGGGGAACGACAACCCCCATAGCCGGCTGTGCTCTGGACCTCAAAACTGGCATTCAGAGATATTCTAAAAAAATACTCAATCTCACCTCTACTGTAATTTGAAATATCAAGAAAGAGAGCCACTCAATGTTTGGTAAGCACTGATACCAAAACATTATCTGCATAAATACTGAGGCTAAAAGCTAACAGTAAAATGTAAATATGTTCTCATAAGGAGAACCATACATGCCAAACAAAATTGTACAAAATATGGCAGAGTAATGGCCATGAAAAGATATTTCAGTATGACTGTGCACTGCAAGAATAGGAACAAAACTTAAGCTTTGGAATAAATACAGATGTCACAGCTGGTGGGAACAAGCTAGCATGAGAAGTTTGAGAGCCGCTGGTCCAGTGCCAGGAAGGCATTTTGATGAACAAAGGTCAAATTAAACCTATACCAAAAATGACTGCAGTTTTTTTTAAAAAGTGCCATAACACGGTAGCTCACCTGAATATATAGTTGACAATCTAAAATGTTAACAAAGACAGACATGTAATTCCTTAGTGGTCACAGTGAGTCTAAAATTATCAGTGCATATACACTCTAATTTTTCAATATGGTGTCACAACATATAAGTCTCTTTATTCATAATATTCTCATAAGTAAAAAGAGATCTCAAAATATTTCGAAATGCTACAATATATAGATTAGGGCTGTAAACTAAGGGATATGATCTCAAAACAAAACAAACCTTGTGCACCAAGCATTGTCGCTTTGACAGTAGATAGGATTTTTAACTGCGTGCCGATTGTAGGGATTCTTTCACATACTTGCAGTAGATTCTGAAAGGGAAAAACAATCATTATGTATTTCTTCCTCTCTCATACAAGAAGGAACAAATGAATATTTATTTATTTATTTCAGTTTTAGCTCTCTACTCTTAAGCACGTATCTGTACAAAATGTGGAGAAAACTACGAAATATGCAAAATACAGTGACAAAGTTGTCAACTGTCAGAAAGAAAGATATCTGCTGGACTATCTCATTAAAGCAAAACATGTGTTTCAAGTAACATTTCTGGACAACTTATGGGTTTTATACATGTAACCCCAGTTTCTTCTTTTGGATTATGTAATGCATAGTGCCTGAAAATATAGCAATTTTAAAAACTATTCCAGCAGTGTGGCTGACAGCAGTTTAAGGTGACTTCTTCAGGGCACGTATTGCTGGTCATGGTAGTAACACATCAGGACACACCTTTATATATACTGTGATGTCATGTGCACTTCTGCTTTACTAACATCACATCCAGTTGAGGAAAATGAATGCCCAATGCTCCAGACTTTTGAACAGAAAGTTTTATGCCTGAAGCTACTTCAACAACAAAGTATTAATCTCTTCCCATGGCCTCTCTACAAGACTGACACGTAACAGCAGCTCTGTGGCAAGACATCTTTAAGACAGAACATCCTATTGATCTTACAAAGGAATAGCTATCTGAATAATACAGAAAATTTGAACTATAAATTGTATATTTATAATGCTTATCCTATCTCACGGAGTGTACTCTCTTTCTTTTATTTGACTGTAGAGTGGAAACAAACTGCAAATAAAGTTTGTGGCCTCTCTTGAACCCTTCGCCCGAACATTCCCCACTACTCCCTACTCCCAGCCTGGTAATGCTCCTGAGAAGCATGCAGCCTGCTCTCTGGTTGATCACGTGACTTCCCAGCCTTGTCATTCTCGTCTTGGAGCAACTGTCATAATCTGTGAAGTGGGGATGGTCGGACAGGAATCCATTGTGTAGGATAAGTATTATAAATATACAATTTGTGGCGTGGTTGGCGAGCTGGCTAAGGCACCAGGCTAGTGATCTAGAGAGCTTGAGGTGACGGGATTGAGCCCTACTGTGACCGGGTGTAAAAACCTTGGAGTCAACTTTGTGTGCAGACTCTTTCAGTGTTGTCACAATCCCAAGTGTACAGTACACAACCCTGTGCACTTAAAAGAACCCACGAATCCGTTGGTATATGACCAGATGGTGGCCACATGAAAACGTGTAAAACACCTAGTTGCGGGTACAGCAACGTGCAGTAAACTTGGACAAAGTACTGTGACTATGTTTCCCAGTCCACCCAGCTGTGAATGGGTCCCTTGTAAGGATCGGAGAGCCACATTAACTTAAGGGCGCCTAAATGGCTGCAAAAGTTGTATGATCCCAAGGGAGTTGAGACTGACATCAATGACTGAGGGAAAAACAAAGCGCCTTCGAGCAGCTAGGCTGAGCTGGATATTGGTGCTATACAAATATCATATAATATAAATAATAACAGTTACACAAATCCAAACCCATGTAGATCCATAGTCAGACGTTTCTGCGGACTCGTAACCAAATGATAGATAATCCCTATCCAGTAGTACTGGATAGATGGTACCTCAAAATGAGAATCGGTACCCAATGAAATACATATGATTCGAAACATTAATTGTTTGTATTGCATTTCATATCTGCAGCATTGACCAACTGAAAATATATATGACTTTGCTTGAATTGTGTTTCATATAACAACATATGAGTAGTCAAATCACTCTCTATGTAAAAAGCTTCATGTTACACTGTCCAAACTCCAAGAACTTGTGGTTTGAATACTAAAACTTCAATGTGCCACCACAATCAAACGCATGTGCATAGGTGACTGAGTGAGCAGTAGTGAATGAAATCATGTTTTAAGAAGTGAAAATTCTTTCATCTTTGGATGAGTTATTGGAAAGGAGATGGTCATGAGAGACATGTTCATGAGTTTCATAATGCAACATACAAAATATCAAAGTTTCAAATATACCTAAAGAACAAATGCAATAAATTGCATCATGAAGCAGAATTTGATTTTGAAAGTAAAACTTAAACATTTTGGTGAACTTCCAAAAGAGCCAAAGCATAAGGAGGTCCACCAATCTTCCCAATAACTGCTTGTTATTTTAATACATATAAAGTAAGGATGTATGTTGACTCTTCCAGTGTTATCAAGCTGGCGTGACTACAACCAACCGGAATATCGATGTGGTGATATAAGTATGAGATTGGAGAGTAGTCTCCAACTTAACTGGCTCTTTCGGTAAGAATTAAATATACATGACATGATTCTGCATCAGTTAGATTATCGGAAAAACATAAAACACATATCCAACCAAAAATAAAAAGCAAATACCATACTTTTGGTTTGTTTTTGTTTCAACATTTCACTATCCCAGCATGTGTTACATGCCAAGATTTTTAAAGTCAGCTGCTTAAAACTAAAAATAAACAGCGCAACTAGAAACAATCTGAATAACACATGATGTGGTGCAAAAGTAGTGTTCAATAGAGCTATTCCGGTGAGGGTGAAGCTTGCATTAGATATGGCATACAGCATTGCAAGGGCAACATATTTAATACCGGTATGGGCGATAGGCTAGGTGATGGAGATAATCACTCAGTATGAAACACTTTAATCAGGAAACAATAGGGCATTGTAAATTTAGTGGAAGAGCTCCCCCAAAACATTTACTTTCATTTAATAACATTAGATTATGGGGAAAAAAAATAGACTACGAACACAAGTAAGTTTCTGTAAGGAAGATATATACACACGCCAAGTTTCAGACCAGCCAAAGCGGTGTACCCTTCAGTGAAAGACAAGCAGGTTTTAAATAGACCACGATTTATGTCCCTACCAAACAGCTGTGAACTTCACTGACCCAGAGCTTATGTATATTGTTTACGTTGGTTTATATTCAGTGTTCTTAACATAAATAATGCAATCAAACTGCATGTAGAGGGCTTAGAACATTAATGTTACAAAATCATTCATTGTAGCAGATATGTATATACCCAGTACGTACCATTCTCATCTTTTTGTCTGTGCAGTCAGCAGCTAACTTCTTTGCCAGCCTTGTCACTTCTTCAGATGCTTCGGCAATACCTTTTGCAGTGGCAATCAGATCCTTTTTGGTTCCCCCTTCACCTCTGTGGACAAACAAGGGATGATAAACAGCCAATTTTGACAAAACATCTGAACAAGTATCATGTATGGAGTTATTACAAATAGATGATCACTTTTCATCACTAAACGTGTCTTGCAAAAAGAAATCCTTCGGATTTGTTCTCCACTGGTGATAAACGACCGGAATAGAAAGAATGTATGTCACACTGTATGTAAATGGTTGCAATATCCAAACTAGCTAAAAGGCAAACAGGCAAAGCATGCAAAAGATTACAGTGAGTAAGACATCAGCACTCGGGGATGATTTGATTATGAAAGAAAAGAGCACGTCATGGTAAATTTTTTCACATATTATCCACATAGCAATGACTGAGCACTGTGCCAGAGAATGAAACAGCGTAATATTCTTGCTATTTGGCTAACATCACTATAAAGATATCCTCAGATTTGTTGTTATGTGTCCTTTCCTTGACTCCAGTGTCTGCAGCCCATACTGTCAGAGCTGACCCTGTCACTGGCGCTAAGTTTAGTCAGATATGTTTCTATGGTCGGTGACATGGTGAGTGAGTGAGTTTATTTTTACACTGCACTAAGCAGTATTCCAGCTATATGGCAGCGGTGTGTAAATAATTATTTTTTTATCAAATAAAAATTTTGAGCAAAAGTAGGAAAATACATTTCCAGAATAAACTGAAATGGATATATAACTCAAACCTTGTAGACAATTTGAGTTAGGTAGATAGGTTACATGAGTTGTTTTGTATTTTTGGTTTTAGAAATGTGACTGAGTTAGAACCTCAACTGTTTCAAATTGTTAAACTCAGTTTGAAATTTGAGTAAAAACTTAAGTTGGTTTCGAGAAATAGGGGCCTGTTCACTTAGATATTCTGGTGCCAGAGTATTTTAAACATCTGTAACGGGTTGTTTGGAAGCCGTGGCTGTAGGTAAATTCCAATGTAACTGGTGAAGAGATGACGAAAATCTATAGCATCCTTGTACAATGCAAAGTGGAAGAGATTGTCAAGTGGAGACAAGATCAACAGCTCCCTGACACCCTTATATCTATCCCCCTGATGGTAGATTATCTACCGAGAGTTGACAGGTGAGAAATTCAAATGCCGTTTCACAAGTGATGAATTGGGAAGAGATGGCTTGGGAGTCCCTTCTGCTTGACGTAAAAGGTGACTAATGGGATCGGGTGGTCAGGCATTTCTGACTTGGTTAGATATGTCATCGCATCCCAATTGTGTAGATCGATGCTATGTTGTTGATCACTGGATTGTCTGGTCCAGACTTGTTAATTACCGACCGCCGCCATAAAGCTTGAATATTGCTGAGTGAGGCGTAAAACTTAACTCGCTCACTCCATGGTTGATACTCGGCTTCCAGCGTATAGACTATAGAGCATCCCAACTGCGTACAGGTATAGACTCTAGACTATGGCTCTTGCTGGCGCCATACGAGTTTGTACAGCTTACGACCCAGTGAGCGTGACCTGAGCGCAGTCAATGCAGTATGGCTTTTGCGGCTGTGACCCCACCATGCAGAAAAACGATTGTCAGCCAAGCAGGCTTACTGATAGTTGGGTCAAGCAGTTGAACCCCCCAGGATTGATGGTAGGGCCCCGTGCGGCTCGTGTCAGCAGTGTAACAGCAGCAAGATCTAGTGGTCCAAGCTTGATTTTGATTTAGTCCTAGGCTTAGCCTTTGACTTCGATTCTAACACGAGTAGATCTCTTAGTAGATTGACTAGTTCCCATGACAAGAGCTTCCGCTTTCAGATGATGAACTCGAGGTGTCCATTTAATCCAATCATCTTTAGAAAGTTCTAGACACAATGAACATCAGTTATTAAACGACCAGGGAGGACCTGTGAAGCAGGAGGTACATAGAAAATGGGGATCCAAATCAGCCATAAATTTTTGACATTGCAGACACTGCTTGTGACATTATGATTTTTGTCAGGGGAAATTAGAGTTTAATAAAGTAGATGAAATGCAAGCAATATGCACAAAATATAGAATGCGATTGTCAGAAACATAATCCACTTGCACAAAGCCGATCTTAGCGCGATTGTAAGACCGCATGGATTTAAGATCGCGATCTTAGCTAAGATCGCACTCTTCTACGGCGGAGGTGCGAATTTCTTAAACTCGACTCCTGTCTACAGTTGTCTGCAAGTGCGCATAGCATACTGCGCAAATAGAGAGGGATACTGGTCCCTGCACACAATACATACCTCCCTCAATCGCACTTTGCAGAATTTTCATGAAAAACATTCCAAGAAATCTTCGAAGGAAACGATTACGTGGACGATAGCATATATTTTTCTACATTTTAACTGTCTTGATTTATGAACTGAGAATGTGATATTTCAACCACGGAAATACCTACCCATGTTTTATGAAAATATTGAACTGCGAAAAAATACATTCATAAATTTGGGTCTAGATTTAGTGACTTAATAATTATGAAAATTATAATAATATATCAAATATCGACAATATGTATTTATGATATAACACCTAAATGCATGATTTGCCACTGGTTGTCAATTAGACATTGTTTAATGCACAGCTGTTTTTTTTCCTTTTTTTGTGAGTGTGTGTGTGTAAAATCCTAAATATACCCTAGAAGTATTGGTTTTCTCACAATATAACAAGAAAATGTAATATGGCTACAGAAGTGTTGTAAAGAATTCATGACAGGGAAATACGAATATCAAATAATATATCGAGAGAGCAGTTGTTAAATACTCATTCACAGTATATTAATGATATGACCCTATTAGCGTGATAAATATTTTTCTAAAAGTGAAATTAAAATTGAATCTTGATTTTGCACGCGTTAACTTCTATCTAATTTTTATTACTTTAATGATTAACTAAGACAAAATCACTCCATCACCGAAAAAGAAAATATCTTGAGCACTGCGATTTGGCATGACAGACTCTACGGCAACGGCATAGGCCAGGGAAACCACTCCCATCTTGCCCATAAACTAAAATTATCTGCTCTTGAGTTAATGAAAAGGTCACGGTCATTGTTAATCGCACGCGGACACCATTTGCTAGTATCCTTCCTTGATTATCAAAAAGGTATGTTGTTTCACACTTATTCCAACATTGAATCGGGTGGGAATAGTACTTTGTGATATCGACTCAATAGTTCTGTGGTTCACTACAGCAAATAACAATGTATCCGACGTTAAATCGGTTGTACATTCTCCGTGTTGAAGTGTCGAGGCGAATCATACAGTACAGTTTTATGCAATATGAAAGCAATCTCCAAACGTAAAGCTGATTATTTGCTTGAAACTTGAACACCATTTTGTCACAGACTACAATGATCTTAGCTCCTTACAATTGGTCCGGACCAATTGTAAGTTTCGATTGTAACTTACAACGATCTTAGCCTACAATCGCTTTGTGCAAGTCGATGGCGATTGTAGCTGAAGCCTAAGATCGCGATCTTATGGATTTACAATAATTGTAGCGCTAAGATCGTTCTGTGCAAGTGGGCCCTGGAGTCTTGTAGTTCTTGAAAATTTGAAGAAAATTTTAAAACACTCCCACTCTGTAAACACGTCTTCTGTGTTGTCCATACAGAAAAATTATGAGAGGTTTTCAACAACTATGTTGTGACATCACTGCTAAGGGAGATAACTGCATAACTCTTTAACCATACCACTAGAGATAGCTATGGCTTAGTTAAAAGTTTCATTTCCATTCTGTATGTGTGACAAATGCAACCATAATCCAGAGGGAACATTTACGACATAATTCCTCAGTGTCGTCAGGCCCCAGTATTGTGGACAGTGGTGGAATTACTAAGTCTGTCTGGCTGTCCGGGTAACTGATTCTCAGCAATAAAGTCACATCTAAGACAAAGAAAGACATTGCCATGCCTCTTCCGTTCAAAACACACTCGGTTAACATCCAGGGCATGTAGTTCTGAGATAAGTGCAGCGGTTGCAAGGTCTTGAAAGAAATACACTTGAATTCTTTCTCCTTTAGATGCTTGCACTCATTTGAGGCGAGGTGTCCAATGACGACCGAGAGGTCACAAGCTGGTGGCCGGAATTTCTTGGACTTGTCGGCCAGTTTAAGTGCCTTGAGCATGTACTAGTTGTGTGCATATGTGCGCTATATAAATATCCCATCATCGTCATCATCATCATCATCATCTATACAAGCATAGTAGAGACTGGAGTTCAGGGACAGTAAAGACTTTACCACCCGAAGCTGTGGCTAATACAGTATTGATGGCTGCTAGATATGTAGTTAACATAGAGCTTTTCAATTTCCTGGAGGTACATAAGAGTTGCAGATACTCAGCAACTATTTTAGGTGATGCTGTGGAAGGAGAAATGATGCCCTCCATCTTGCAAAAAGCCTCAAAATTCCTCCATTTGTTGTCGCAAAGAGCTTGAGTAGCCATTCGCTTCGAATAACCCTTGGCGATCAAGGACTTAAGCAAATGGACCATACATGTAGATGGAACGTCTGTGGAGACCAAAGTAGCTGATCAGGGTGGATCAGTATATCAGTATATCATCGCGGTCAGGAAGTAGTACTGGGTTTGGATAAGGCGCAACCAAAAGCAGTGTGATCGCTGATGGGATACTGGAGGGATTGCTAAACCCAGAGGGATCACTGGAGGATTGCCGATCCTGAAGGGATCACCAATACTGGAGGGATCGCCAAACCAGGAGGCATCACTGGAGGATCACCGATCCTGAAGGGATCACCAATACTCGAGGGAACGCTTGAGGATCGCCGATCCTGAAGGGATCACCAATACTGGAGGGAACGTTGGAGGATCGCCGATCCTGAAGGGATCACCAATACTGGAGGGAACGCTGGAGGATCGCCGATCCTGAAGGGATCACCAATACTGGAGGGATCGCTGGAGGATCGCCGATCCTGAAGGGATCACCAATACTGGAGGGAACGCTGGAGGATCGCCGATCCTGAAGGGATCACCAATACTGGAGGGATCGCTGATCTTGAAGGGATCACCAATACTGGAAGGAACGCTGGAGGATCGCCGATCCTGAAGGAATCACCAATACTGGAAGGAACGCTGGAGGATCGCCGATCCTGAAGGGATCACCAATACTGGAGGGATCGCTGGAGGATCGCCGATCCTGAAGGGATCACCAATACTGGAAGGAACGCTGGAGGATCGCCGATCCTGAAGGGATCACCAATACTGGAGGGATCGCTGGAGGATCGCCGATCCTGAAGGGATCACCAATACTGGAGGGATCGCTGATCTTGAAGGGATCACCAATACTGGGGGGACGCTGGAGGATCGCCGATCCTGAAGGGATCACCAATACTGGAGGGATCGCTGGAGGATCGCCGATCCTGAAGGGATCACCAATACTGGAGGGATCGCTGGAGGATCGCCGAACCTGAAGGGATCACCAAACCAGGAGGCATCGCTGGAGGATCGCCGATCCTGAAGGGATCACCAATACTGGAGGGATCGCTGGAGGATCGCCGATCCTGAAGGGATCACCAATACTGGAGGGATCGCTGGAGGATCGCCGATCCTGAAGGAATCACCAAACCAGGAGGCATCGCTGGAAGATCGCTGATCCTGAAGGGATCACCAATACTGGAGGGATCGCTGGAGGATCACCAATACTGGAGGGATCACCAATACTGGAGGGAATGCTGGAGGATCGCCGATCCTGAAGGGATCACCAATACTGGAGGGATCGCTGGAGGATCGCCGATCCTGAAGGGATCACCAATACTGGAGGGATCGCTGGAGGATCGCCGATCCTGAAGGGATCACCAATACTGGAGGGATCACCAATACTGGAGGGATCGCTGGAGGATCGCCGATCCTGAAGGGATCACCAATACTGGAGGGATCGCCAAAACTGGAGGGATCGCTGGAGGATCACTGATCCTGAAGGGATCACCAAACCAAGAGGCATCGCTGGAGGATCGCCGATCCTGAAGGGATCACCAAAACTGGAGGGAACGCTGGAGGATCGCCGATCCTGAAGGGATCACCAATACTGGAGGGAACGCAGGAGGATCGCCGATCCTGAAGGGATCACCAATACTGGAGGGAACGCTGGAGGATCGCCGATCCTGAAGGGATCACCAATACTGGAGGGATCGCTGGAGGATCGCCGATCCTGAAGGGATCGCCAATACTGGAGGGATGGCCAAACCAGGAGGCATCACTGGAGAAATGTGACTGAGGGGAGCCAGGAGCGCCCATCCCTGAGAGGGAGGGAGCGCTGAATGGGATGAGATAAAGGCAGCCGAAACGGAAACAATGGTGGAAGAAGCGCTGAGATCGCTGCTCCTGGTTGTGGAAAAAACGCTCTGTCAACTGGGCTGGACGGCTCAAGGCGAAAAAGACATGGTAAGTTTTCACTCAAGCAGAAGGAGTGTCTAGGAAGTCCTGATCAGGCAAAGGATTAGCGCACTGGCTGATTTTGAAGGGACGATCCTTCATGGATCTTTTGGCAGAAGAGGACCCTCTGAAGATCTTTTCCGGTCTCTGTCTACTACTCTTCTGTGTCTGACTTTGTGATAAATCGTAAAGTCATCATCAGTCAGCACTGAAAGAGCATTGCTGGGACCAAGAGCACATACCGATACAATCGATACAGAGCGAGTGGGGGGTCCACTGCAGAAAACGTTTTCTAGCATCTATCACAAACTTTCCTCTTCTTAGAACACTGATTAAATTTCCCCATAATGAAACAGTATAGAGTAACAGACAGACACAACCTCATACACATCCACACTTGTGTGTGACAAGAAAGGGAATGTCATGTGACCGGCCTGAGTGTCCCGCATGCTTTCCAGGGACTACTGTTGTGTCAAGGAATGGAAGCGGTGGGGAGTGATCAGGCAGGAGAGAGACCAGAAGATTTGTTCAACTCTGCTTACAGCACGTTTCCATTCCATGGTCGGAGTAAGAGAGAAGTGCATGCCATGAGATAAGATAAGTTTTAAAAATTGCAAATATTTGCATGTCATTTAACAAATGACATGCAATCACACTAAAATATTCTTCAGGGGGATTTAAGACATGAGATAATTCTGTCAAAATCATGTTTTTGAAAAATCAATTGCAATGATCACATAGCTCAAATTTGAGCAAAAACATTAAGCAGCCCCATGTAACACCTTCAGAACAAATCTTTTCTAAAGCTGCTGTTGATCTGAAGAAGAAGTAAACTTTATTTAAAATGAGAAACTCAAATACTAACATACCGTACGAGTTGACTAAGTTTTGCCATTAACAAAGCCATCTTCTTTGCTGCTGAAATAATCTCATTATCTTTGCTGGACCATTGTTTAGTCTCCATGTGTAATGCATGAGCAGCCATCTGAAAACAGAAAGTATCAAAATACTTGAATACCCAAGATCAATGTGATGATACAACATTTTGAAAGTTTATGTCAAACATGCTAACAAAGGTCAACATTAAAACATATTCTGCATAAACAATGTGGACTAAACAGCCACACCAAACTGAAACAAGCTTAACAATACATGCCATCATAAGACAGAGAAACAGGAGGAAACAGGAGCATGGTCCACAGGAATATAACAATACCCAGAACTAGCAATGTACTACAGTTGTGTGTCATAACCTAGTTCTGTCACAAGATGACTTTGGAAATGCCAGTAGTAACTATTATTAAGTAGATATGCATAACAATTGCTTTTACAGCTGCAGTTAGTCATATATGAAACATTAACTATGCAGAATTCAAACCTGCCTGTGTGTTGTTAGCAAGAATAATAACATCAAACTTGTGTTACTTCCCTTTAGTTTGATGAGAATTGATGACAATGAGATTGAAAGCATTACTTAACATTCATTTTTATGACATGGATTAATATAATTATCAAGACTATAGGTTGGTTTATTGCTATCACAACACACTTGCAACAACTGACAATTATCAGGACGTGATTGCAACATTGTTGGCTACTACTGCAATACAATCACAGTTAGTCCAGATGCACAGACAAGGAAACAAAGGATCAACTAAGTCTCATAGCAGCAGAGTGATGATGATTCTTTTACATAATTTTCACTACTTTGCCTTTTATGCCCAGTGGAATCCTGATAATCAGATAATCAAAACTGAATATTCTCTGGCATATTTAATATATTTAACAAAGAGAAAGGCGACTGGGAGATCACTGCCAGGTCAAGGTAGGGATAATAGTCTGTCTTCATAAGATTGGCAACTAAGTAAACTGAAATTTGTGAACATGTTGCAACTATGATGCTAGACTACTTGATAAGGTTCTGATCTTATGACCGTGAAGGTACGTGTCAGAATGAACCTTCAGTAACGCAAGCTTGTCGTAAAAGGCGACTAACGGGATCGGGCGGTCAGGCTCGCTGACTTGGTTGACATAGGTCATTGGTTCCCAATTGCACAGATCGATGTTCAGGCTGTTGATCACTGGATTGTCTGGTCCAGACTCGATTATTTACAGACTGCCGCCATATAGCTGGAATATTGCTGAGTGCAGCGTAAAACTAAACTCACTCACTCACTCTGATCTTTTGAGCTGTAAAGCAGCCAGCATTGGAGTAGAAAGTTCTGGCTGTCTGCATCTTGCAGTTACTGCTTTCTAACAAGATAGGACAAAAAAACCCATTTCTTTGAATTCTGTGAGGCTATGTTGCTGGCAGATAAAACTTGGGAAAAGTATATAGAGTTTTAACATCTTCCAGGAGGAATAATCCCATCAGTTTGTTATTCACCTGAATACCTCTGCATGGAGAGACTGTTCTGTCAGCATTCTGTTTATTCTGTCATTATGATAAATTTCATAAGAAATGACAGGCCTCAATCCTGCAGCCAATCAAATCTGCCAAGACAAATAACAATGTACTCTTGATCACCAAGTTCCCAAACTGTGCTCTCTTTGTGTTTGGATGTATCCTAAAAACATGGGATGATATATGTGTTCCAACTTCCTCATCACGGTCTAGGACACACTATGGTGTAAATGTAAACATGCAACATGGACAAAGTGTCCATCACTCGTCACCACTCGCCTCTTTCCGTAACCTCCAAGAAGAGTCGTCCCCCTATCGATGCTTGTTATGTGCGAAAATACGACAAACGAATCAGAACGCACGTAAATGACTTCAGTGCTTTGGTAAAAATAATCCCGAGTTCTCAAATCGTTTATGGGCATTATGTCATTGTTCAAAAATATCACGCAAAATATATATCGTCATATTGAAAGTACAAAGAACTTAGCTAACAGGATTTTGCTGCCTATTATGAAGTTTTTGATAAGAATCATGCGATTGACGGTGAGAGATTCAAATACACGCATGTGCGTTTGTTGACATAACGGTTTTCATGGGTCCAACTGAGGGTATTTCTGACGATCTTGAGGGGTTGCTAAGGAGATTGTAAGTGCGCTTCCAACAATATTAGGAAATGTAATAATAAATTGCTATGAGTTTCAAAACAATAATATTAGACATATATCTGCATGTAACTAATCAACTTGAATCTTTAACATTGGGCATATATTTCACATCTATGAGAATAGTTTAGTCTGGCTTTGTTTTTGGTCATTCATATATTTCATTCCACTTGGGGTATGACAGCAAGGTTACACGAATGTTCAGTTTGAGAAATATTTTAAAGTCATTTTTGACTTTCTGCTTTTGGATTTAATGTAGCTTTTATAAATTTTATTTATATACTTACTAAAACCCTATTTAAAAATATGATTGGAAATATAAGGTGAACATTTGGTAATAATTACATCAGAATAAGTCTGTAACAATAAAATTTTTCTCCTTCTCTTAGTTGTATCAAAAAGGCTTAATTCTTTAAAAACATAAACAGCAATACAATGTATGATTACCTCAGTGATATTAAGTGCCATTGGAATCAAACAAAAATAGAGTTATCGTTCCTGTCTAAAGTAGGAACGATGTTCATGTGCCAATATGAAATCCTTTCAGAGAGGCACGAGTCGCTATTCGGCTTGTCCCGGAATAACACGAGTTGGTCACGAATGCAGGGGCAGTGGATTGGAACTTGACTTACATACACTGGGAGTTTGTTGCCGAGGCAAGCAGCAAACAAACCCAGCTGAGGAGTATCTTACATGAGCCCGAATTCACATATTATTGGGACCGCCTCTGTGGTGTAGTGGTTAGAGCATCCGCCCGGAGAGCGGAAGGTCGCGGGTTCCATCCCTGGCCACGTCATACAAAAGACATTAAAATATGGTACTTGTTGGTCCCTGCCTGGCGCTCGGTTTTAATGGGTACAACAAGGACTGATCGGCTCGGAGTCAGTATAATGTGTCTGAGTGGGGTATTCATGCTTCACTGCGACATGGTATCTCAGTGGGCTAGCACTATAAAACCAGCTTAAGTCTGGGCTAGTACAAGCAGCCGCACATACACATACACACACGCATGCACGTCGTCATATGAGCGAAATATTCTCCAGCACGACGTTAAACCAAATTTCACCTCACCTCACATATGATTGCTAAATGCCAGGATGTCCATGTGTGAGCTGGAGCTTCTGTAAACAGGTTTGGGTCCTCTGAAAAGAGTCATTACGCCCTCTGCAATTCTGCCAATTCAGATTCATCATGGGGTTTGGCTTGAAACAAACAAGGATGTCCAATTTTGGGGATCGTAGCAAATTAATCTATGATTACTGAAGTCTCCTCCTGCATGTTAAACCCTCCAGGTGTATCCAGCTATCAAAACACAACATCCACCAAGAAAGTGACTTGCGGGACAATCCTACAGTGATAATTCCTAGGTTCTTTGGATATCAATAAATCTGAAAACACTGGGGGGAATATCCTTGGTGAGGTTTGTATTCTCCTGAATAGCTTTCTAACACCAGTAAGGCTAAATCTGCATCCACTGGTCGCTTTGAGATGAAATCATCAGAAAATCTGGCTGGGATGCAAACTCTGGCTGCTTTAGGAAATGCAAACTGTATTGACGTGTTAGAGCTTGCAGAATCCTGTGATCAGTAGTGATGTACTTCCAATTTTTGGAGTTTGACACAAAGTCTTCTCAATTCTGTTCAGGAATCAGTGTTAGGTTAAAATCTGCTAATCTGGAATCTAAGGCAGTAATCTGGCCCCTATTTCTCGAAACAAACTTAAGTTTTTACTCAAATTTCAAACTGAGTTTGCCAATTTGAAACAGCTGAATTTTTAACTCAACTGCATTTTTTAACTAAAAAAAGCCCAAACAACTTAAGTAATCTATCCACCAAACTCAAATTGTCTGCTAAGTTTGAGTTTAATATTGATTTCAGTTTATTCTGGGAAATGCATTTTCCTGCGTTTTCTCAAATTTGAGTAAAAACTCAGACTTAAGTCAAAACTCAGACTTAAGTTTGTTTCGAGAAATCGGGGCCAGATCCAGGTCTATATTGTTTAATCTGAGATGCAAGGTTTCTGGACAGAGACATAGTTCACCATTCCCTGTCATTTCCATATCCTGGCCCTGCCTCCTGTTACCTGTTTCTGTGTAAAATGTCAATAGCTATACTTTGTTTCAGTGCTGAGGGGTCAAGTAGATGTATGCCTCCATCTGCTTTTCTGAAAGAATTCCTCCCCCAATGGAAAACATTTCCTCTTGGCAGAATCTCAAAAAGCTGACACTCAAGGGTACTGTGAGGTCTAACTGCCAAGTTGACACTTTAATGGTAGCACCTTTCTGTGGTGTCCTGGCATACTTCCTCAAGGACCTTAGGTCCATCTTTGTCAAAGAAAGGTTGTCGCATGGTAGGTTGAGTCAGGACAGACCGTTTACATTGTTTACAGACAGATGTATTCCAGACTTGTGAGATAACTCTGGATCCACAACAGCTGGCTTGACATCCAAACTTTTGAAGGTGAGGTGAGGTGATATGGGGTATAACGTCGCACTTTAGAATATTTCGCTCATATGACGACGTGCATGCGTGTGTATGTGTGGCTGCTTGTACTAGCCCAGACATAAGCTGGATTTATAGTGCTATCCCACTGAGATACCATGCAGCTGTTAAGTATAAATACCCCACTCAGACACATTATACTGACTCCAAGCCGACCAGTCCTTGTTGTACCCATTCATGCAGAGCACCAGGCAGGGACCAAGAAGTACCATATTTTAATGTCTTTGGTATGACGTAGCCAGGGATCAAACCAGCGACCTTCCGCTCTCCGGGCGGATGCTATAACCACAACACCACTTGTGAAGACAAGAGATCATACTGTCCAACAGGCTAATGATGAAAGTCAATGATGAGCTAACTGTGATCTGTGTATCCCGAGATACCACCCAATAATTCATTATGAGGTATTATGATGTGGTGTGTTCGTGCCATGAACCAGTCTTTTTAAACACCAATATCCAAAGTATCTCAACTTATGGTAAAGCAACCATGAAAATACATACATCGGTTACGATACAAGGAAGGTATTTGAGTAAGCTCCTTGTAGCATGAATTGCATTACAAAGAATCACTGAAGCAGAATAATGTGATAACGTGATTTACAATATATCAAAAACTTTGTTTTCTGGTCTAAAAATTAGATCCCTGGTGAAAAATCTATTTGGTTTAGGTTTGTAGAGAGGCCTTCTCCTGGGTTGACTGGACACAGCTATCTATTTGGTGACACTCTACTTTGAACAAACATAGAATCCACCTGCTGGGCACTACTTTACTATTGCCTGACAACCTAATATTTAATCCTGATCACCGTTAGTTTGCTGGAACCAGTTCCCTTGTACAATATTTATTACAGATGGAGATTCAATTAAAGTTCCACATGTTTAGTAGGATTGCAACGAATACACCATGTGGCGAATATGATACGTATCATGAATAGTGGGTAACAAATACGATTAAATATTCACGAATACAATATTGTACTTAAGTGATTGATGTACAATATGGAATGCCCATGTTGACAGTTTTGATTTGTCACAGCAATAACCAGTGATCTCATGACACTCAAATTTGTTATGTAATAGCTATAATTGACAGTACCATGTGCAGTCTTGGCAAACTAACATGACTTGCTCTACTCAAGACTAGCACATATTGAATTCTTGCATATCTCACTTTCCAAAAGTACACAAGGGTTCAAGTAAAACATGCTCCCTTAAAAAATCGTAAATATTCGTTAATATTCGGTTCTGTTGACCACGAATAACGAATTGAATTCATGAAGAGCTACGGTTCGATTCACCGAATATGCGAGTGAATCGTTACAGCCTTAATGTTTAGTACCATAATGGGTTGATTAGGCTGAGGAATAGGGAATGCTGTTTCATCCTCATCATCAGTCTCTGGTGGAGGTGGCCGAGGTGGAGCAGTCTCGTAAGGCAGAGGTGGACGAGGTGGAGCTGTCTCTGAAACACAAATTATCAGGCGTCAGCATTAATGAGTGTGGAATAGAGCAGTGAAATAAAAATGTTGCTTACCGACATTGAACGCTTCTATTTTCGTCAACAAAACTACATACTACACTTACAAATCAAGAATGTGTACCGCATTTTGTTACAATTAACTAAAATGCGAATGAAATAATGTTTTACAAAACTGTGCCTCTTGACATGTAGTAATATGTACTGATATAGTGTTGTGAAAATGCACAGCAAACAGACTTGAAGATATGAATGTGCAATATATTATCAAACAAGAAGACAAAGTCATCAATATCCCCTGAAATGGTAAAATACTCTGCATGAATATGTCAACTAGTTACGACTATGTTAGATGTGCCTCAGTAATGTTGATATAGAGTGGTACTGTTGATTTACTTCACTAGGTTCTTCGATACCCACAAAGAGTACTACCACCAATTTCAGTCGAAGTCAAACTTGTTGCCATGGAAACGCAAAAAGTATTTTATTTAGAAATCCAAAACTACCAGAAAGCACCAGTTCACAACCAGACCTATCTATAGGCCAAATTTGGTGAAGAAACATTGAATGGTTTTAAAGTTCTGCTCCAGAAAAGATCACTACTACCAATTTCTCTCAAAGTCAAAGTTGTTGCCCTGGAAACGCAAAAGATATCTTATTCAGAAATCAGACACTACCAAAAGGCACCGGTTCACCACTGGACCTATCTGGTGTAGAATTATGGAATGGTTTTATGTTCTGTCCCGGGAAAAGACGAATTTGCACGGACGGACGGGGTCCAAAATAATACCCCAAACATGTTCCAGTATATAATTACAACTGGTGACTGAATTACTATACGATGATCACTATTTTTTTAATCTACCGACATTAACCTCTGTACTATCAAGTACCATCTGTCAAGTAACTTAACCTGATGGATGGAAAACAAAGTCTGTTTGCAGTATATTTGATTATACAATTCCACAAAATTTCTTCAGATGAGTGAAAGTGAGGTGGCCTGCTACATGAATGCAGATACCTGTCAACTACTGTAAGAGAGTGCTTAAAAAAGATTGAGAAAACTTCTCACTATAATTGCAGCATAAACTTTTAACTAGTAACAAGATAGCTTCACCGACGATTTAAGTCAAACACATATAACAAATGTGTTCAGTGATAATTTTGTATCTTTTAGCTGAGTAACTTATTGTATCAATTAGTAGTGCAAGATGCCTCTTTCTCTACAACACAGGTCAGTTATCGCTAGTCATTAGGACAACAGAAGGAAACACGATAATCAAATCAATGAGCTTTCAAGTCAAGGTGGTGATCTGAAAATTGTCTAATATTTTATGTTAGATTTTTAAGTAAAAGTTTCAAATATTCTAAGAGCCACCTTTCATGAAAGGATAGTTCAACATAAACTTTCTTATTTGAAAGTTTAACTTTTCATGTCAACAGATATAGAAACATTGCATCACTGCACAGAAGCTCCATTGTAAATATCAGATAACACCTCAAAATGACAGAATGTGAATGAGGCATGTTGGTATATCTGCGCGTGACCACCAGATCTCAGAGAAAAGCTGAAGTGATGCATTCTGTTTCTTGGTAAAACCCATGACCATTGGTGTGGGGCTAACAAATCCTAGATCACAGATCTGATCCAAAGATTAGCAGATTCTGGCACAACTACAGGACATTTGGACCACATTGCCACCACAACCGACCTGCCTAAATTTCAGAGGACAAATAAGAAGTCAAATTCATCAATATTCCATGCCATTATGAATATGTTTATAAGAAACTCAAAATATATAACGCATCATGTATGTGATTATACCAATCAAAAGAATAGGCAATTCTCAAGAACTTTGGTAGAATCAAAACATTTATAATAAAACTACACTCCTTTTACATTTTTTATGTTTTATACCTTCCAATAATAAGAATTTATACAAGTATTGACTTTTCTTGGAACATTATTACCAATGATACAAATTCTTAGAATACAACTTCTAAAATTTGATTACCTTTTCACCTGAAACTTGTTTCTGAATACACAAGTTTGTTTGAATAAACAAGTTAAAGTCAATAGTTTTGTGTTGTCTTTTTTCCTAGTGGTTGTAATCTCCCTCCATCAGAGGTGAGGTGATATTGGGTTTTAACGTCGTGCTGGAGAATATTTTGCTCATATGACGACGTGCATGCGTGTGTATGTGTATGTGCGGCTGCTTGTACTAGCCCAGACTGAAGCTGGTTTTATGGTGCTAGCTCACTGAGATACCATGTCGCAGTGAAGCATGAATACCCCACTCAGACACATTATACTGACTCCGAGCCAACCAGTCCTTGTTGTACCCATTAATGCCGAGCGCCAGGCAGGGACCAACAAGTACCATATTTTAATATCTTTTGGTATGCCGCGGTCGGGGATCGAACCTCGACCTTCCGCTCTCCGGGGCGGACGCTCTAACCACTACACCACAGAGGCGGCCATCTCCCTATCAGAAGCATGGGAATCTCATAATTTTTCCACTGTACCTTAAGGAAGGTACTCTGGAATATTTTGGGGATGGATGGATGGGCGTTAATGTTTCTTGCCGCTGTATTTAATATTAACAGTTTCCAGTTACTGTACTTCTGATGAGGTAATGAGGGCAGCTTTCTTGTCCAAGACCTTGTTTATGGCTGTTTTCACTGCTGAGAACCTGGGTTCCCGGACCTTGACAACTCTGAGGATTTACTGATTTTCCAGTTTTCTGCATAGCTGACAAATGGAGCCCACTGGATCCTGAAACACCTTCATAGGAAATATGGGCATCTTCCATGCATGATCATAGTCGATAGTCAAGGTCATGCAAGCAAAGTCTAGGAAGTCCCAGGAAAGTCAGGTTTCTGCTGTCCTTTCGAAGATCCACTCCCTAGAATTTCTTCAGTGGGGCCCCTTGACAATAGGGATTACACTGATGTAGTCTAAGCTACAATGAGGAAGCCAATGTTAGATCCCTGTTGAACTTCCTATACTCCTCTGATATGAGGACTTCAACAAAACCTCTTCAGATTTCCATTTGAAAAGCTAATTGGGGAGGGGCTACAAATACAGCATGTTCTTTGTCTCCAATGAGATGGATGAACATAACTGATGCAGATGCTTATTTCTTCTATTGCCCCAACAGGTAATGTGAATCAAAGACTGCCTTTGCCATACTGTCTGTTAATAGCCATTGGTCATCCAGATAGTATCTCCTACAATCTCCATCTTGACAGTTGATGGATCATCCATGGCATCAACTTCAATATTGTTTGTATCGCTGTACCCTTTGATCAAAATCCCTGATTCTTCCTTACTTTATGACCAGATATGTACAGCTACTGTAACTGTAAAGACTTGAAATTCTGAATCAATGGAAGGTGACTTGACCCCTAACATATTATCCTTCATTGATCATCTTCGACTGGAAGGATGACTGAGGTAACTTGGACTTTGTCCTGGTGTTTAAGAGAGGTAGAGGCAGCACTGACTCCAGATAAGAACATCCAGAGCAGCCAACTTGTCTGCAAATGTATACTTTTAGAGAACATGTGATGCATGTGGACAGAGCAGTCCTTGTCTTATAACTGATAAACTCTTCCCAAGTTGTTGGCATCGATATTTGAGATGAATACTTTCGATAGCGTCTGGAAGACCACTGGGAAGAAAGACCAAACCTATTCAAGCTGAACATGTGGACTCAGAATCAAGTTTCATGAAAATATCAATCAAGTGTTTGAGGTACACATTCGTAAGGATTAGATCTTTTCAAGTGGTAGTTATGTTATATAGTACAACATTTTGAAAATTCTAAAGAACAATATTTTCCACAGATGACAAATATCTGCCAACAGCAGCTCTCAAATTTTATGAAAACCTCAGAGCCATACCTCTACTGACAGAATCATACACAACACAAACATAAAATTGTTTAAAGTAAGGTAAAGGGTCATCTGGTTAAATTGTAAGTATTTTTAATGATAAAACACAACAAATAATTGGTTGCTTGGTAAGGGATGTGTTAATTGTCAGTAACAATGTTCTCAGCTGGACAACAAAAACCTGAAATAATAATATTAGTAACTTAATTGTGCTCAGCGTGTAAGAACTTCCAAACTTTTGACATAACTACAGTAAACTGCTTAAGAAATGCAAGCATGAAATATATTTCGTGGTTTTCTTTCAAAGTATTGTACAATGTCACATTAAAGACAGCATTAGTCTCTGAAACAAGTTTATTATAAACGTAGAGTGAACAATTTGAAATAAACTGAAGCCATATAGTAGAGGGGTACCTTGAGTGAAGCCAAATCTGGTAGAAGACATTTTGACTTAGCTAAGGCCAACAAGCATGATGGATAAGATGCTGACCAACCAACAATCAGAAATTCCAATGGAAGACCAGCCAGCAAACAGAGCTGCAACTCTGCAGAAAGATACACACCATCTCAGACAGTGTGAACACCATTGCCACACTCTTCCTTGCAATCTCAAACCATAATTAAGTAACAGTAACACCATAAAGACACATCACGCTGAGCAGTTAAGTTATACATAGGCTAAGGAACAGTTGCTCACCAGGTACATTCCAAGTCAGAAGAATGTTATACATTTTGAAATCTTTGGCACTAAGGAAGGACAGGACAGCTGTTAATTATTTTTGTAATTTTTGGTCAGCTTGAAAGGAAACTATAATGTCAATTCTGCAGTCTTCAAAACACTTATTATGGTTAAAAACATTCATGTGATAATACAATTATTTTTAAAGGAGTTTCTTAATCGTTCAAGAGTGGTTTTGTTGCAATACACATACCACAGAATTATCATATCATCCCTCTGAGCCTAATAATTCCATGCTAAATGAACATATCAAGTCATGCCCTGGTCCTATGCATATTTACAATGTCTCATAACTCTGAATATTCGATTTCTCATCTGAAGTTCAACGTTTCCAATTTGGAAATTTTAGCATTAAATGAAAAAAAGAAGAAGATTATTTTCTTGGAATGAGCGAATCTGAATCCCACTACTCTTTTACAAATCATATCAATGCTTCTTACTAAAACAATTCAATCTAATCCCTCTAGTTGTTTTGGTGAGTCTAAAGTCAAACGTGAAGATAGGGTTATGTCTGATGAAGGATGTATGGACAGACATCATGCTTTACCACTTGGATGGAAGGTCCAGGAGACCTAAAAACAGTTAGAAACAAACAGCCATTCATGCTGGGTATCTCATGCCTGAAAACAGAAACAAAATACAGCTGGTATCCATAACCTCTGGCTCCATAGTCATAATACAGGAACATATCCTGCGGTGGCGGTGGCACTGGTGGGGTGGACACTGGACATCCTGATGCTGGCTCATGCTGGCTGGGCCGTAGAGACGCTAAAAAACATAGCCTGACACTTAGCCAACATACATGCTTTCATTTAAGTATTGCTTGCTGAAACTTCTAACCAGATTTTTTTGTTGCGGTTGATTTGTCATTGGGCATCTTCCACAGGCAAACCATTTTCAATGCATAAAATATTAGCAACATACAGAAGATATGTTGTTTACTAGCAAAAGTTAAAAAAAATATGTATGTCAAATTAAGGGCAATGTGAAAAAATATTTCAATGACTAAATTAACTGTACTTATGATGATAAAACATTTTGTGCATTATTGAGTTACAAAGGGGAACACAGTCAATAGCTTTCTGCCTGAGTTGTTACAAACATAGCCATGGCACTACAATCAGGGATTAATAACAATTCATGTTTTTAAACAGGCAAAATACTATCAAGTATTAGCTTCACAAATATACAAAAAAGAAAAATCACTTGGATGGAAGTTATTTCAGAAATGACCTTCACAGAGTTCATGATTCCTTCACTGGGTCATCGGGAGAATACTTGACCATGGGCATGCAGTAAACCATTCATCATTTTCTGATGCATGTTAAGATTTGGGATTACACTGTCCAAGTGATGAACAAATACAGCTCTGCTTATATCCCCACTACAGACTTTTAATGAGGAAATGTGAGCAGCTGCTCATCCAATGTAAGGGCTTTATGTTACGTCAGCATAGTCTATGTGAAGCTTGACATAACGTACCTAACGGATAGTGTTCTTGCTGGAACTATCGCAAAGAGGCGGCAGACACATACAAACCCAAACATTACAATACAGGAAAAGTAATGTCACTGGAGCACAGTGTGAACACAATCGGATAAGTGGAAGCAGGAGAAGTGCAGTCCCCTGTAGCAAGGACTCATCTGAAGACCACAAACAGCATGGTGTGTGGGCCTAACTGACCTATGTCAGTCCACAGAGTGTTGCCATAGCTGTTCAGGAATTCTCCATTTGGCAGCAATTCCAAAATTTGAAGAACTGCCTCAGTGAGGCAGGTGTCACACAACCTGTGAGAGGTGTTGGTTTGATGCAACAACATTGTCAACTGTAACATCAGTGGTGTCAAACATACAAATAATGGCCTAACCTTTGAAGAACTGCTCGGCTTAGTGAAAACTCAAGATTTGTGCTGCATCAAGTGGAAGGGAAAACCAGGTTGTACAAATGTCACTTGTTTTGTTTCCAGGACTGTATGAGAGCTGGCCACCTTTTGGTGTTCACATCATGATGAAGAAATGAAATACTATAGCCGCCAGATTTTGGTGGTCACATCGTGATGAAGAAATGAAATACTATAGCCGCCACCTTTTGGTGGTCACATCATGATGAAGAAATGAAATACTATAGCCGCCACCTTTTGGTGGTCACATCATGATGAAGAAATGAAATACTATAGCCGCAAGATTTTGGTGGTCACATCGTGATGAAGAAATGAAATACTTTAGCCACCACCTTTTGGTGGTCACATCGTGATGAAGAAATGAAATACTATAGCTGCCACCTTTTGGTGGTCACATCATGATGAAGAAATGAAATACTATAGCCGCCACCTTTTGGTGGTCACATCATGATGAAGAAATGAAATACTATAGCCGCCACCTTTTGGTGGTCACATCATGATGAAGAAATGAAATACTATAGCCGCAAGATTTTGGTGGTCACATCGTGATGAAGAAATGAAATACTTTAGCCACCACCTTTTGGTGGTCACATCGTGATGAAGAAATGAAATACTATAGCTGCCACCTTTTGGTGGTCACATCATGATGAAGAAATGAAATACTATAGCCGCCACCTTTTGGTGGTCACATCGTGATGAAGAAATGAAATACTATAGCCGCCAGATTTTGGTTGTCACATCGTGATGAAGAAATGAAATACTATAGCCGCCAGATTTTGGTGGTCACATCGTGATGAAGAAATGAAATACTATAGCCGCCAGATTTTGGTGGTCACATCGTGATGAAGAAATGAAATACTATAGCTGCCACCTTTTGGTGGTCACATCGTGATGAAGATATGAAATACTATAGCCGCCAGATTTTGGTTGTCACATCGTGATGAAGAAATGAAATACCATAGCCGCCAGATTTTGGTGGTCACATCGTGATGAAGAAATGAAGTATTGTAGCCGCCAGATTTTACCATTTATGAACCATACTAACGTTATCTTTCTAAATGGTGTCCAGAAGCAATCCTAAAGTACAAAAGCATTCCCCTTGAAGTTTGATCTTCTGACTAAAGCAGGTAGACCAAGAGACCTCTGGTACAGTATACACAGATTTATTCACTTGAAAATCACATATAGATACTATTAAAAAGGAAGGGGTACACATTAAAATATCCTAGATTGTAAGAGACATTAGTTTCTAGTGATACTTGAGGAAAATAATGACCATTTTCATAACATTACAATAAGTATGAAAGTAGATGTTAAAACTGCCAACAATTTTAGGCAAGGGGTGAGATGGGAAATATCAAAGAAGTGATGGGAAATATCAAAGATGACATATTTTTGTTCCATAACGGGTAACACCGCCACGATTTGTCATTGTTTCATTCAATGGGGCAAAATCTGCAGGAGTCTTACAATATGATGGAGTCTGTCCCAAGACATCCAAAGTGGCTGACTGGGTTACATAACTAACTTTGTGTGCTTGCAATTTGGTGCCTCATTCTAAAAATGTGGGTTCAAATCATGAATTGGACTCTCCCCAACCCCCACCCCCAACAAAATCCAAGAATTTGAAATTTGTTCAAAAAAAGTATAATCCCCAATACATTTCTTACTTTTGAACGCGTTCTAACAGGCATTGTGTATTTACAACTTCAATCAGATTGTTTATTATGATCATTGTTATGTGTTCCTGTTAAGAGACACACATAGCTTTGCAACATCTAATCAGTTAGAGCGAAATGATTACCTCTAAGCAGAAACATGGGCGGTGGGGTAGCCTAGTGGTTAAAGCGTTGGGTCGTCACGCCGAAGACCTGGGTTCGATTCCCCACATGGGCACAATGTGTGAAGCCCATTTCTGGTGTCCCCCGCTGTGATATTGCTGGAATATTGCTAAAAGCGGCGTAAAACTAAACTCAGTCAGTCAGTCTAAGCAGAAACCTATTTACTGTCCTCATTCACTCATGGATTTGTCTTGTGGCCTTAACATTTTCAATATTGAGGGGATTTGTGGGGTAGGGGTGATTGTATTATCACAATCATATATTTTGGAAATATACAGCATTACACATTGACATCATTTAATTTACTGCTAAAACCTGTCAGAGTTTAACATATGGGAATAACGTTTCCAAGGATGCCACTGGTAAATGTTACTTACTGACATGAAATAATGAGTAGAAAAGTAAAGGCCAGTAAAGTAGAAATAGTTCCATATGAATGTTGTTATAGAAGGGCCTGTGATTTTCGTTCCTATTGTGACTGAAACACTAGGAAACTGAAGATGGAAGAAGAAGAGCATAGGCTGTCTACCCAGCATATCATGGACATGAGCAGTGTCCAGGGAAACAAGGCTGAGCATAGCAAGCAGGATGGCAGAAGGCCTCACAGAAGAGACTGGTTCTTGAGCTACAAGTTGAATCCTTTTGAAAGCAGCAATATAAAGAAACCGCTTCTGCACTTTTGCAGCTGTAGTTATCTTGAACCAGACTAATCTTAAGGAAACTGACCCTTGTTCAGAGGATGACGGAATAACAAACACAAAACAATCCAGAATGTTTGGCATTGAAGCCATCAGTCTCCAGAAAGGTTAGAACTAGACACTTTGTTCCATCTATTTACTAAGGCATGCCATTTAGCCAAGACAGATCAAGGATTATAATACTTTCCCCAGACCTTTGGGGATTCAAGAATCCTCAGCCTAGAACTCTAATGATCTGATGATCTACTGCACTTTCCCACAAAACTCCTGATTCAAAGAGGCCCCAACCAACTGAACATGGTCTCAAAAGCATCATAGACCTGTTCATGGGTGCCTAATAAATGGAAAATCTCTGCTAGACCAAGGATCAGGTACAAACTTAACAGAATCATCCTGAAAAGACTAATCTTTGTTAAATCACACATTAATGTACTTAATGACAGTAAAATATAATATAAAATATACATCATATACAGTCTAATACTAAACAACATATACACTAATACATCTACAAAACATGATGCAGAACTGAAAAATAATGCTGATGTTAGTAAAGAATAAAGAATACATCATCACATGTTAGGTGGGAGGATCCAGGAAAGCAGTACCTTCATGTGCTCCGTGGGGGCCAATGGAGCTGTAGCAATCTGGAACTGAGTGAGCAAGTGGGACCAATGAAAGAGCAACAATAAAAACATCAACAGTGTCATATTAACATCCATGGAAAGCTGATGCATCATGCAAGATGCAAAAATTTGTGCATTATTTGATGAATAAAACAGCAAAATTCCTTCTCCAATATTTGGTAGAAGTATATCAGAATCAGAGCAGGTACAGACTGCAACAAAACTTCAACTAGTATACTTATAAATTACCTGGTGTAACATACTGAAGCATTATTCTCGCCAGTTCTTCAATGGGGTAAGTTTGACCTTGGACAGTTCCCCACCCATTTTTTTATGCTAAGGATCTACACTGCAAGGGATATGCTTATCTATGTTTTTGGGGTACACATTTCACTGACCTATTCAAGAACTGCTTTATTGAGTTGGAAGAGTAAAACTGATACAAATCAAGAACAGATGGCACTTACTAATAATATGCAATTGGCGAGCAGTCTGACAAAGGAATAACACTGCTAATTGATTTCTCTGTTTAGGAAAAGAAGTAACGAGACTCAACTGATCAAATCCAAATTTACAATTCCAGCTTTCATACTGATTCTCCACCTTGTGACTCTCCAGATTGCCATTAGTCAAAGGAGATACATGGTGGATGCAAAAGCGGTGAAAAAAGGGTTTCGAAGAAATAAACATGGTGGACACTGAGGAACACTCATGCCATATTGTATTCCATTACAAAAGTACTATTGTTATATCATGTCTGTTATATATACAAACTACATCATTTCTCAAATATGATACATGGCATCCCAATGGAAATTCAATAGGTCAAATTGCTGCTGGGGGTCCCAAGGTATGGTCCATGGCAAGCCAAACCCTTCTCATCTTAAATACTGTATAATGCAATTAATAGGAAGATTTTGCCTTGGTAACATAAGACATCGAAAGATCTAGCATAAACTGAATCTTATCTAACTGACAAAATTTCATTTTGGGTCATTACATTGTATGTTGCTTCCTATTTTGACTTGCTCATGATATTAGGTTATGGAAACTGATTCCTATGGTAATGGAGCATCACCTTCCCAACTACAAGTAAGTTAAAACTTGAGAGGGTGGGGTGGGTGTGGGGGTGGGGGTTGGGGTAAGATCTAGTAAAGCTGTGGGAGAACTGGCCAAAATATGTAGTGAATACACCTGCACCAATATTATTTGGGTTTCTAAAGACATATTGCTGATGCAACTCCCTTACAAAAAGAATTAATCCCTTCACATAGATGTGAATGCACCATCATGGGTTTCTCTAGTGTCTTTTGTAGACATTATTAAGAATTCATGGGTGTGAACATTTCTTTCAATACTCTTTCAAAGATACATGGAGATATATCATGGCGATGTAATCCTATTTTAAGGCTTCATGGGTGTATCTGTATTAGTGCTAATATACGCATAGATGTCTTTATGAAGCACAACAAATAGCATCAGGGTAATATTGCCTACCTGTCTACATTCAAAGAGGAATGAAGGTTAATTCTCATCAAATCAGGAGTGCATCTGTTAACTGTGTTAAGTGGACAGTTTGCTGTAAGTAGTATGATCAACATGCTCCTTAATATAACACTGAGATGGTACCAAGTACCACCATAATTGTGCAGTAGTTTCAGAATTATGCAACACAATATTTTCAAACATTAGCTGAGATGATTTTGTTTAAAAGAAACATACAGTCATTATCTACACCCAGTTTCAGCTTGGTCAATGTTATTGTTGAAATATCGTGCCATGGAGCTGCAGCTCACCCTGATGTGTAGTGAACAATTTAACATGTCAAGATACACTGACACTAACAAGAGCTGTTTGAGCAAATATTTCTGCTTATATACTGATCAATAACTAAAGTTTAATAATCTGAACAGAATATGGCATTGAAAGAAGAAACATGTCAAAGTGCAGCTCTATAAAATATCAGGATACGTTCATTCAGCTTGCTGACCCAAACTAAACTTGATATTGTAAGATATCTGAAGGTTCTGAAAGACACTCACATTTTCTGATTACTGAGTCATTTGAGTGCCTGTCTTCTAAATTTAAAAAAACAACCCCCATGCTGTTGGGGATGTCATATTTTCAAATTACACATTCGTTGTAGCCTCAACATCTAGGAATCAAAGTGCAGATGTTGAAATATACAATGTGCACAAGATGACAGATGAAAGATGACAGGTTATGCATGATACATGACATTGTATCCTTGGTACACATTAATAATGCAATATATTATCAGGAACCATGCAAAGTAAAGGGTTATGATTTTGAAAACAGATTGGCAGGAAATGGGAATTCACACACATACAGCACCCAGTTATCTACCTCGAGCCACCACACTTCTACCAGCATCACTATCAATTACTATGGTGTAGGGAGATGCACATAATGGCTTCTGCTGGATATGCATAGTGTTGCTAAATTCTTTATGAGGAACTTTGGAAGGCCATCCCTTCGTTGAAACAGCAAGTTGATCTACACACGATGTAGCTACAAATAATTAGGACAATAACACAGAACACATAACCTTGAGCACAATATTTAAGTAGTCAAGTAGTCAATAATTTCAGCATTCCAAACAAAAAATGTTTTTTGACTTGCAATGTACGAAACTGGAAGCAATATATCTGAGATTCTGGAGCTATCACACCTTTGACTTTTGAATACTAAATTCCATCTATAACATACTCTAAATTTCAGCTCCACAGCTGCAGAAAGGGAGACGTATGAAAAAGGGTAAAAGGCCTAAATCTGCATAATTTAAGATAAATGAAAAGTTTAAGAAATTGTAAAACTATCACATGTTTAGCTAAATGAAAATTTGGACGCCACTCTGTTGGCACTTGTAAGTTTAGGAACAAAGGTAGGTAAAGCTGGCACATAATGTTCAAGGTTCTTCAAGGATTTTCTAATATTTTAGTGTCTGACCTGAAGTAATATTTTTAGATGTTGATTAAGATAATTTAAACTAATAGTAAACAATTGTGCAAAAGTTACAAAAGAGAAACATCAACATCAAGGAATTCAAAGCTAAAACATGTCAGTTCAAATATTCAGAGATGTATTTAATGTCACAGCCGGGAACAGTATAGAACCACTTGGTTGTAAGGCAGTTAAAAGTACTCTTTGGGTTGAAATTGAGTTCACAGTAGATGTTCATTCATTAAACAGAATTTGCTACAACTCACATGATTATCATACTGAAGTATATATTAAGCAGTGAGGATATTATTACATCTGTTATTACATATTACATGTTTCACATTAACATGTTTTGATTTATATAACTATGTCATGATTCCCATTAAAATATGATCTCTTTATCCCATTAAACCATGATGGTTTCTGAGAACTATCATATGACACTAATTAAGAGCAAAGCTTTAATTTTAAATACCGGTTTCGTATAATCGAAAGGAAGGAATGGTCACATGATAAATAATTCCGATAGGATCGTCGTTACACAATAAGTGGGTCAAATCACAAAAGTGTTGAAGTCAGCTTCAGATTTCTGATAGACAATTTCGCTAAAATTATGTTTGTTACTTGCAATGATTCCAGTTCAAATATATCATTAATTTTGATGAATGGAAGGTTAGTGAAGTCTGAAAATGTATTAATTGATGAAAATATATGTTTTTTGTCTATATATCCAAATTTCAATGAATTTTCTTCACATTTCATAGAATTTCTAGTGCAATCGTATTGGTGTAGTTTAAGGCTAAAATTCGTAGCAGCTATGATAAAATCGTAGAGGTTGGCATCTCTGTATCTTATATTAATAAGTTAAGAATGATAATGCCATTCAAACATGAATATATACCACATCTGCACCATCCATTTACAAAAAATAGTCGTAAAAATGATAAATATGCACCAAAACTAAAGCCACTTTAGCCCCGCCCACTCGTATGCATGTTTTTATTTTTAGCGGTCTGACGTCTGTGGGTGTGACGTCATACCCGAGAGTCCGCTCAGTGTGTTGACATTTCAGTAGTGTATACGCCATCGAGTTGAAAGTGACACGAAGCGCAATTTGTTCATTCAGATAATGTATTTCTTTGTGGGTTTTGTTTTTGGCAAATGTAAACATGATACTTTAATGCTATTTTTAGGATGTACATGGCAGCATTTCACATCAATGAAAACAACCTAAATACCCTAGAAGTGACCAAGATTGGGGAACCCACCTGGGCAATCAGCTACCCCTAAGCCTAAACCAAGAGGCCAAGACAGTGAACAAGAAACCAACACATGGTAAATATATTTCAGACAATCAATAATCTTTCGTTGAACTGGTGCACTCCAGTTTGAAAAAAACCCACTGTTCCTATTACTGCATGTTTTTCCCAAACTAATGAGTCAACACTAAGTCTTGTTTGCAAAGACACTGGGCCTAGATTTCCGAAGTTCTCTTAGAACTAAGATAGTCATAAGTTAATGTTAATGTATGGCCCTAAACTATCTTAGCGCTAAGAGAGCTTCGAAAATCTAGGCCCTGGTTTTTAATCATCATATCTATTTTCCCTCTCTCAGCATTTGTTAAGACAAAAGTACTTACTTTTTTAGTGCAGATTTCAAAGAAAATTATTATTATGGTTGCCAAAACAAAATATACTGAAATTGTGTTACAAAATGTCTCTAATTCAATGTAACATTTATTCACAGAGTTTGTGGAATTCCTACTCAGGGCCATTCTCGGGAGAAGAAACATGTTTCCTTCCTACAGACTTGCAGGACACAACAGCCTATTTTTCCAGGATATTCTGCCAGACACTTTCATTTATAACTAGTAAACAGGAACTGGTGAACTCACTGACATTAAGATATAAAATGAAATCATGTATATGTGTCTAGGGTGTGAACTGAAACCAGTTGTGCCTGATGTCTTAAGGTCTAATGTATTCGTCTGTTTGATCCTGGGACTTGTTCAGATGGTAAATGTTTCCAAATTGCAGTCACCACTGTGTCACATGGTGTTATTGGAGATCAATCTTGTTTTCTTAGGCGAAAACATCACCCAGTTAATTTACACGCATGTCTTTGCCTTCATGATGTTGGTGTACACACTGTATTCATTAATTTGTCATAAACAGGTTTGTATGCAAATAAATTATTTGCTTTAATTTTTGTGTGCTGGTTTCTTGATTTGATCGATGGTCTTTCTTTGGGACTGATCACACTTTACACATTACTACTAGAACACAATGAAGAATTTTCTTTTTCACTAACTGACAGTTAAAGAGATAGATAAGGATTTGTCAGATCTATTTTTTGCATCTATATCTATTTATTATATCTATTATCAGCTGTTAAGGAGGTTGCAGGTCTTTATCATTTTATGTATATTTTGCAGATTTATATGACTAAGTATCACGACAAGTAACCGATGCCTTACACGTGTATGGAAATCGAAAATGTAATAAAACTGATGTTTGATGTATCATATCAGAGACGATACACCGACTACTCCGAAAACATACACTTACTAATTTAGGGTACTTCTGTACTGTATACAGTAGTGAAATCGAACTTATCGACTTCCGTAACGGTACGTATTTCATAGAAAAGATTATCACCATACTTAAACCTTTACGGACAAATTTAGCAGAAGACGCATTTTATGAAATAAAGCTGAAAGTTACTTAATAACCTTCATAAATTCATGAACCTCGAACGTAACTATTTCAGTGTTTACCTTCCCATACCGATGTATACCGGAAGACAGGCTCAACACATTGATCGAACATTGCCATTATCCTGACTGCAAATTTTACCGTGACCGAGGAAAAATTAATTCAGTATCTAATCAGTTTTCCATGAACATGTGATAGGCAATTGGCTTGCATACCAGTCTGCAGTAGGTCTATTCAAAACATATTCGGGATCGGGATCGTCCCACGGCTGTATATTGTCAACTGGTGTAATCGTCGTCAATATTCCTCTCGGTCTTGCCGCTAGAAATACTTTCAAATTGAAAATGTTGCATGTATGTGACATTATCTGTATCTAGTATGCCATCCAAATCCAAGTTTGACTTCGTGGATTGATTTATTTGCTAAACTAGAAGCAGACCTCAGTAAGCGAACAGGCTCTGTACCACTGTATTTTCCGTGTGTTGATGTAGCGACTCTCGGGTATGACATCACGCGACCAGCTACCTCATTATCTTGCGTAATCGCGAAATGCTTTCGAAGGAGGTGCGTTTTAGATTCCTAATACAAGCTGTATCATGAAATATTACCGTTTTTAACTGTATTTTGTGAATATTATATATACCCAGGTATTCATTAAGAGCGAAAATACACAATGTGAAGTGACCTTTTTAAAAATCCTTTAAGCAATATTCCAGCAATATCACAGCAGGGGACACCAGACATGGGCTTCACACATTGTACCCATGTGGGGAAACGAACAAGGGTCTTCAGCGTGACGAGTGGACGCTCTAACCACTAGGCTACCTCACGGCCCCTCTTACAGAGAGAGAAATCATCTTCTCTTCTGTGGATAACAGTAGCAGCTGCGACAATATGCACTGGTCCTAGACTGCTGTTTGCATGAGGAAGAATAAGATAACGATTACATTTCAGAGTGAAATTCACCTGATTCTAAGTGTAAAATGTGTTACTTCCATCAAACCTTATCATGTCCTGTTTGCATTAATTAACTTCAATTTGTCAATTTTGTTAGATGAACTTTTGTTAGACTACAGCTGCACTTCAGGCAGCAAAGTTTCCTTGAAACACTAAGGGCCTGGGATTAATCTTCCTCACAGGAGTGTACACTGTGTCCATCACTGGTGGTGTCTTTATAAGATGGATTTAGAAGATGATTGTTACATATCAAGTTTGTTGTACATTTGTTTAAAATCTTTGCCACATGCTTTATTTATTGGATACATGTCTTATATAAATGAACTAAGCCTTATTTGTATAAGTCCTAATCATAGAATACCTGTGTTGTTAATAGAAGACATGTTTTATTTCTATAACATTTTATTTCTACTATACCTGTATAGTATATATTATTAATATAATCTATGATTTATGAAATATACAAATTCTCTACATTTTATACATATACCTATATGGTACAATTTTAAGGATGCTGCTTGTAACATTGGGAACCAGGAAACATGTTTGATCATCACAGCCTGCATGGAGCTTAGTACTCCAAGTTTGATTCAAGACAAGACAGAAAGAGAGTGAAATAGTTTCACATCTAGTTGGCTGTTAAACTTAGCTTGCAGCTTAGATTTTTCTCACCTGAGATATGCAATTGTGACATGTCTGGTGGAGGAGGAAAATGATCAGCATGTCCATAGTACCCATCAAGTGGCTTGTTAACTGTCACAGCCTCCCTTACTCCACCAACTGCATGAATAAGCTGGAAGGAAACAATGACAATACACAGTCTGTATACTTTAAACAAGCTCAGTGTACAAAACTGATTGTTAGCCTTTTGAATAAAAGAATGATACAGCTTTGCATTTTAACACATGGGGTCACGTGCTTCATGCAGTTATGTTTTCAGATAATACAATAGATAGTAAAAACATGCAACTGATAACCATTCTCATCCAACAAAATACCTCTTGACTTGGAAAGATCTTGTCTCAATCCTCCCTGAACAGAATAAGCTATCTGCCTAAATGTTGATCTTAACCATAATGTGGAGTGCATAGGAGATCATTATCATATTTATGTCTCTTTCATGAAGTCACTAAAGACTTAGTATCATTAGACAGTCCACAGGAGCTCTGTAACTCTCGCTGGTACTGAGGATAGACTGAAAAGTGGCCAACTTTAAAAAATAATTATAATAATTCTTAGAAACAACCTATTCCACTTGATTGCCTTTTTCCAGAAACTTGTTTCTGAATCCACAGGTCCTCCAAGCGGCATTAGCAGGAATTATCTACCCTATTGGAAAGTTTGAGAAACCTGATAATGTTTCCTAGAGTACCTTAAGACGGTAAGGATAGACTGGGTGACAACAAGAGACCCCAGGTCTTCAAGTCCCTGAAGGTCCTGGGTGACATCCCTCAGATTGAAAGACATAAAAGTATTCAAAGACACCCACTGGCAAGATGACATGATCTGTTCTAGTAAGATGGTCTTCCGCAATGCTGAGGATGAAGCAATGGCTTTAATGTCATGTGGACGTATGGATCCATAAGTTGGTGGCTGATCTGCTGACAAAATCTGAGTCAACTTTATAGTTTTCTTAATCCAGGTAGCCAGTGTGTTTTTCGAAATATCTTTCTCTGATTGTTCTTAACAAAAATGAAGCATACAACTTGTGAAATCTGGCCGACGTGAAGTGTCGCTGTGTCCAAATGTGTAAGTGGAGTTGCTCCAGGTTGTGCTGGAATATGTAAGACTTTGGATGTGTGAGAACATTGGCAAAAGATGGAGACATAATAGTTGATCCACTGGCAGGGAGAGATCTGAAACCCATGAGTGTGTCAGCCATGCTGTGCCACGGTACAAATGCATTTGCGATCATGACTTCCCAAGTTGCCAAGGCATACACTGGAAAAGCTTGTAGATCTTGATCTGAGCTCATTTAAGCTGGTAAATGGTTGAATGGCGATGCTGCAAACAGATCCATATGAGGTTGTTCCCATTGGATCACTATCTGTCTAAAGGCTTCCAGATGAGGTGTCCATTTCGTAGACAGGATCTTGTCTGGATGAGATAAAACATCTACAAGGATGCCGTGTTCCCTGGGATCTGTCTGGACATGATGTTGCAATATAGACTGTACGTAAGATAGAAATATTTCCTTGCAAGATCCAAAAGGACTTGAGTATGGGTTCCCCTGAGCCTGTAGATTTATAATATTGCCATGGAGGAGATTCTTAGGTGTGGCACCCAATGCTGAATAGCTAGGTGATCTGCTCTCATCTCCAGTGTGTGAGTGAGAGAGCCACTTTTAGCAATATTCCAGCAATATCTTGGAGGGGGACACAAGAAATGGGCTTCACACATTGTACCCATGTGGGGAATTGAACCTGGGTCTTTGGCTTGACGAGCAAACACTTTAACCACTAGGCTAACGCACGCATGCACCAGCTGATGTGGACAGGAGAATTTGGCACCCCTGACCTGATGCAGTCCTGTCTTCGAGATGAGCACCAAATCCTGTGAGTGATGCATTTGTGAAGAGGTGGCAATCTGATACGCACTAGATCCATACGCACTATGTCAGAATGGAGCTGTGTTCCCTGATGTTGGTTGATACAATCTTGAATGTATCTTAGATGCAGATAGCCTCTGGATGTAAGATCCTGCATAGAAGTGAGAGTTTCTTGTCGTGAATTCCATTGATGTAGAGTGTGAGGAGATTGCTGTAACTGTGGTATCTTGGATCTGACCTCTTGAAAATGACCCTCTAGAGGATAAACTAGGCATTGACTGGTGTCAAGTAAGAATAGCCACAGAGTGATTGAGATTCAAAATGGTAGAACCTTGAACTGGAGTCTTCCGTTGACCGAAATGTAGGTATCTCTGAGAGATCAAAGAGCTCCCTATGGATGGTCTGTCCAAGGTTCCATATGGACTCCATCTGAAATGTGTAAGGTCATCTCAGGTATTCCCGTTTGAGGATCTTCAGATTGATAATCATCCTGCAGACTGTTGAATCCTTCATGGCAACCAGAAATACCCCGAGACAAAAACCCTGGGCTGTGCTCCTAAGGCTCAAACTCGATGACTTGTCCAAGGTCATGTCATCGTTGCTGAAAATTTGAGTTCCCGGGGCAGATACCGATGTCCTTGAATCATCTTGTGTGAATCATCTCGCCAAATTGCTTTCAGGATCTACTGATTGGTTGTTATGATCTTCCAGTTTTCTGCAAAAGCTGATAAATGGCTGCCAAATGGACCCTGAAACACCTTCAAGGGAGATATCTCCTGCAATCTCCATCTTAACTATTGAAGGATCATCGGCAGCATCTGCTTCATTAGTCAAAGGCGGCATCTTCCGAATCTCCCGAGACAAACCAAAAGTTTAATCCCAGAATTAATATGTTGATCTATTCAATAAAATCCCTGATTCTCCCTTCCTTGATGGATAAAAGTTTTGTTATTTAACTGAAAAATCTTGATATCCTTATCAAATGAAGGTGATTTGATGGGTAATGTCAGTTATCAGTCACATACGAATCTTTTCGGTGAAGAGAAGAATGGCCCAAACAGTCTGGATACAATCCCTCAATCAACTCCTTGATCATCTCAGACTGGAAGGATGACTGATGTTACTTGAGTTGGGCTCTGGAGCCTTTGTTCAAGGGCTTTCATTGGCAAAGTCCTTATAATCAGGTAGAGGTGGTTTTGATTCCAGAAACAGGACATCTAGTGCAGTCAAGTCAGCAAATGTTTATCTGGCTGAATTGTGATCTTAGGATTCTGTTCTTAATTTCATAGACATAAACACTAGATTCTCTGAAGCATCTGTAAACTGCTCTGAATAACTGTTTGAAGATCATCTAGTAATAGTTATATGTTAGCATGTAAGGCCAGCCCTGTGGAGCTTCTCTTCTTGCTCATATGCTCACTGCTTTTTGTCATGAAAACTGTCCCTGTCCATACGGCCCAAGCTGCCTGTAATGAACCATCTCTCCACACACGTATTGTTATCTCTGATCACGCTTTCTCTGCTATGATGTCCTCAAACAGGATCAGCTAACCTCCTATTGACTGTTTGGTCCATGTGGACAATGCGGTCCTTGACTACATGATGAACACTTGACGAACAATCATTGGGTCGTGGTTGTCATCCATGCCTTCCATCTCAGGGTATACCTCAGCTCTATTGAAATTTGTTTGAAATTTATAACTATAAACTGTATACCTATAATACTTATCCTATCCCACGTATTGTACTCTCTCTCTTATGATAGACAGTTGACTGGAAACAAACTGTAAGCAAAGTTTTTGGACTCACTTGAACCCTTCGATCGAACACACCCCTACTGCTCCCGTTCCTGGACAGCCTGGTTGCCTCTGAGAAGCATACAGCCTGTGCTCTAATGGGTCTTTAGTTAAAATATTAAAAATTTCTAAAACTTATCCTATCTCACGTCTTGTACTCCCCTGGTTGGATGGTGGGCCAAAGATTACCCTGTGTCTAAGTGAATAACAACCTTGATGATGATGCACAAGGAGGCCTGTTATGAGTACAATCTCCTGACTGAATCATAACTCCTATACTTGTGATGGGTTGCTTCTTCAAAAGCCCCTTGGCTTACTAAGCACAAAAACTCCCTGGGTGTGGGAGTAATGTAAATGTAGTTTTCTGCTGTACATTTGTCCTGAAAGTTCCATTAATTAAAGTCTTGCGACTTTAATCTGTCCAGCCCCTGCTTTGAAACTGTCTCCTATGATCACACATAATAATGAAAGGCGAAAAAACTACGTACATTCAACTGTTTAACGTTCGGCTCCGGATGACATTGAATGACCCTTGCTCCTTAGCTTCAGTTTAGTCAAAGATGTGCCTGGCAACTAGGAGCAGTATTCATACTGATTGCTCAGCGGGTGAGTATGAGAGTAATGAAATATTTTTGACTTACTGACAGTATGGTCTAATTAATTGGGTTAGCTGAGATAGGACTGTAGTTCGCTTGTGTCACAGGTAACTTGCAATTCTATTAAGTCACTATTGTTTATACTTTTCATTGGTAGGAATTGCATATTTTCCGAGTTTTATCGCCTAGAAAGACTTGCCATGCCTCTATATTTTGCAATGTAATGCGCCATAATTGTTCAAGCTGTAAACTGTTGTTGGATTACTCGCAGACACTGGATATTGAAATTTCGGCATGTGTGATGTTGTTGTAAATATGAAATATGGACTTGAGCATGTCTGACTGGTGATTGTCGAATTTGTATCGTGTGCTTGCATTCCCGCATTTGTCACCATGATCATGAGGTATAAGAATAAATCTGTATCGGCAGGAACTATTCTTATGTGATTCATTTCTTTGGTGCTGGTAAGTTGGTGAAGCGCGAGCCAGCCGTACATACACACAACATATGGGAACACAGTAAGCACATTATACTTTGGGGTAACCATGAATGAAGCTTACATGAGCATCGATCACCTCTGCAAGACTGGCTTCTCAGTCTATAAAGTTGCTCAATGGTGACTGTACTGCAATGCCCCACTATGGAAGCAGGTGAGGTAGATCTGATGCCCAAAGGAAAGTAGGATGAAAAGGAATAATGAAGTTCCATACATCGATATCCTTATTTACTATATTCAAGGTAACACAGACTCCTCGAATGAAGGATGCTACTGTCTGCCTTGGACAGTTGCTGCGCCAGTACCAGGGCACCAAACTGTTGAAGTCACTCAACGTCAGTCACTAAGAGGACATGCAGGTAGTGGGAGGAAAAGACCACCTCTGACCTCCAGAAACATCAGGTCAGCAAACAGTTGCTGTGAAGAGCCATAGTTGATGCTTAGACATGAGTCTCATGAGGGTTGGAGGGGGGAAGAGCTGGAGTTGGAGGGGGAAGACCGGTGAAGGTGTGGGCTTGCAGGATGGTGGATCTCATCCAGAAGGCTTATTTAGTACGGGAGACTTTCGCTGATGAAGCTGTTGAGAGGAAGATGAACAGGCATTTGCGCAACCTTAGATGGTCTGGTGATGTAATTCTTTAGTGCTCTGACGGGACACAGCGTGAGATCTTCGGTGTCGTGGACAATGGGGGCAGAATGAAAAGTCTATCTGTTAGCCCTGACAGTTTATTTTTCGCTATGAAGTCCCATCAGAGAACCAGAAAAACTCTGCTGTGCCTCTTCTCTCGAAACGTACTCGATTAACTTCCAGAGCGCGCTGAGTTCTGACATACGTGCAGCAGTAGCTAGTGCTATCAGGAAGAAGGTCTTAAAGGTGATGCACTCGAAGTTCTTCTCTTCCAGAGGTTCGAAATCGTCTGAGACGAGATGTCTAAGGATGAGGTCCCAAGCCGTAGGTCAGAACTTCTTTGATTGGTCAGATAACTTGTTCAGTGGGACTGAAGTTCATTGTATCACCGTGTTGATAACTGCTAAATATGTGGCAAGGGTACACGCCTTCAATTTCCAGATGTTGTAAGTGTTCAGCAACAACCTGGACAGATGCTGTAGTGGGAGATGGTATGCCCTTCATTCTGCAGTAGTCTTCAAACTTCTTCCACTTGTCATCGTAAAGAGATCAAGTGGAAGTCTGATGAGCCGAAGTAATTGCAGCAGCTACTCTTCTGGAGTACCCTTTGGCCATAAAAGATTTCTGAACTGAGTGAGTGAGTTTAGTTTTATGCTGTTTTTAGCAATATTCCAGCAAACGACTATGTCAAACGGACTCTAGTACTTGTATTTTCTGTACTTTCAGAAGTTTGACCGAAACAGTTGTCCTAAATTTTCTCTGTCTTTGATCTCTGCTCTTAGGCGAAGCAGAGCCTGATTCTTCTATATACTGTAGTTAGCAAAATGTCGTCTAACTTGGCACAAAGGCTGCATCAGATCTTCCTCTGCTATTCTTCATATGAAAAAGACCTATACAGTCTATGCAGGATGCATGAAGGTCTTCTTGCAGTCCATGCAAACTTTTCTTTTCCTTGATGTTGAAACTTCTTTCCCCATGATGTTAAACGTTATTTAAGTCAGTGTATTTGCCACAGTTTACAGCACGTCAGCAGCCTAGTGCAGCAAGAAAGAGAATAACTACACAAAAGGGTCACATGAACCATCAGAGCACAGGCTGCATGCTTCTCAGAGGCAACCAGGTTGTCCAGGAAAGGAAGCAGTGGGTGTGTGTTTGGGCGAAGGGTTCAGGAGAGGCCCAAAACTTTGTTTACAGTTCGGTTCCACTCAACTGTCGATTATAAGAGGGAGAGGGAGTACAAGACGTGAGATGGGATAAGTAAAAAAATTAGAAAAAGAATTATATCATGTTTTACAGATTCAGAAATTTTCAGTAAATTGTATTTAAATCCCGGACAAGATCTGCACGAAATGTAAGACTGATTATATTGTTGACGACCCAAACTTTAATCAGTCTTGGAAGTGAATAACTGCAAACCTTTTCCATATTCAATGCAAAACCCTGTTTAGATGGGGGATAACAAATAAGACTAGCAGAAAGTGTTTGTACATCATCAATTCATTGGCTACAAAGCCCCATTTTGGAAAACTGTAGGCTAGCCTTTTCAAAGTGACTGTTCTCTTCATATCTAACCATCCGAAAAAGAAAAAGAAGTGAAGTAATCACTTACAGATTGATTTGCTTTTCTCCAGTTGTTGCCAGCATTCATATCCCGTGGATTCATTGAAACTACCTTGGCATTCTGTACCATTGGTGTTATGGCTGTAATGGAAAAAGGAGACTAATTAACCAAATTAAATTATGCGAATCAGTTTTGTTGTTAGGAACTATGCAATCAGTCAATACTTAAATAAGGAACAATTACATGTATTGTTAGTAATTGTTAGTAAACTTACCTCTGGATTATGGTAGCCTTATTCCTGTGGATGCACAGAATACATACAGAAAATCACAAGAAATTTTAACACTAAGTCATAGCCATTCCTGGTGGTACACCTAATCTACCCCTGAGTTATCTCCCTTGATCACGACGTCACTGTATCGTTCTCCTAGAACCCTTCATAATTTTTCTAAAAAACAACACATCAATGACATGTTCTGAGGATAAATTCACGGGGAGGACACAGGGTGGGAACTACTCCCCATAATCCAGAGGTAAGTTTACTAACAATTACTAACAATACATGTAATTGTTCCTAATTATAATGTAAACATTCCCTCTGGATTATGTTAGCCTGAATCCCAAGTAAGGAAGGAGGGTTACCCTTGGAAGATACTACCCTCTTTACCACTACAGTCTGTTTGGCTCAAAAGCGGACCGATGAATTGCAATCTAACTCGAAAACTAATAAACATAACATACTCAATGAAACGCTGATCATAATCAAAACCTCAGACCAACTCTGTGAGGTTTTTGCAGAATTTTTGTCCTAAAAATAAAAAAAGTTGTTTAACAAACTATCATTAAAATATTGACACAGTTCACTATTAGTTACGAGGGGAGGAGAGCAGAGAAAGGGACAGCCAGGTGTCCGACACTAACATGAGACTTCCCGTACAAGCGATTCCCCAAGCAACGAATTGCTTTCAACAGTGCTAACATCTCCCGACAGTTTATATGCAGACTCACCTCTGACAGATTCCACACACCTTGAATTTGCCAAATGTCCATGTGTGCACCCCAACCCATGTTCGAGGCATCCTCATAAAGTGTCAGATCCGGTAAACGAGGACGTAATGAAACTCCTGGCAACACATTCACGTCCACAGTCCACCATAATATCTCCCTTCGGACGCTGTCTGGACAGGCTATGAGCAGTTCCAAGTCCACCATCCGAGACTGGTTGAGCCAGATGCGAGATTCTCAACCTTAGTCTTCCTCTTACAGTATAATCCTGGATTGAAGTGAGAGATCCTAGAAGGGACATCCATGAACGAACTGATGCAGTTGGCGTCTGTAACATATTGGTTATCTTGGTTGATATTTCCAGAAACTTGATCCTCGTAGAAGGGACCAGTTCTGACTTGGTAGGATGAACTATTAAACCCAGATGTGTAAACACGTGGATTATAAAGTTGGTTTGCTTCATGAGAACCGCTGTCACCACATTCCTTGCCAAGAAATCGTCCAGATAGCCGTGTATCGCAATCCTTCGTTGGTGAAGATAGTCCAGAATCGGGGAGATTATTTTTGTGAACAACCACAGCGCTAGAGATATCCCGAACGGCAGCACCCTGAACTGAAACCTGCGACCATTCACTGCACATCTTAGGTATTTGCGAGATCTTGGATGAATAGGGATATGAAGATACGCATCGTTTAGATCTATACTTATAAACTTGGAATCCTGACGAATCAAGGTGCGTAGGTTTGCAATTGATTCCATCCTGAACTTTGGCGGTTTCCTCAAAAATAGCTTGTGTAACACTTTCAAGTCTATTATCATGCGCATTTTGTCCGAATCTTTCTTGGGGACTAGGAATACCGGTGAATAAAACCTGCATGTCTTATCCCCTGGATTAAGTTCTATGATTGCCCGTTTCTCCAGTAGCTGATTTATTGCTAAGTTTGCCCCCGCTAAACGCTGGCCTTGAAGACAAAACCGACGACCCTCTGGAAAACAAGTCACTGGAGGTTGCTTGTGCCAAGGAAGAATACCCCCCCTGCTCACTACAGACAGGACCCACTCGTCTGATGCTATTACTTTCCAATTGTCTAAGTATTGGGCCAATCTGCCCCCTACTGGAGATCGTCTCACCGGACATACAAATTCCAAATCCAATATCATTTCAAGGGACGTTTACAATTCGTAAGGAAGAGAACGCTGAACAGTGAGACTTGAGTCAATATTTCTTGGAAGTTGATCTTGATCCACGAAAAGATCTACCTCCCCTACCTCTACCCCTAGATGAGGATGAGCCTCTAGTAACAGCCACATTTGTAGAACGCGCTCTTGAATCCGAAGTCAAATCAAAGGCAGATCTCTGAAAGTTCTGACTACGACTTGATGAAGATGGAGCAGAACGAGACGTAACACTAGAACCTCTTCTAGATCTAGTGTCAGCCCTTCCTCTATTTTGGAATAAAAGAGCCGACGCCAAACGTTGATTCAAGTTCCTCAACATCAAGGCATCTCTAGCTTCAATAGCCTGTTGACATTGTCCATTAAAGGTGTTATCCGATTCCAAGGGCTGGTGCAATAGAAAATCCCTTGAAACATCCGGTAAATTCCTCACTGAATCTAGCCGCTGTATCCGTTCAATAGCTGTAAGTCGTCCCAATATATTCACTTGAGTCACCATCGCATCGGCTAAGGACTGATACACTACATCCAGAAAGGAATGCGCTAACGCCACCTCTTTAGCAGTCATGGAAATCAAAGTGTCTTTCTTGACTCTCGTATAATCTTGAAACACTGGTGGGAGCAAAGCACGAACTCCCTCAGAAAACCAGTTTGAATATGATAGGGTATCAATTGCCGAACGGGCTGCCGTATCCAATCCCTTTCAATTCTTGAAGGTACAGAACGGTGCATATTCACGAGAGCCTCTAGCATCCTGTAACTGTTTAAAGTCCTTGTCTAAACTTGGTTATTTGGCTGTGATAACACGATCATGAATGGAATAATTGGGCATCCGTTCCGGGGGAAGGCAACCTGATAATCCGAGTTCCACAGGAATATCTATCTCCTGTTCGTCCGACAGTGGTGGCAGAGTATTAGGATAAAGTCTGTGCAAAAGTTCCAGCTTTTCTTTAAATGACCAGCCCTGCTTAAAATCCTGTGCTGACATGTCCATAGGATGTACCGTCAACAAGCCTTCTTTCATGGAAAACTTCGGTTGTGAAAAAGGATACACTGATAAATCCTCCTGATCCGTCACATCAGATACTAACAGAATTAAGGGTGGATTGTCCGTGTCAAAATAACCTTGCGGGTCCGTAGCCGTGTCCTCTGAACCACTAGGCCCGTGCAAATCAGACTGCTGGGTTGATACACCGCTATCCATAGCAGCCGACCCAGTGGCCTGGCTGGAGCCGGGGCGGGAATCACGTGCCGTCTGAGCCGAGTCAGAGCTGTGAAACCCTAGCCGCCCGGTCTCCCCATGGGAAAAGGTAGCAGGCTTTTTGCGACAGGGAGCAGCCATGGATGACGGGCTCCTGGGGACAAAGGACGTGGGGTGTGTGGCCTGAACCATGGTCACCCCAGATCCGGAGCCGGCTGTGCCGACTCCATCCCCGTCGCTTGTAGGGGACCGGCCTCCTCGTTACGCCAGGGCGTGATAACTGCTTTTTTCAGTCAGAGCACCCCTGGTTTCCGTAGGAAGGGACTTGGGTTCCCGGCTCTTTCCATCGACCACGAAGCCCCCACAGCTGTCTGCCGTCTTGCCGGGTAATACAGGATCTTCCAAATGTTTTGACAGGCGATCAAAGTTTTCGTCATTCCTCATCTCCATATCCCGTACAGATTTATCCATGGCCGCCTGGATCTCGGATTTAAATCCCGCCAAAAGTTCTGAGAACGCAGCTATATCCAACTGGGGAGAGGTTTTTTATTTAGATCTAGAACGAGACTTCGGTTCAGATTTTATAGATAAAGGCGGAGATCCCTAAACTTTCTTCGACTTAGAGCATTCTGATGACGATGAAAGTTTACGCTTCCTAACTAAGGAGCGAGATTCGTCCATCAACAACCAATCTTCTTCCGACATTTCCTGACACAATAAGCATCGATCCGATATTGAGCAAGGTAAGTCTTTATAACAGGAAGCACACAGAGAGTGGGGATCAACATCCTCCATGAATTTCTGACATTGTAAACATTTGCTCTGCGCCATACTTGTCAATCAAAAGGGCGGGAAAACTTCAGATCCTAAGTACGTTGGAAATATATATAATATAGATGCAAAACAGCAATGCGATTGAATATTAAATGGAATGCGATTTGTAACTGACCTACATATGAAGAATTGATAACTTGATTTGAAATGAAATTTCACTCGATTCTCAGCACGTCATGCGTGTGGACCATACAGAAAAATTATGAAGGGTTCTAGGAGAACAATACAGTGACGTCGGGATCAAGGGAGATAACTCAGGGGTAGATTAAGTGTACCACTAGGAATGGCTATGACTTAGTGTTAAAATTTCTTTTGATTTTCTGTATGTATTCTGTGAATCCACAGGAATAAGGCTACCACAATCCAGAGGGAATGTTTACGTTATAATTATGCCCCTTATTCATTCTTGCCCTCACAAAAAATTGTTTTTAATGGGCCAAAGGCCTTTTACTGATTAAAGGGAAAGTGTACATGATAAAAACATGTTTTTTTCTCTTCTTATAGAATTAGATCAAATCATTTTTTGAAAAAATACACTCATTTTTCTCACTTTTAAAGAAGAACGCCCAGTATAAGTGCTGAAATGTTATGCCATTATGAGGCCTCTTTTTTTCCCGAGCTGAACTGAGGCAAGAGATACCATCCTTTGAATATGACATAATTGATGCCAGTTTATTCAGACTGGTCTTCCGTCTAGTACCAAAGCAATAGACATTCATACTGAAATTAATCCCGTGAAAAAAACGTATGTAAATATAAGAAAGAGGCATTATAACAGAAAATGTAAGCAGCAGGATAGATTGATCATGTGCATTTTCATTCATATTCACTCAGTGAAAATACTAAATATGTTTAACAATATTGATGTACGTATGACATCACTATTGGCAAGTGACTTTCACAAAAAGGATTGGTCACAGACACAAGTACCCAAGATATTAGGAAGAAGATGGGTGGGGGTGGGGTGGAGGGTGCACGGTTCATTTTCATTCATTTTCACAAGTGTTTCAATTTGTGGGGAGGGGGAGGGAGATCCTCTGGATCCGTCTTTGCAGTATATATAAAAGGTCTTTGTCATGTCTACCCATGTCTTATCTGAGACACATAGCGCGCACATACACAAACACTATGAAACACAAGAGGCTGCAATGGAGGAAATCTTTTGTTGCACCTACAAGTTATACCTACAAGTGCGCCCTATTTCGTTATCAAGATATCTAGAGGTTAATATTTGCAAGATATCAACAAACTTCTCAGTCGATCACTTGCATCACATCACATGTCGGAGATCCCCTCCCTAAAATAATAACATATGTGTAGGAAAACCTAATGGGTGCTACTAAAATGGAATTGGTTTTCCGATTCTGCAATTCGGATTTATGCACTGAACTGGTAAAAGTGTGCTCTATTACGTGTACAATTGTTTCGAAATGAAAGTGTATCAGTTTATTAATGTTTTGGCGTTTTTAAATTTTATCAGTAAAAGCACAGAATTTGTTTAAATTAGAGATTAATAGAAAACATGATTTCCGCATTAAAGCGGGACAAATATTTCGGATTAACCACATAGTCACATGGTTCCTAATTTGCTATAGTTATGTTGGTCATTTGGAATTGCCAAAATATAAAGAGACTAAGTATCATTGGCTGAAAGTCATTTTGAATATTCCTATATATAGAGAAGAAATTCACCTGAGGGAAAATTCAGATTGATTATAAGGTTGGAGGCGTTTGGACCTCCAGCCAATAAGCATAACATAACCAACATATGTGTCATGTGACACACCCCAAGATAAATACTGGATTATGTCCACACTGTATGAGTTATTATGGATTTAGCTCTTCAGCTTGTCATGTTATGAGAAAACCCCAGTCCTTTCCAAATGTCTATCATCAGGAGACAGAAGAATGTGGAGGAGAGTGGGAATAATTCTGACGTAATAGAGGTAGTATTTTTAGTTACATATAATGATAAGTATTGTTCTAAAATTGTTACATATCCTCTACCCCTATTATATCAAGGGGCAGAGAGAAGGGACTCTATCAAGTGTTTGTGTCTTTGTAAGTTTGTAGTTCTAACTATATGGGTGTTATTCCAACTATATGATGGGGGCCTGTAGGTATCAGGGTCTAGACCTAACAAACAGGTGACATTAAACACAATGATCCATGACATTAGGGTGTTATTCCAACTATATGATGGGGGCCTGTAGGTATCAGGGTCTAGACCTAACAAACAGGTGACATTAAACACAATGATCCATGACATTAGGGTGTTATTCCAACTATATGATGGGGGCCTGTAGGTATCAGGGTCTAGACCTAACAAACAGGTGACATTAAACACAATGATCCATGACATTAGGGTGTTATTCCAACTATATGATGGGGGCCTGTAGGTAACAGGGTCTAGACCTGACAAACAGGTGATATTAAACACAATGATCCATGACATTAGGGTGTTATTCCAACTATATGATGGGGGCCTGTAGGTAATAGGGTCTAGACCTGACAAACAGGTGATATTAAACACAATGATCCATGACATTAGGGTGTTATTCCAACTATATGATGGGGGCCTGTAGGTATCAGGGTCTAGACCTAACAAACAGGTGATATTAAACACAATGATCCATGACATTAGGGTGTTATTCCAACTATATGATGGGGGCCTGTAGGTAATAGGGTCTAGACCTGACAAACAGGTGATATTAAACACAATGATCCATGACATTAGGGTGTTATTCCAACTATATGATGGGGGCCTGTAGGTAACAGGGTCTAGACCTGACAAACAGGTGATATTAAACACAATTATCCATGACATTAGGGTGTTATTCCAACTATATGATGGGGGCCTGTAGGTAACAGGGTCTAGACCAGACAAACAGGTGATATTAAACACAATGATCCATGACATTAGGGTGTTATTCCAACTATATGATGGGGGCCTGTAGGTATCTGGGTCAAGACCTGTCAAATAGGTGATATTAAACACAATGATCCATGACATTAGGGTGTTATTCCAACTATATGATGGGGGCCTGTAGGTAATAGGGTCTAGACCTGACAAACAGGTGACATTAAACACAATGATCCATGACATTAGGGTGTAATGACATGCAATGAAACATTGTACAGAGTCTAACTACTTGTTGTACTCAGTCACCCCATATAGCAGGAATATGCTGCTTTCCATCAGTTCTAAACTGGAATCCTTAAAACCCTGTATGAGGCTAATAGTGTAATTGCAGCATACACTTCACTCCCTTTTAGTGATCAGTTGAGCTGTCATCATGAAGAATGCTCCTTTACTTCAGTCATAACTTACTTGCTTTCAGATTTTCCGAGGCAGAGTTTACTCGATCTACAAAGGCAGGGTCTTCACTATTGTCCACCTCATTGTGGGCAACTTGCAGAACTCTGTTTGCTCTTCTTGCAATATTTGAAGCATTTGCAACAATCAATGGTGAGTCATTAGACCGTATACCATCTTCTATTCTCTCTGTGTCCCGCAAAATTCCTTCCTCTGTAAAGGTACATACAAACATTTAAGTATAAACACATAAAACAAAAGGACTTCAGATCTTTTCTACTCTTAAGTATAACAAGAAATCATATGTAGTCACATGTAGCAGTTGGTAACCGTAGCAGGTTCAGGTACTGTTTAATCAAATCAGATGATGAATGAACTCAACCACATCTTTCTATATCTTTATCCTTCATGCTGTCTATGCAGTTTACATACTGAGTCTTACTACCTACAAGCATGTTACAAGTACTTATGGTTCAGTGGGATCATATCTGTTTCCATTCAACACACCCAATGCAGTACAACAATGAAAACATATTTCTGATGTGTACATCCTAAAATGCATGCCCAATGTAGTCAAACCTTCAAAATGGGAAGTTACATTCTTGTAGCTGATTTCAAAACAATTTCATAAGCATTTCTGTTTTAATGAAATCCCTTTTGGTTGTGTAAGCATATGTCCAATGCATGGCTACATTGAAATAGAAAGTCAAGTGACTCTATCTACTATAGCAATACATATGCATGTACAGGTAAATGATATCAATTCAGGTTGATGTAAGGGCATGTTACAGGCAGTGCCACCTTTCTAACTGAAAGCCTACTGCCTCTCACAGTGTTAACAAAGGCATATAGACTCTCAGTTAAAGGATATCACTTCTAGCTGAGGTAAATGCATCTTACATGCAATTTGACTTGCAAGACAGCTTTGAAACAGAATGTCCCATGCCACCATTGCTTGTACTATCAAAATTAAAATCATGCAAGCATTCCAGAAGCATCACCTTTCCTAAAGCTCCCCAAACATACAATGTACTTTCAGTCATAAAGCATTACCTCCATTACAGGTATGATGCTGTCATGTTTCACCTGACAGATGATCACTACCTGGATACTGGCAACTTTCAGTAAGGAAAGCCAAGGAGCAAATTTTGTTGATAAAATTGAAAATTGGCCTCTGAACCACTCATCCAAACACACCCCTGTTACTCCTGTATCTGGACAGCCTTGCAGCTCCTGTGAAGCACGACACTTGTCTTCTGATTGATCATGTGTTTCCTTTGTGTAGTCGTTCTCATTTTGGAGCAGATAGTCGTAATCTGTGTAGCGGGATTGGTCGGATGGGAATCCATCGTGTGAGATAGGATAAGCATATGAATATACATAGTTGAACTTTTCACATGTTTAATCTTATCCTATCTCATGTCCTGTACTTATACCACAGTTAGGCGGTGGGCTGCAGCTTACCCTGTGTCTGTAAGTGGATGACAACTGTGATGATGGTGGTGAGGATGCACAAGGAGGCTAGTTGTGAGTTCAATCTGACAATTGACTGCATAACTCACTTGTGATGGTTTGCTTCGTGTAAAACCCCTTAGTCTTACACAGCAGAAAACTCCCATGGAGTGGGTGCTCCCAAATTTACATGGTTTTCACGCCATATCATTTGTCAAAGGACAAAAGACGGAACTGTGACAGGTTTTCCTGCTTTATCCCGATTTCCAGAAAGCCCCAGTAAATAAAAGTCTTGCGATTGTTTATTAGCTCAACTGTTTAACATTCAGTTCCAAACAACATCAATTGCCCTTCGCTCCTTTGTCTTAGCTTGATCAAGGATGTGTCCGGCAACCAGAAGTGGAATGCATCGAAATCCACTGGAAATTGGTATTCACGCTCCACTGACGTAATTGCTCTTTAGAGGTGAATGAATATGAGTGTCGATCACCTCTGCATCGTAGTACAAGACTGGACTCTCAGTCTATGATGAAGTTGCCCAGCGATGACTGTACTGCAATGCCCCAGTGTCAATCCAGGTGAGGTAAATCTATGCCCAAATTAAAGTAGAAGGAAGATGAACTAGAATGAAAACACCTTGATTTACTTTTACAAGTTATCACCGATTTCACAAACGGATGTCACTATCTGTATTGTTGGGCGGAGGACAGTTGGCTATGGCAATATCAAACTGATGGAGTCACTCAACATCAGTCACTGAGACACAGCGCTCTTACTGGACAGAGTGAGAGATCTTCTGTCGTCAGGCCCAAGTCGGTGGACAATGTCGGGATAGTCTCAAGTCTATCTGGTTGCCCTGGCAGTTTATTCTTCACTATGAAGTCCCAACGAAGACCCAGGAAAAACTCTTGCTGTGATTCTTCCTCTTAAGCCGTATTCGGTTAACGTCCACGGTGTTGAGTTCCAACATACGAGCAGCAGTAGCCAGTGCTACCAGGAAGAAAGTCTTGAAGGTAGTGTGCTCGAAGGTCCTCACTTATAGAGGTTCATAATCGTCTTAGAGAGGTCCCAGGTCGGAGCTCGGAACTTCTTAGATTCATCAGATAACTTTTAGGATCACAGTAAGGACTGGAGTTCAGGCACAGTAGAAATCTTAATTCCTGTCGCCGTAGCTATAGCAGTGTTGATAGCTGCTTAGTATGTAGCAAACGTAGACGTCTTCAGTTTCTTAGACATTCTCAGATATTGTAGATATTCAGTAATAGTCTGGGCGGATGCTGAAGCCGGAGACAACATGCCCTTCATTCTGCAGTAGTCTCCAAACTTCTTCCACTTGCCCTCACAAAGAGAGTGAGTAGAAGTACGATGAGCCAATATGTAGATGTAGCATCAGCGGAGACCAGTGTAGTCGATTGGAGTGTGGATGAATCAACACGTTGTCTCAAATGGGTAGAGCGAATAGGTCTGGATCTGTGAGACTTAGAAGATCGACGAGCCAACTTTGAGCCAGCAAATAGGGTTGTCTTCCCAGTGGGGCGAAGTTTTCTAACACTTCTGGAAGAAGGGCCGTAGGTGGAAATGAGTAAGTATAGGTTATGAGAATACTAGAGTGTCTTATTCCCACGCCAGTGTGCCTGAGATCAGTTATACAAATCTGGTTAGTTGACCTGGTCACAAACACATCTATCTGAGGGTGGGTGATCGGGAGACAAACTGATCTAAAGATTTGTAGCTTATTCGGTGTGGAATGGCTGATCTAATAGAGCGTCAGCAAAGACGTTCATCACTCTCGGTATATGTCTGGTTCTTGTTGAGACTGATAAGGAGTCTATCAGTTAAAAGAACTGGATCGCCCAACCTAGAAGGTGTGACGACCCTGTTGGAACCCAGATGATTGATGTGGCATACCAGTTGTCTGATTGTATGAGAAGACTGGTCAGTTCGTTTGTGTGAAGTGACTGATTGTCAAACGACCAATGCCTGCCACTAGATGATCGTGAAGATCCTTGAAGAAAGCATCAATGAATAGGTGATGAGTGGGGTTGAACGGTGTCAAGAAAACTCCTTTGCAAACATTCGTTTGAGTCACCATAGTAGGTATTGATGGATCAGCTCATGGGGATCGTCGAGCCTCAGGATCTGATGTAGAAATATGGGCATAGTTGTTGTTGACCCATGATCCTGAGGGCTTGGGCTGACGTAGAAGGCCGAGCAACTCTTGCCATTGTCAAAGAGTTCTCTCTTGAGACAGTGCTAGTGGTACCATGTGTTGAATCTTGACCCATCTGGGGAGAAACATCTTCCCCATACAAGTGTTGAATACGGCCTTGATACAATTCCTTGATGATGCAGAACTGCATGATAGCTTTCATGATGAGGATAAATAGCCATGTGCTTTAGCAAAGTCAATGGTTAGTAGAGTTGATACCAGCGCCGAAGGGTAGGTTCTTTGAATCGGACCATTTGCCCATCACTGTTTTCATAAGTGGCTTCCAATCAATGTATATCCTTTTCGTTGTACAAACACTCTGTGCATACCAATCTAATCTATTGCATAAATTGCCACTTAATCCCTTCACATATCACTTAATCTCCTTGAACTCAGTATGCACTTTCATCTCCCTGGCCTCCTGTACATATTATGTAATTTTGTTCTTAATCATATTCTGTCATTCACCTGATGAAGGGGCAAGAAGTAGCCAAGGTATGTTGTGTTGTAAATATTAAAGAAGTAATAAATCCATACTATACATTACGTTTCCTTCCAATTTCTAAAAGCCCATCAAGCATCTGAAGAGAATCCATGTTAATTCTCTTCAGGTTCTTGAAAGCTGTGTCTTAATGAGGCCATATGAGTAATGCAGGTACGAGCTGGTAGAGTAATCATAGATGAGTGCCGCTCTTCCAAGCAGAACATTGATATCAGATCATCCGGCGATTTATTTCTAGACAGCACCAGTTGATTGGCGATCCCAGCGAGTATATGCGTCATCTCAATGTTATCAATACTGTCATCCAAATTAAATTGGTTCTATGAATATGTAGGTGAGATCGACGTATTCGGAGGTTGAATTTAACGACACTTGTCTGTAGACACAGGTCAGAGCATGGCTTGAACAATCAAATCAAAAAGGTTGAGATTTGACCGTGTATCTTGGAAACGATGATTCCAGGATACTCATAACGTCGGCTGCGTCGGCCTTGTAACTTGTGACATGTGGGTGACTATCGCAGAAGTAGGCTGATGTCCAGTCGAGGAAAAGTCGTAGGATTCGACATTCCTTTTGAGAGGTTCAGGAGATATGATGCAGTTGCTGAATCATTAGCAAGTCTTGCAAGTTTGATGACTGTTTGATGAACTGTTTGACTACCCATGATGAAACTGGTGGTCTTGGGATCGGGGATCCGCTGGTATGCATCTGAAGTATGTAAAAGTCGTCTCAAGTTCTTTGATGTCTGATGTCTCCCCGAATTCAAGAGGATCGTCGAGTTGTGATCTTGCCAGTTTGATGAATGTGGGTTTGTCGCATCTTGCAAAACCGATGAATGTAGTTTCACCGCATTGACAAATGTAGGTTTGGAGAACATTGTATGACCAGTACCCATAATGAATCTGACAGACTGGGGAATCGCCGATCCACTCAATGCATCTGAGTTCATACTCAATAATTAGTATAGCAGCATATCTAGAAGTAGTCTTGATCTGCTATACATGTGGACACTCTGTGTGCCTTCTCCATGCACCTCTTGGTTTGCTTAGTTGAAGAAGGGCAGAATTCTTCTGACTTGTGTCTTGAGTCCCAGTCAGCAAGGCACTGGGACCCCACATTCCTGTAGTTAGCAAAGCTATAGTCATCCATCTTGATTCACATATTGCGTCTTTCTATCCAGTTGCAAAATCCAATGTAATCAATGCTAGATGCATGAGGATCTTTCAGTCAGCACAAACTTTCCTTTTTCTAATGATGTTAAAGTCTAATCATCTAAGTCAGTTTCTTGACAGAGTTACAGCATGTCAGCACAGCAGTGCAACCAGAAAGAGAACGACAACATAAGGAAACACATGATCAATCAGAAGACAAGCTGCGTGCTTCACAGGAGTTGCAAGGCTGTCCATATACGGGAGAAGCAGGGTGTGTTTGGATGAGTGGTTCAGGGGCTAAAAACTTCAGTTACAGTTCCTTTCCACTCAGCTGTTGAATCTGAGATAGGATAAGTTTAAAAATTGGGGACTTGCATATATTTCTTATACCACTATGACACTGCAGAAACTAAAAACTGATACTTTACAGGATGACAGAAATATATCTAATTGGAAGTAAAACAAACTTAATTTACCTTCAGCCTTTATGAGAGCTGTTGTATCAACTGCTTCATCTACAAGAGAGCGCAGGCGTTCCATGTTGTCTGTCCAGTGCTTTTTCAGCAGATCATAATGTTCCTGTGCAGCAGGATTATTTGGATTTTGGAAAACTACCCTTGCAGCATTTATGACTTGAGGTGTAAGGTCTTTAACCTGTAACCAAGAGATACACGAATACATGCAAGGCTGGTGGACAGAGATCTGTTCTTGTGTGTAAAAGTTCCAAATAGGTCTCTCAGATCTGCACGCCCATATCTGCTTGAGATTGTTTAGCCATCCAGCTAATATGGATTATATGTTGTTATCTCTGAGTCTATATTGCTTCAGATGAAAATATTTATATATATGATTCTATGTGTATGCTCTACTGCTCACTGGAATCAGAGTACTCAAACAGGACATCATACTGGGGAACGGACTTCAGTCTGTTTTTCTGTCTCTCCATTCCAATACTATCTGTTAGATTTAGGTAGGAAAGCTTAAGCATTGTGTACCATTGGGTAAGGTAAAACTATTTTTTTCTAAACAGTAGATCGACATAAGACTTGTTCGGGTTTTTAGTCAATCAGCATTATTCAGCAAATGAGTGAGTGAGTGAGAGTTTTGGGTTTTACGCCGCTTGTAGCTTGAGTGCAATTCTTGACATTCTTGTATCGCATGCAGGCATCGGTGATCCTGATCGTCATGTTGGCAGAAAAAAACATGTGGATTTAGAGAAGTTGATTGATAGTTCGAGCCAAAAGAAGATTTCTTCAAATGTTCACTACGCCAAAGGACAATAAAGCAGTGATTAGTTCTGAGGTGATGTTCACAAAATTTCTTACTGAGGACAATGTGCCTCTGTCAGTTTCCAATGTGTGCCAGGACTAAATCTACAGCAATTGTTAAAGGTCTTGCTGACAGTGAGTGATGCAAGATATATAACTGATCAAATTACATCTGCCTCTTTTAGCATTGCTACTGATGAATCAAATGACCATGCAGACATCAAACTTTATCTTTGAAGAAAGACTTGAGAAAATATTAACAACAATGCTGACATTGACAGAGTGCTATGAAAGAAGCAAAGGATAAAATATGTTCAGGTAATAATATGATTCATTTTAAATACTCTATTTACATGATTAATTTTGAATGGCTCTTGGTCCGTAATTGCAGCATGATGTTATACTTTTACAAATGTAACTTTTAAAAGGCCTTTAATATTTCCAATTTGTTAAAAACATTTCTGCTGATATCTTTAAGTAGGTGGTACCAGGTTGAAAAAAAAAACAGAATTTAAAGGAAGAACACACACTATCCGATTTGATTAATTTTGTTTCAAAGAATAACAGTGATAACAAGTCAAAGAATAACAGTGATAACAAGTCAAAGAATAACAGTGATAACAAGTCAAAGAATAACAGTGATAACAAGTCAAAGAATAACAGTGATAACAAGTCAAAGAATAACAGTGATAACAAGTCAAAGAATAACAGTGATAACAAGTCAAAGAATAACAGTGATAACAAGTCAAAGAATAACAGTGATAAAAGTCAAAGAATAACAGTGTTAACAAGTGTGTGCTTTGATCAGAAATGGTTTATCTACTATAAACTTAATCCAAATAAACATGTGTATGAATTAATACTGATATTGACGGAGATTCTTTTGACCACGACCTTCTTCCGACATCATAGACATGTGAATGCAGACTGACACATCAGCAAATGTAGACAAAAAGTTTTTTTTTTTTTTTTAAAATCCTATTTTGAGTGCAGTCGGTTTTGTCAACAAAGTTAAGAAATAAAAGACCAAATGATTTATTGATATTGTTTGGAGTTTTGAGTTTAAGTTGTTGACAGTTTATTCAGATGAGCCGTTGCATGTGTTCATGTTTGAGTAAGCATGGTAAGGTAAACATTAATTATAACCTTGCTACAGACTTGTGTCAATACAGCAGATCCTCAAAGACTCTTGCTGTTGCTGTTATTTTAAAATATTAATATTTTATACTATTTAACTTCCTGGTTTTCACACTTACCTTTCATTCAATATACCTAACATATTTGTATACCCAAATTCATTACACTTGTATTGCTAGCTTTAATTAAATTTTATTTAAGTGTACAGAAATGGAAAAAAAATTCAATTTAAACATAACATTATTGTCTGGGGCAATTGCATGACCTGAAAGTGAGCGACAACAGGTCTGTATCTTACACATCATTCACTCACATATAGCACTGGGCAGGATATGTAGCCAAAGTTGTGTTTTCTTTCCATTCATCTTCATTGTACTTGTTTGTATTCATCTTCATAATAATTGCTTGTAATCATATTGATAATACTTGTAAAAAACACAATTCTTTAGATTTCTAAAGTTTGGAAATTGTAACTATAAATTGTATATTTATAATACAGTAGGTGCTGAAGGAAGAGAGTACATTGAGAAAAACCCACACCACAACTTGAAAACATTCTTTCAATCTGTGAGATTGTATTTTATGTGTGCAACTATATGTGCAAGAATTTCCCTTTTGGAGACAAAGTCCCCTTGAATGCTGCTGTTGCTGATGTTAGCAAAAGAAGTTAAATGGATTTGAGCTCCCTATCTTTCTTTGTCAAGAGATTTAGAGGTATTTCTGAACAACTCCATCTTGGAACTTTGGATGAACAGGAAGCTGAATTATTGGAGCATCAGATTGAAGAGTTTCATGCAGAAATCAAGCAATCAGACAGGGCAGATACAGTATGGGTTTTGATTGGAAAGCTAGTTGATCCTGTAACTGGCTGCAAGAAGTATGGATTGCTTGCCAAGGTGATGCTGGCTAAACTGGTGATTTTTCATTCAAATACAAACTGAACAGATTTTCAGCTTTGTCACAAAGTCTTAAACAAAATTTTGACCAAACATGACAACTCCAACATAAAGTGCACTCGTCACTCACAAAGTTTCAAAGTCTTTTCTGCAGAACTCCAAAAACAGGTCCTCAAAGATGCTAAGAATACAACCTACAGCATGTTACATAAATGATTTGGCTTCAGAATGTTCAGATGAATCAAAACAGTATTAATGTCAAGAAACTTGGTATATACCTACAGACATCAATGTAATTGTGCCTTTTGAAGGTTTTAATGTTCAAGGTTTTTTCTTGTTTTCTTCATGTTAATTATTTGCTTACAAATATGTTTATAAATTTAGAATGTTTGATATATAATTTTAGTAAATATCCATTTTAATATGTTAATTTGAGTTATGTCTTATCTGGTTAAGTAGGCCCAGAAAATACAGGAAATTGCATATTTCCATGTTAAATTTAAACATATTCCAGACCCCCACCATCTCGCACTCACTCCCAAATTGCAGCTTCAGTGCTGAGGCATGGCTTTCAGCCAGGCATGAATCCACTTTCATTAGATTCAGGGTTGACATCTCTGTTAACGCCATTGAGGCTGGCCTTGTGCAGAGAAATTTGGCAAATACGTTTTTGATTTACTGGACTTTCGTTTTGAGGTTCATTATCGACTTAAAGTTTATATATTTAGAAAGTTGTGCATTAGGTCATACCATACATTGTTCAAAAGGTATGTGAATTGTACTTGGTAAATAGTTACATGATAACTTCTGCTGCGCTCCTGTCGAAAGGCATACAGCAGCATTGAGAGGATTAACTACTGCTGATCATGTGATGCGCCAATATTACTCCTTCTCCTTCTCATTGCTTTTGTCCGGAAACCATTTAAGTTTGAAGAGAATATATTTTGACATTTTCTGTGAGTCTGTGAACTCACAGGGTGAGACAGGATAAGTTTCAAATATACATCTTTAGCTGAGAATGGTATGAATTTATCAGAAACCTAAGACATTTGCTCCTTTATTGGTGCACTCAAATTGTCATCCTGATTTCCACAGACTAACGCTTAGTCTCTGAATATATATAATTTTGATAGTAACAAACAAGCCCATTTATATTGAAAAGGAGCCCTAGGGAGACCAGAGATTCAGAGACTAAGAACATCTGCATTGGGGCTACACGTGCTGGGGTCATTACCAATTAGAAGTCACATCATACAACCATCAGATAACGCTATAAGTGAAAGGCATATTTATTGGCCCTCCTGTTAAGCCCTGTCCTATCTCCATGCTGTCATCACCTCATGTGGGCCGGTCAAGTGCCCCTACTGCCTAACATTTTACTGTTGGGAAACTTGCAGCCCACAATGTCACTTGGACACTAGATGACCAAGGTGCAAGATCTGTGTGGAACACCAACAAAATTATTTATGAATTTGAACTTATCTCCAAATTCAAAAGTTTCCATTTGTATAATATGGGAAGAGGATACAGATAACCACCTTTTTTTAAACAAACTGTTCAGTGGAAGTGAAAAGGCCAGCGTCTGTCTTACTGTGAAGATGTTCTGGGTAATTCTAGATACTAGATCATCTTCACTAGATTTCACCTTGCATGCCTCAATCACATCACGAAGCTAAACAGATTTAATTCCGAGATTCTGTGCCTTTTGAATTTGCTTCTTCACGAGAAGGCGACTAACGGGATCGGGTGGTCAGGCTTGCTGACTTGGTTGACACATGTAATCGTATCCCAATTGCGTAGATGCTCATGCTGTTGACCACTGGATTGTCTGGTCCAGACTCGACTTATTTACAGACCGCCGCCATATATGGAATATTACTGAATGCGGTGTAAACCCAAACTCACTCACTCACTCTTCATGAGTGCTAGGTCCCTGCCATATGTTTTACTGTTGAGCAATTAGATAAAAAGAGATACTCAAAACACACCAGAGTTTCACACAATAATCTTATATCAGGAATAAGAAAAATAACCCTTGTTTTAATTACAATTAAATCCTTAACCGCATTTACAATTGGGCTGCTATGTGTGGACCCAAGTCAGACAATGAAACAATACTTTTACAACATAACATTCAGGAGGAACCTTTCCCCAAGATTTTGCTTGATTTGTCTCTTCAAGACCAGAAACTGTGCACAAGGCCTCCACTATAGCTTCATGTCACCCAATGTGCTTGTTAATTAAGAGTTGACAGATGAAAATGTGAGGCAAGATTCCAGACCACTGGTGAGGATGTTGGTCCGGCCAGCCATGGTAGTTAGATATGTTTACTTTGTAATCCGACTTTAGTTTTCTTGCAGATGTTAACCCCCCTGAAAGTGAGTTAGTTTTCTTGCAGATGTTAACAGACCCTGAACCTGAGGAAATCTAGACTTGCTTTATTTAGGGCTTTAGCACCCCTGCAGAGATTTCATTAGGGCTTGGCAGTAGGGAAAACTAATGTGGTTCAGGGACTGTGAGACAGACCAACCAAAGGTCCAAATATTTGAATACCAGCAACATCTTATGTAGTGAAATCTGTGAGATAGAGGTTGGCAAAGACAGTTTAATTTACCTTCCATGATGAATGTGCTGAAGCAGTTGACATGGACTCTAGCATGGACACTGTGGCTCTTACTTTGTGTGGATTGGATACAATAGGTGGATCAAGTCCCGCCACTTTGTACCCTCTGAGAACTACTGCTGTCATCCAAAACGAGATTGTTCTACAGACTTCTGTAAAAGTGATGAGGTACTATATTATAGTTCCATGACGGTGCTTTAAATTTCTCCTTTTGATCTTCTAGTCTATAAGATCTCAGAACAGCGATTAGTTCTGGAACCTTGGTTGGTTTAATGCTTCTATCCATTGTCAAAACTAAAGTAATAGCTGCTGGTAGAACGTGTGAGATGTCTTGTACTTCTCAGATGACTTAAATGTTCTGCAACTTGAGGATTAATAGAATTCGTCGCCATGAACCCCATCAATCTTGCGAACTGGTCAAAATTCTTCCATTTATCATCATCTTGCTGAATTTCCTTCTGATAAGACAGTAGTTGATACGTTCCACATGTGAAGTTCGAAGAACTCCGGTCTAGAGTGAGGTTGTCTTGAATGAGAACAAAGAAGAAGATTTGGCCAGTTTAGAAGCTTCCGACTTGGTTTTCCTGTGCTTCCATCTCGATGGCCGTAGCACAACCAAAATTAATTTCCGGTTCCTCGTTTGCTCAACAGTCTGTAAGACTCTTTGTGGGCAACTTGTTTTTGAGTTGTTGAGCCCAGTGAAATATAGGTCTGATTCCCACTTTAAATTCAAACCAACCTGTAGAGCTGGCTGATTCTTTGAAGAGAGTCCTCCTTGGACTACTTATAAGCATTTTTATGTCTATTAAAAATTCTTATGACAGTTGTAACTATATTTTGAATAGAATATGTTCAAAACAAAAAACCTTGCTTTTGTCTTGTTTGACCACCCCTGCAGGATCATCTGGCTTACACAGCAACAAATGCTGTCCCAAGCCAAACATGAGTGGACCTCTATCAACTGCCACGCCAGAGTCACGACGAAGAATCACCGGTCCGCGCGCTCCCTGGTCCACCAGCTCCCTCTGCAAAGCGAGCGGTACAACTGTACTGCATTACGGTACTGCTCCTTGAAGGAGCGGTAAGCAGACCATAGTGTCTGGACGTTGGTTGGGAATAGCGGCAGTCACTGACATTTCCTAGCCGAAGGCAGGGAAGGGGTTGATGACCCCTCAAGGGTGATGGAGACAGACACGCACGTGTTGACCACTAGTTGCTTCTATTCCAGTAAACGGGCAACTGGCCCATTATACAGGTACAGGGTATGATAAGTACAATTGTAACATGAGTGCTGTATATAATACACGTTCATTGAGAACATTAGTGTAACTAAGATATTATTTTAAAAAATGGAATCACGTTTCTTAGCCGCAAGAAATATATATATTTTGCCAGATTCTTGCATATGTTATGATTAGTGGAGAAAAATAATACCATTTTATTGCAAGTTGGGAACACGTGATAATACTGAGGTATGAGTTTGGATCGCAGATCAAGGAAAAATGGGCACACTAGGCAAAAGTGAAATTCATCCTCAACATCTGGTATAATACACAAAGGGCAAACACTTTCATTACGTGGAATTTTATAATATCTAATTTCCATTAGAAGACGGTGATTGGATCCAAGAAAGTTTAAAATATTAATTTGAAATAATTTTACATCAATAAATCAAACCCAGTTGTGATATTGAAAATGATCTTTTATAGCAAAGAACAGTTCAAGTTTGGAGCAGAATTGATTATTTTCATGCCACATTTGATTCTCAATGTCTACACATCTTTGCCTAAACTGATGTAAGAATATATCAGCCCATCCAACACTCTGTTGAATGCAAAACTCTGTGAATCCGTAAGAAATATCAATGATTAACCAATGAGTGCCCAGCAAGCACTACAGTTCTCTGCCCTTTTATGTTGGAAAGTATAAGCTTTCTTCAACATCAAGTTGTTTTCTTGAGTTAATAATCTAAGCTAAAATTTTACAATTATTAAATAATGTGGCACTTTGACAGAATTTCTAGCCAAAAAAGATTTTACAGAATTATTCGGAGTATTTTTACTCAATCCCAAAGTCAATTTACAGAATTTAGTGGGTATATATTTGTCACTAGGCAATGAACTTCTGATCCATAAGTCAAAATTGGTTACACTTTAACATCAAAAACTTTAAAACAAACATCTTGAGGCAGAGATGAAAATTTAACCAACCTAGACTGGAGTATTTGAATAACCTTCTAAGCTTGTTGGGCTAATGTCTTTTGAGTTAAATACCAAGAACCAGAGGAAGATAACTGGACACCAAAATATTTATAATTAGATACTGTTGTAACATCATCATTAGCAATTTTAAACTTTTCCTGATGTGTAAGCTTCCCACCATTTCTAAACACGACAACTTTACTTTTATTCATATTTATAGTAAGCTTTCATTTATCACAATATGCAGACAACTTGTCAAGACGCTTTTGTAGACCCTCAACAGACACGTCCACTAAGATGATATCATTGGCAAACAGCAAGATAAACAATTCTAAAGCATGTAATGTAACACCATGGGCTTCACTCTCCAACTCCTCCACAATGTCATTAATGAAGATTGAAAAGAGAAATGGTGACAACTGGCATCCCTGTCGAATGCCTGAGAGACACTTGAAGAAATCTGTAAGACCACAATCTGACGAGACACAAGATTTCTATACAGCGTCAAAGGCTCCCTTTCAATCGATAAAAGCACAGTATAGTCGACCTCTCTTACAGGAAAGATATTTATTGATCAATGTGTCAACAACAAAAACATTATCCATAGTCTGAAAGCCCTTCCTAAAGCCAGATTGTTCACCAAATATACAACTTTCTTGAGTCGCCCAGTTATATAACCTGTTGCAGATAATTTTCGCAAAGATTTTATCAGCTACATCCAAGAGTGTTATAGGCCTATAGTTTTTAGGGTCACGTGAGCTACCTTTCTTAAAGATTGGAAGAATAGTACCAAGAAAACACTGGTTAGGAGAGACACCAGTAGATGATACAAGATTAAATAAATCCAACAACATGTTCAGACAAGCAGGTGGTGCATTCTGAAAAAAATCAACTGAAATTCCAGAGAGGCTTGGTGCTTTACCTGGCTTCATACTGCCTAGTGCTGAGATAACAACTCACATATACTGACAGCTTGATCTAACTCACTTTCCATATCAACACTTCCATCGATCACTTCAGCTGAACACAAAATCATCAACAGATTTATAGAATTCAATAAAGTCTTTGCATTCGCTGTCTCCCTGAAACAAGTTTCAAAATAGCTTATCCAGTCATCAGGTTTAATGTCCTTTGAGATCACATATGATTTATTATGTAAACTACGCCATAAGCTTCTTCTATCATTAGTGTTCAAACAAGTTAACAAAGTATCAAAAAAGCTGTTCTGATAGCAACAGGCTTTGTGTGAGCACAAGTCTTTATACTTCTTCCATGCCGATGTATATTTCAGTCCGTCTACTTGGCTATCGGAATCATGAAATGCACGAAGCCATCGTTGCGTGTTTGCACGTGCTGTCTCACATTCACAATCAAACCAGTTATGTCCCTTGTTTGACTGACAGTTCCTTGAGGTTGAAAGATTGATTTCACAATGACTCGCGCAGGTTGACACAATGTTTACAAACAAAGCAGTTGCACTGTCTACATCATTCCTGGATATAACATCGTCAAATGCTTAATAATCCTCTGTCGATCGGTTGTTCCGGTTGTCAGTGAACGTGGATTTACATTCCTCTTTCCATCTGTATCTAGTCCAAGTGGATAGAGGATCAGTACAAAATTACCCTGGACAAAATGTTGATATTGACAGAGAATGTAACTGGCAGGTGGATAGATTCAACATAATCTCCCAGTTGGAAGGATGAGATCAGCGGGAATGACGTTTCATATGTCAGAACGTAGTCAGTGACACTCTGGCCGTTGTTAGCAAAACAAGTGTACTTGCCAACTCCAGCATTGTTACCAACAGATGCAGATTTATATTCAATCAAGGAAGGTGGGCATCTGAGGTGTAGGGGAAGAGGGTTCCATAGATAAGCAGCAGATTATCTGAAGGATTTGGCACCAAATGTCTCAACTTGTTGGGTGGTACAGAAAGGAGAAACTTGTCAGCCGAGCAAAGGTTTCTTGAAGGTTGATACACTGCTGTAAGAGTTCAAAGATATAGATGGAAGATCTTGTGGACTGATTCAAAGGCAAGACAAAAGACTCTAAATTGTATCGTTTCATGGACTTATAGCCAAAGAACTACAGGTTGCTTAGGTGTGTTTGCTTAGTAACTGGCCTTGCGGCTACATTGCAATCTTTGCAAACTGTGAAGTTGATCCTTGAATCTGTCATAGGAGCTTGTTGCAATAGTCCAGGCAGGAAAGAAGATGCTGCATAGCACCACCATACCTAAATGGAAGTGACAAGTTATGCACATATAACTGGTGTGGTCTCCATGGTTAGCGATCAGTCAAGGTTCATTCCAAGATCTTTACGGTAGGATTCCTGACCAACTGTAAGACTGCTGATACAACATTTCTGTAGTCTGAGAGGAGTAGAAATTATTGTAACCTCAGTTTTATCTGGACAAAAGTCAATGGAGGAACACCTTGTAGGGAAACTGTAGTCGGGGGAAGGGATACCTTGGGACAAGCTTTCGCTATAAGGGAGCTTTGATGATACATATAGCGTGAAGATGTAGAGTTTGTGGTGAATAATGGAGCTGATGGGAATGTGGATGGACCAACAGGCCATCATCCCTTGGTTGTAGAGTTAGAGGACAGTGGTCCGTGAGATTTGTGAGACTTATAAACCGACGTCTTGATAACCACAGGGGTGCAACAAGCCTCAGCTGACTCTTCTTAGTTTATTGGAGCTTGTGTTGAACTTAAGGAAGAAGGCCCGTCTCAGGCGTAGGAAATACTAAACAATTAGTCCTCCCTAGGAGACCACCAGGGTGTCATGGTCCAACGCCATTCAAAGAAACGAACATCGGTGTTGAGTGTTGAATCTTGTCACAAACAGATCTACATGAGGCTTGCTGAACCTCAGGTTTGTGTTACTTGAGGCTGGAATCTTTTATCAAGGCAGGTTCCACTCCACGGTTTATAGTCAAGGGAAAGTACTGAATGTGAGATTGGATAAGTTAAACAATTCACATTTTATGGTGGACATTTCCACCAACTGAATGTGTTGAAATGGAGATCTATTCCTGATTAATTGATGTGAATCACTCTGCACTGTGCTAAGATTGGTCTTGCAACCATCGTGAATAACCATGATGCCACTGATAATCTTAATGGCACAACTCAAGACTGTATTCGCCTTCCAATGGCAGCAAGTGTGAAGAACCATAGTTTCTTGTGTATAGTGCATACTTTTGATATAGACGGAAAGACGAATGTGTGTATGCTCCAAGCACACAATGAATTCTGAGTATTGTTGCCAACACATTCTCCACATAAGCAAGTAACACTTGACACAGCATGTAAACATATCTGTGATAACGTATGCAAGCTACTCCTGATAATGAACTGTGTAGTTACAGTGTCCATTACATTTCTAGACTTACTTGTAATCTGTTTTATAAAATCTATTAAGTTTATTCCAGATTTCACTGAATATTGTTAATACATGTACTAATTTTAGCATAATTGTTTTGTAAACTTATGGTCAGATGGCACCAACTCACTGTCACATGCCAAGCCTGCAACCACAGTCAGATTACTGCTATTGATGCCTAGAAACCAACACTTACTACCACAGAATGGATACATATCAAGTTGATACCTTGACTCTTAAAATGTCATATTTGTCTCCAATAGTGACTAGGGCAGAGGGGTAACCTAGTGCTTAAACGTTCGCTCGTCACGCTGAAGACCTGGGTTCGATACCCCACATGCGTACAATGTGTGAAGCCCATGTCTGGTGCCCCCCGCCGTGATATTGCTGGAATATTGCTAAAAGTGGCAAAAAACTAAACTCACTCACTCACTCACTCAAATAGTGACTCATTAAAACCGTTACCTATTACACCAATGCCCAGAAATATGTCACACAAATGCAGCGGTTGTTTGATACAGAATAAGGAGCAGATTTACCTGCACAATTACTGTTCCAGTTACCTTGACTGAGTGGAATTTGAGTGGAAAAGGCAATTATACTTTTTCAAACACCTTGATCTCATATGCAGGTGATGATAGTGATGCTTAAATACCATAAGAACTTACCTAGTGGTACCATAGCAGCCTCTGACAACTGCTTAAGAGGAGTTGAAATGTCTATAAAGTCTTCAGCAACCTGTAAAAATACAAAACTTTTTTGTTAGTCTCAGAAGTTGTGAATGATTATTTACTCCTGGCATACAAGGTCTGTCTGACAGTTTGTTTAGAAAAATCATCAACATTCAGAATTTGGCCCCCAAAAATTGGTAGCTTTAGACCCCTAGCCCGTTCTCACAAAACAATCTTTGAGCAACAATTGTTACAAATCCTTAAGACCACAATTTTAGGCTTTGAGTACAATAGCCATCAACTTGCACAAGGTGAGTGCAGGTTAAAATCATTGTAAGCTGCAATCAAAACCCTGCCCAACCCAATCTAAAGTAGTTAAGATCATTGGTGTCTGTGAATAAACTTGACAAAATGGTGTTCCAGTCAGGGTTTGTTTCACACAAATTGAAAATTTTAGCTATAAATTGCATATTTATAAATATCTATCCTATTTCACGATCAGCATAAGCTAGTCAGGATGTGAATGATTGCATCAAAATCCAGAAACAGAAACATTGTTAATTGCAGTAGTCAACCACTTACAACTGTCAACTTGGTAGCTAACAGTACCATCCCCAACCGAGTCCATGTTGGATGAAGATGAAACAACATACCTTTTCAAGAATGAAGGATAATAACAGAAGGTGTCTGCAAGCATTAGTTTAAATTCAGATTCACTAAATCTAGAACCAAATTTATGAATATATTAATTCCCATTTCATTTTTTCAAACAACATAGGAAGGAATTTTTCTGATTGCATTATAGAACACACATTTCATTATTTTAATGTAAAATGCCAACATAGAATTTATGAAAGTCAAATAAGCCAACTTTAGCAAAATGCTTGTCTTCAAAATACTGTTCTACATTTTAGCACTTAGATTGGTCTGTAACAAAATCTTACCTGGCTGACCAGGACATCTTGTATTTTCACTTTCAGGGAAGCTAGTTTTTCTGAAAGATTCCTTGCCACGGCCTTTGCTTGTGGTGTACTTCCCTTCAAGAAAACAAAAAAGAATAAATATCGCAAACTAAATATCTCCATTAACACATGATTCAACAAATAGTTTTAGGTAAATAAAACATTATGAAAGGGCAAGATAACAAACAGAAATCACCTGTCCCTTTCTACATAAGTCCGATAGCTGATTAGTGAGGATCTCTGTCTCATCACACAGGCGCAGTAATTCCTGTCGCTGAGGTCCAGAGCAGCACTGGGCAACACGACGTCCTTCACTCACTACCATCCTGGTTGCCTCTTCCCCTGAAACATGCAGAAGATTTCAAGTCTGAAGTTAAGTCATACCAAGATATAAACTGTGCATATTGTTATAAGGCAGTCTTAATGTTTCACATACATAATTACTGTCCTCAGCTCCAAATGCAATTTTAGGGGAAAATACAGCAACACAAGCAAAATGAGTTTTCATGAAGACCCAAGGTCACAGCTAAACATCAAAAATATGAAAATATGAAAAAAATCCAAACATATTGCTCTTTATAGAACACTTGCTGCATTTAAGATTTCATTGTAATATTTAGACAAAAGAAACATTGGCCATGTTAAATATTGGCTCTGAATTCTGTCAGCATTAAGCATTATTTGAGACACTGTAGATGGTAACATTTATGCACAGTTTGGGATTGATAGGTCTTGTATTTTCAGTGGAGATGTTAAAAATGAAAAGGTTAACAACCAACAGACAACTGGACAGATACTGCTCCACTGTCAATATGTCATGAGTTCATTTGACTTTGAGTAAGGAGAACTGACAAAGCATACAAATGACCATTCAAGTGATCCTGGAGTGTGGGCAGTGGAAACCTCCCCACTTCAATGCTCTGCTATATGGATGCTGTGGACCAAATTATATAACAGTTTATTGTATAGTTCTTGTATGGACCATTTTGTTTTGAAACCATGTGGAGCTTGGATATTTCAGGGATATCATATCACGCATATCTAGTCTACATAAACCCTCATGCACGCATGACAACAGTCGTGCAGCTATCCTGAGTATGGCACTCAGTTGTTGCAAAGGTGGTGAGGTGAAATTGAGTTTAACGTGGTGCATAAGAATATTTTGCTCATATGATGATGGGCTGCTTGTAATAGCCCAGACTTAAGCTGGTTTTATAGTGCTAGCCCACTGAGATACCATGCTGCAGTGAAGCATGAATATCCCACTCAGACACATTATACTGACTCCAAGCCGACCAGTCCTTGTTGTACCCATTAATGCCGAGCGCCAGGCAGGGACCAACAAGTACCATATTTTAACGTCTTTTGGTATGACGCGGTCGGGGATCGAACCCACGACCTTCCACTCTCCGGTCGAAAACTCTAACCACTACACCACGGAGGCGGTCCCAGTTGTTGCACAGGAAAGAGTAAAGTTGCATGCCTATATTCAGCAAAGGCATATCAATTACCATTGGATTTTAAGTCAGAACAAATGACATATTCTGACTAAGAGAATCGCATGCTTTTCAATGATACAAAAATATCTAAATTTGATGGATATTTCATTGAGATATCTGACACTGAATACTGCCATTTAGGGGTGAGTATTGCAGAGAATTTTCATACTGCAATGGGAAAGCATATATTGTGATATGTATTGCAATATATTGCAAGAGGTTATTTTTAGCAAAAAAATACTAATTGAGTTTATGCTTGATTTATAAAAGCAAAAACACAACAAAATCACTATGCTTGATTAAGCTTAATAAAAAACATTTAATCACGACAAAATAAAACTGTAAATAGTATTTGGCACAAATGAAACAAGGAAATATCCAAAGATTTTCGAGTGTTACAAAGTTTTCCGAATGCATGTCAAAATACCGCTTTTTGTTCAGCGTATTGCAGTACAGATCGTTTTCATGTCTGAACCGGTAAATACTGGTAAACCAGTTATATTGCACAGCCCTACTGCCATTACTTATGAAAGTTATTGAAAATGGAGGCAGTTTTGGCATCAGAGCAACATGCACAGGTCATGTTAGAAACACAATACTATCTATGTGGCAGTGCCAAAATAAACTGCAAATAATATATATCAACCATGAAAATATGCTGAATTTTGCATATGTTGAGCCAAATAGACACAGATTTGGAGAGAATTTGATATCAAAATCTAACTGTATATTTAGTTTTGGAATTCACATTCAAAGAATTGGCAACGACTCAACTTGAAAATGACACATCCTTTAAACATTCAGTCCACTAAACATCGCTGTAAAGTTGCTCAGACACAAGTATATTGCACACTGGTTGTTTCAGTATTGATCTATGAATTGATGTATAATGTTTCAAAAGATTTCATTAATTCAGCAGCATAATAACAGCATACAAGTCTAACAACTATGATGACAACCTGATTGTGAAATGTAAACAAACTGTTCGGTCTCATGAATTTTGATATTCAAGGAAAATCCAACAATGTCTAAATCCTAATAAAAAACCTGAAATTTAAACAGTAAGTATAATGGGGAAACTGTTCTAACAACATTTTTAACTTTTGTCATGAAACAAAAATTCATTAAGATTGATTGATCCCTCAACAAGATTCCCAATATTTTGTAAACTTCCAATTCTTTGTGATAACAAAAAAATATTGCAATCATTTATATATCTAATATATAGATTGAAAAATCAGTTGTAAAACTTCTATTCCTTGCACGTAATGTAATACATACCAAGTCCATTGTCACTAATTCCAGGATTAGCCAACCACTGGCGTGCTTGTTCCACTTTCCCTTCAACAGTTGGTGCAGGTTTGCGAATACCACTCCTCTCTGTATTCATAATTCCATTGTGAGTCATCTGCTGTAGCTCCTTTAGTTTACCCTGAATTTCCTTAGCTAAACTGATGGCCTGAGGACTGTTTCCCTGTTAAGACATCATAAAAACAAACAGGTAAATACAGAGGACATAGAAAGTAAATGTTCTTCTCAAACATATGCATTAACTACACAAATTGACTATGTATGGCAGTTTCTAACAATATTATTCAATCAAACTGCTTATATCCCATAAGTAATAATGGAATGTGTACATTCTTGGTATTGTAGCTTGAAAATTAGTACTTAAATTTTACTTAAATTTCATGATTCATTTGCCAAACTTGAAGGCTTAGGGTTGGCTGCTGCTGCTGACTGCTGGGTATGGGTTTACGCCGTTTTTAGCAATATTCCAGCAATATCACGGCGGGGGACACCAGAAATGGGCTTCACAAGTTGTACCCATGTGGGGAATCGAACCCGGGGCCTTTGGTGTGACGAGTGAACGCTTTAACCACTAGGCTACCCCACCGCCCCGCTTAGGGTTGGCAATTGCATAAACTCATTAAAGGGGCACTGAGCGATTAATGTTTCATGCTACCAGTCTAATTATGAATCCTTGCTGCAAGCTGGTCAGTAACTGCTCCCTCGACCGTGACGCACATGGAAACTGAGCAGCTGTCTATCAGACGCTGTTATTTGAAAATATCTCTTGCAGTTCTTGTCTGATTGTAGTATCCAAGCATTGTTGGCTTTTTCGGATTTGCTAATGTGTGGATGGTATGATGACTGATCCAATTTGATCCTATTTCTGTGATTTTTACCTTCACATTCTTTTGAGATACAAGTAGGAGACAGACAAGGCTGTATATTGAGCCCCTTCTTATTTTTCTTGTTTCATAAATGAACTGGCCATGCAGATAAAATAAAATAAATTAAAAATTACTACTCTCTTGCTTTAACCCTTGTTTGGTGGTAAACCTACACGTTATTTGTCATCATTCACTTGATGGTCAGTTAATGAATTTATAACAGGTACAATTAGTGGTAACACCACTCTGATTACCCGACAGGTTCCCATTTGGCATTTCTTGTGTCTGGAGTAAATACTCAGCATTATGAATTAAGGTCTGATGTGGCAAAATGTATTTTCTGCCATAAAGTGTCTGTGTAAAAACGTCCTTCCTTCAAATGATTAACCGTCAATACGTTGATTGATCATTTTTTGTTTACTAAATTACTTTTTTTTAAAGAATGGTGGATATCATGCAAGTAGTTACTAGGTGGGCTATTTGGGTGACCAATGAGACTCTACACCAATGTGAAAAACATGAAACAGTCACGTGACTAGTTGAGAAACTGTCATTAGTTGATGATCTGTCACTTTTGTGCTTATTAGTCTGTTAAAAGACACATGAAATGGAACAGGATTCTTTGCCAGCTGCAGATGAATGGCATATCATTCCTTTAGGTGGATATTGATGGACACATTCCCTGAACAAGGTAATAGCCTGATATTATTGCTATATCTTTAGTTTTAATTTTGATATTTGGAAATTTTTTTTCTATTCATTTGTCGTAGCACTCAACAGAATCAGTTTTTTTCACGGTGAGGTGTATTGGGACAGACAACATACACTAGGTCGCACTTAAGGCATGTGTTTGAAATATGATTCATGTTGGCAATCTAAAAAATGTCTAGACATTACAGTAATGTTACAAATTCACTATAAACAGATACTGTACTTTCAAAATGCACACAAATATGATAAGAACCTAATAAGGATTATAAAACAAAATAAAAAGATGTATATTGATCATGTTATTTTACAGTCCTAACATTTTTACCACTGGCAGATGAAGTCAAACTTCAAAATGTTTTCTTTGTTATTATTTTAATGAAGATGGAAATATTAATGAGGAAAAAAGGTTTTCATCTTTGCTGATCAATGTATACTTTACTACCAATTGTGCTTGCGGATGGCACAGCAGAGATCGCCAACCAGTCAAGAATTCTGGGATATCATCCGGATACTCAAGGGAGATAAACAATAACAAAAGCAATAACCAGGCCACAGAAATTGCTCTGGATCAGTGTCCCTTTCATGCATTTATTTTATGACTTACAGTATAACTATACACAGCAAGAATGTTTGCATCACAAGTAAATTTGATAGCCTCAACTCCATCTTTTCCTAAATCTTAGACGAGAAGTGTTGGTTTATTAAACATGAAAAATGGTTTAGTATTATCATGAATTAACATGTTCTATGTTTGACAATAGAGTTTTCTGTTGGTTATTACAGACAAACTTATCAAAATATGATTGGATAGTTGGACGGTTTGTCATTTAACGCCACACTCCATATTCCAGCTACATGGCAGCAGTCTGTAAATCATCAAGTCTGGACCTGACAATCCAGTGAGCCTGGACACCAAATCCTGTTAGTTGCTGAAATATTCTAACAGGAATCTTCACATGTTTAACATAATACGATCCCATCGTAGAATACAGGTACATAGAGATTCATAAAGCTCCATTCAAAAACCCTTAAGACATAATTGGTGTCTTTGACATTCAAAATCATCCAATCTCATGTCAGAAAAAAAACTGAGTGTATGTAACATCCGTCATCTTATAACACAAAGAAACCCATTGCAGTGGCAGAGCTCAAACTTTAGGAAACATATAATAAGGAGCTGCTTAAGAAGAATGACAAATACCTTGCCCTGTTGGCGTAGTTCAGATAAGGCATTGGACATTGACTCTATGTCACTAATTTTTCTCTGAATGGCGTCTCTCTCGGTAGGATTAGTGCATCGGTCAGCAATCTTTTTTGAATCTTCAAGAATCTGTCTCAAAGCCTTGTCTCCTGAAATAAAAAGATTAATATATTAATAAATCTGCACTCATCACTGCCTGTAGTAACGTTGTGCTGTGTATGATAGTTAACAGTTGTGGTGCCCCTGACGATTATGGAGCAGACTTCACGGGTTTTCTCAATAAGACCAGTGGTTGCTCACAGTCCCCTAGACTACCCTAAGGAGACGAAAGCTTGCGTGTGGTCCCTATGTGCCATTTAGACTGAAATCTTCCTCTTCCCTTAGTGCCCGCATGGACAAGGGGACTTTCTGTGCCTGCTGGGGAGATTACTGCTTACTCTTGATTGCAGTCATCTATATTGAAACATCCATGAAGCACCATGGCCTGTAGGGCCTCCTATTGCTTCCTCAACAGTCCCTTTTCAAGGACAGAATTGATGTTGTCTTTGTCTTTTCTGTAGTGTGAGGCTGTGGATTTGGTCGCTTACCCTTACCCCAAACCTGACTCTAACCTGACACCTCAAAAATAATCCTAATAAATAGAATACATTGACTGAAGCGGCATGAAAATGGCTGTCCAGTGTAATGCATTCTTACCATTTCAAAAAATAAAATCTTACTAATACACACCATTTCTGTGTAATGATGCAAATTACTGAATGAAAAAAGTATACATGTACATATTAGTTCCCATTTATAACTGATTTAGTCCTAAAAATTACATTGAAACAGACATATAAAATAGATTTAATATAAAAGTGCTTTCATCAAGTGGCGCTTTCTATAACATGTGCCGTCACCATCCATGTTTAGCACACAAACTCCCTACATAGCTTGGCTTACTAAATGACAATGCCTATAGAGACGACAGAAGACTGAGAGGAGCTTTAGGCACACTTGATAACCCAGCAACAGTCTGACGTCAAAGAGCATTGTTTTTGGTAACAAAGTTTCACAAATTACGTCATAAGGTATTGTGATGCAATTTTGTGGTGCTGTATTCAAAAGGTAGGTCTTGACAACAACACAAACAAACAAACAGTGATGTTTTCCTGCTTTCATATACACACGAAGCATAGGTGACAAAACTATTACTACTAATACATGTACAACTATTATGGAAAGTATGTTGTGAATAGGACTTCTAAAATCTGAAAATGAAATGAAGAATATGCCAACGTCCAAACCAAGTGCCGACACTGGTCCAGCTGTGATAGTCCTTGTTCCAGCTTGTGTCACTGCTATTGTTGGTCATCCCTGGTAGTTTGTTTTGTGAAAGGCAGTTGACCCCCTGCACTTTTAGCCTTAGATGATGTTTACAGAGGAGATGTTTACACTATCATGACAACTAACATAACTAAAGTGTTAGTACAACTGTATTCATGTATTATTATTCTACCAGTTATTTACTTAAAAAAACCATACCCAATAATATAATGAAATGAATTCTGACTCAGTGATTGGAAAATCATAGTATCTGGAACTACTATTTTACAAAAAGAAATATTTTCTAGCATTGTCTCATGTTAGGTGCAGGTTTTGCTCTATAAACGTAAAATATTTCAGATCATAACTAAGGTTATGCGAAAGCACTTTGGTGTTTTACCTTACAGTTTACATGCATGGAACAATCTGACGTCTAAACGATGTGGTTTCGGGCTATCTCGCTATTTTCGCTGTGAAAACAGTTTGTTGACATTTGATTGTCCAGCAGTGAAACAAAATATATATATGGGTCCATTTTCTGTCAACGACACTTCATTTTGAGGCGTGAGTAGATGCAGTATGACAGTGATTGCTTTCAATAATGCTGACTGAAGTTATCGTAGGAACACAAGTCACCAGAGTTAATATAAACATTCTTGAATGACATTTTGAGTAAAATCAATAAACTTGATTGCAAACATAAGTCCAGACATGCAAATCTTATTACGAGATAAGGTTTTAATCCCATGTAATAACAGGACTTACTTGTGTAATCCAATATAGATTTGTTTATAATCTATTTCCGAGTACTGACCATGCCGAAAAGATGAACATAGGTTGGTAGCTCGGCTTATGTATGAGACATACCATTTTGATACAGATTGGAAGGGTCAAGTTAGGACCTCGGCTTATCTATGAGATCGGCTTATCTACAGTAATATACGGTATGTGAGCAATTAATTAAAGATTTGTTGTGATGTTAGCAAATTGAAGAATCTTGTGGTTTGAAGTACAATGCTGGATGGACAGGCTCATACACACCTGCACTTCCGATCAGGGCTGTTGGATCTTGGAGCCAGTCAGTTGCCTGCTGCAACTTTCCCTCAATGGCATTCTGAAAATAGTCCACAGATGTCTTATGATAAGTTGGTAGCAGCTTTGCTATTCAAATATATTCAAAATTGTAGACAAACATCAACAAGCACTAAGTTACCATTATGTCTCTAAATCTGTAAGAATAAATGTACTATTGAAGAACACTTTTGCAATACACAAAGAGAATAATTTTTCAAATGCCTAACATTGTTTCATTTTCACAAAATTCCTAATGATTTAGACAAATAATGTGTTTATGATGAGAAGACTATGAGTGGTGGCACTCAAAAGTTTTAGACTGACTAGTATGCACATGTTGTAGTGAAGTGAAATTCACAGAAAACTAAGGGCAATGTTTCAGATGATTTGACAAGGCACTGTAGCTCACTTAAAATGTGACAGAGACAGTCATTTACAATCAGTTCCTCTCAGTATTGCTCCTCAAATATTTTAAAAACAAATATACTGAAATCCATTAGGAATGCATCACTCTATTATCAATTTAGAACAAACTTTATGGATAACAACTTCTTTTATTCGTGATTGCGACGTTTCGATACAGATTCTTGTACCCTTGTCAAGTAGGAATTGAGGGCTTGTTTTGACCACACACCCGTTTTGTGCGAATATATCATCAGCCATTTGTGTCAAGATTGTTTAGTTGAGGGTCAAAATCGGGTTTCAATCAACTTACAATAAAGAATTGGTAGGTGTCATGAGTGGTGCTCGATAGGCCAATCATCCATAATTATGTTTACATTAAGTTTTAATCGATTGCATGCGACGGTAGCGTAGCGATCGGCAAAGCAGTCGGGTGGGGTGAACCGAAAGTGTCCGGCCTTGTCATGATGTATTGTACTGTAAAGCATATCGAGTCGGGGGTTATCTCAAAAACAATATTTTTCTTTAATCATTAATCCTCGCAAAGACACGACGGCCTGTGTGCAGAAGTCCCTCAAAGTGAAACAAGTGTCGCATATCCTAGTGAAGATGAGAAAAATTGTTGGATTCTTTCATCGCAGTCCACAATTGAATCAGGTCCTGCAGGATAAGGCTGTTCTCTCTCTCCCAGACCATAACCGTATCATCGATTGTGCGCCTTTGACATAGTGGCAAGAGTTTTTTAAATGCGGGAAGCTATCATTATAGCACTTATGGCAAAGGAAACTTCCAAGACAAAGGAGGATTTACCATCTCTAACTGAGGATGAAATCAGTCTTGCAGAGGAAGTCGTTCACTTCTTAATGCCAGTGAAAGATATGACAACACTTCTCTGCTCTGAAGGTACACCAACTGCTTCTGTCATCATGCCGCTGAAACCTCACCTTCTCACTGTTGCACTAAGACCTGACGATGAAGATAACGCCATCACCAAAGAAATGAAAGATATCATGACATCAGACTTTCAGCCAAGATATGTCAAACAGGCAGATATGCTGTATTGTGCATCAGCAGTGGATCCACAGTTTAAACATTTGCTTTTCCTGAGTGATGAAGACATGTATGATCTTTTAAGAAGGTCACGACTCACAATTGCGGAAAAGCGTGAGCTACTCACCCTCAAGACTGACTGAACCCACAGAATCAGTCCCTGCACTCCCTAACCTCCAAGACTTTGAGGCAAATGTGCCTGTTGATGTGTAACCTGAATGTAACGATACCACAGATATCACTACTTCATCAAAGCAAGCAGTAGACTCTGAAGCCAACACTTCCGCTAGTAAAAGCAGTCTGTTGGAGGGAATCCTTGGTGACCCCACTACACAGATTATGTTGCTACATGCATGACAGAGGCTCCAGGATGTCCAGGAAAGGAAGCAGTGGGGAGTGTTCGGGCGAATGATACAAGAGGACCCAAAAACTTTGTTCGCAGTTCGTTTCCACTCAGCTGTCGATCAAGAGAGAGAGAGAATAAACCATGAGATAGGACAAGTTTTCAAAATTACTGCTTCTTCTTTTTCTTGTGTCTCCATCTTGATTGATAATTTCAATGTCGGCAGGGACAAGTTCTTTTCCTCATTTGTCATCGAGATTAAACATTTATCCTGGTGACACGTTTCTAATGGATTTTAGAATATACTGAGCATGTTGGTTGGTTGGTTTGTTGCTTAATGCCGCATTCAGCAATATTCCAGCCATAAGGCGGCCATATATTGGAGCAAGCAACAAACTACCTATAATGTTTCTATATCAGCTAAATGGAATACATTTGCTGTTTGTTGAACATACTTGCAAATTTTATGTGTCAATATCCAAAATCAAACAATGAATTAACCCTTTCATCTACACACAAAACAATTCATTGTGAAGAAATGTCACACAACAGTCAGTACACAATACAGCAGGAGAACAATTTCATGAACATTCTTTATAATAACATTTCAGAGCTACTTCTTACCACATCTGATTCTTATCAGGTAAATACTAAGTAACCAAACTCTACTGTGCTTTAATCACATAATGTGGGTACAATGTGTGAAGCCCATTTCTGGTGTCCCCCGCCGTGATGTTGCTGGAATATTGCTAAAAGCAGCATAAAACCAAACTCAGTCAGTCAGTCAGTTAATCACATAATGAACCACAAATGGAAATCTTGATAACCTTATTGTCATTGTATGATAATTCTAACTTATGATTAAACACTACATCATTCATAATATATATCATGTAATGATGTTCTTCCAATTTGACGTAAATGAGGACTACCTCTACTTGAAACTAAAAACTTGACAAAATCGAGATGGAATAATTGAACTGTCACATCAAATCATCATCAGGAGAATTGTTCTTACTTCTGTGAATATTACTCTCTTACCAAATTCAGTACATATTGAAATGAAATCACCATCAATGGCCCAGAGGCTTCTGAGGAGATGTTTATAGTGAGAGCAAATGTATTTTGATAGAATGTAACTAAAATCCCACCTGCAACAGGGATTCAGCAACAAAATAGTAATCAAAAAAAAGAAAAAAGAAAGAAAGAAAGAATGTAACTAAAAAAAAGGGTCATACCAAGGTCAAAATCACAAAAATATAAGTAATGACATAAGCATCAAATTCCAAACAGCTGTCATGAGAAAAAGATGTTTTAGCTTTCAGTATGGTCAAGGTGCAGAGGCAAAATTACAAAGGTCAAATACTTCTATGATACTATATGTGATAATAGACATGTAAAAGTCTCAGGAAATAACAAAGACCTCCACTTGGTCCTCAAGTCACCTGAAATGTATGACTGTCTAGATTACCTGACACTTTTTCATGACAGTGAGGTCATCAGCATCCCACTCATCCTCATCATATGTTGTCAACTGCAGCACACGAATTATTTCATGAATCTCATCGGACATCTTCTTCACAATATAGTCACGGCCACTCTGTGCATCAGGAATGCCTTGACCTAACAAAATATTAAACATTCAATCAACACAACAATGATAATTGCTTAATCACAGCACAAATAAAGTTGTTAGTGTAACATAATCCTAATTTTTATTATGCATCTTTTAGTTTGCAGTGAAACAAGAAAAAGCAAAACAAAACATTTAGAACCTAAAACGTGTTTTGATCAGGCACATATGCCAAATCAAAAGCAGCATGTTTTCAAGAATTCCCCTAACCATTCCACTCTGCCTTTAGTGTGATTACTTTTTTCAGGAAAATGAAAATGAAAACAGTCCCATGCTTCTAGCCAGAAAAACACAAATGTTTTTTCAGGTCTGTTCAAATGACATCAGTGGTTTGGATAATACATTCTTGATACTATTAAAGTTTCAAGCCTCTTTGCAGCTTTGAGAAGGATTATGCCGTTCCAGTTGAGAGAAACATCAAGTGTGCAGTACAAATGCTTCAGAGCGAAATGTCAGGAGTTTGGTCCCTGGCTGTCTCATAAAGAAAACAGGTAGAATACAGTAGTTGTTGCCCTGCTTGTTGGGACTTATCCCAGTTTTATAGCACTTGCCATATTTGACAAATAATAAAATCTGCATCTGAGATCGGACCACCAGCCTTGTGTTGTCTTGGAATATGCTCTATCCACTCCACTGTGACGGCAGCCTACTTTGAAAGAGAGGGTGCCATGCCCTTAGCTACCCAAATACACAGATCAAAAGCACATTGACCTTGACAACATCTCTTCCTCAAATGGCATAACTTTTCCCATTCATTGTCACATATGGCAAGTGTAGAAAGTCTCCAAGATATTTGCTTCTGATGCAGACTTTATTTTACACATGATAGTTTCAAAGAGTGATGATTAAGGTTTTGGGGGCTCCAAATAAATATATCTAATCCAGGCAGACATCAGAGATCATGGCTTTCAAAGTGTGCGATTGTTGCCTCCATGAGAATCTGAAAACGGCACTGAAACAACAATCTGTTTGACTAAAACAAGAGTTATGAGAATGACTGAATAATCTGTAACTTCCACTTCCTCATGACCTTCTGGGAAAGACCATGGAGGAAACATGTAAGTTTGTTGTTAATGCAAACGGCAAATAGGTCCAGTGGACAGTGGCCCAAGTATAATTTATCCACTTGAAACTTTTGGAAAGCAGAGTTCATTCTGTCACTTCTATATTTTTTCACAGGTAAAGGCTGTCTGCCAATATATTGAATTTTCTCATAATATGACTTAATATGATTGAGGCCTCAATCCTGAGGCTGACTAAATCATCCGAGAAACTGTGTACCAGTACTCTTCTGTATCCACATTGTCTCCCCTTATTTCTGGATAAGTCCACACAGTCGTGTTATCGGTTGTCACCAAGACTAAAGATAACATCAATGATGATTCAATTTCTTGACACAATTTATGGAAAGATCCTATGCATAAGACAGCCAGCTATCGAACCATTGATGATATCCCCAATCTGACCCATAGGTGTCTGTAGACAGGTGATGTGATGTCACTGAGAACTCAAACAGACTGATCAGAAATTAATTCCACCAATTTAGATCATTTAACAGTTTCATTTGGAACAGTGCATAGACATTCAAATTTGGTGATCTTATGGTTGAAGTGTTGAAGCTAACAAAACTGCATTCTGTTTAGCTTTCTTTGTCTTTTATCTGTTGTTATTTGTCTCCCAAGTACCATACAAATATAGGGAGGGGAGTCACAGAGGGCATCTACCCACAAGTATACACAGAGAATGTCTGCACCTCCAACAGGCCGAGAGCATGTCCCCACTGATCTTGTATTCCCACCATCTTTCAAAGTTGTACAGTACATGGGGGAGCAACAGTCATACTTTCCAATAATATATCACAAACTACTTTAACCAATTTAACTTAATCAACCTGTCATTATCAGAAACTGATATTAATATTTTGGCATTATCTTATACATGATGCACTTATCCCGCAGTAGTCTGTAGGACAATACATGAGTTGATGCGTTCAGGAGGGGGCTGGCCTAGACTTCTCTATGGTATCTGTCACAGTTGGATGGTGCGCCACAGATTACAGTAGTCTGTAGGACAATACATGAGTGGATGCTTTCAGGAGGGGGCTGGCCTAGACTTCTCTATGGCATCTGTCACAGTTGGATGGTGCGCCACAGATTACAGTAGTCTGTAGGACAATACATGAGTGGATGCGTTCAGGAGGAAGCTGGCCTAGACTTCTCTATGGTATCTGTCACAGTTAGATGGTGCGCCACAGATTACAGTAGTCTGTAGGACAATACATGAGTGGATGCGTTCAGGAGGGGGCTGGCCTAGACTTCTCTATGGCATCTGTCACAGTTGGATGGTGCGCCACAGATTACAGTAGTCTGTAGGACTATACATGAGTGGATGCGTTCAGGAGGGGGCTGGCCTAGACTTCTCTATGGTATCTGTCACAGTTGGATGGTGCCCACAGATTACAGTAGTCTGTAGGACAATACATGAGTGGATGCGTTCAGGAGGGGGCTGACCTAGACTTCTCTATGGCATCTGTCACAGTTGGATGGTGCGCCACAGATTACAGTAGTCTGTAGGACAATACATGAGTGGATGCGTTCAGGAGGGGGCTGGCCTAGACTTCTCTATGGTATCTGTCACAGTTGGATGGTGCGCCACAGATTACAGTAGTCTGTAGGACAATACATGAGTGGATGCGTTCAGGAGGGGGCTGACCTAGACTTCTCTATGGCATCTGTCACAGTTGGATGGTGCGCCACAGATTACAGTAGTCTGTAGGACAATACATGAGTGGATGCGTTCAGGAGGGGGCTGGCCTAGACTTCTCTATGGCATCTGTCACAGTTGGATGGTGCGCCACAGATTACAGTAGTCTGTAGGACAATACATGAGTGGATGCGTTCAGGAGGGGGCTGACCTAGACTTCTCTATGGCATCTGTCACAGTTGGATGGTGCGCCAGAATTACAGTAGTCTGTAGGACAATACATGAGTGGATGCGTTCAGGAGGGGCTGGCCTAGACTTCTCTATGGTATCTGTCACAATTAGATGAGTGCGCCACAGATTACAGATTACAGTAGTCTGTAGGACAATACATGAGTGGATGCAGATTACAGTTCAGGAGGGGATGCGCTGGCCTAGACTTCTTGGATATGGCATCTGTCACAGTTGGGATGGTGGAGGGCTGGCCTAGACTTCTATGGTATCTGTCACAGTTGGATGGTGCGCCACAGATTACAGTAGTCTGTAGGACTATACATGAGTGGATGCGTTCAGGAGGGGGCTGGCCTAGACTTCTCTATGGTATCTGTCACAGTTGGATGGTGCGCCACAGATTACAGTAGTCTGTAGGACTATACATGAGTGGATGCGTTCAGGAGGGGGCTGGCCTAGACTTCTCTATGGTATCTGTCACAGTTGGATGGTGCGCCACAGATTACAGTAGTCTGTAGGACAATACATGAGTGGATGCGTTCAGGAGGGGGCTGGCCTAGACTTCTCTATGGTATCTGTCACAGTTGGATGGTGCGCCACAGATTACAGTAGTCTGTAGGACTATACATGAGTGGATCGCTTTCAGGAGGGGGCTGGCCTAGACTTCTCTATGGTATCTGTCACAGTTGGATGGTGCGCCACAGATTACAGTAGTCTGTAGGACTATACATGAGTGGATGCGTTCAGGAGGGGGCTGGCCTAGACTTCTCTATGGTATCTGTCACAGTTGGATGGTGCGCCACAGATTACAGTAGTCTGTAGGACTATACATGAGTGGATGCGTTCAGGAGGGGGCTGGCCTAGACTTCTCTATGGTATCTGTCACACTTGCCACAACTGTGTTCATGTTCATGAGGTATATAGACTGAGGTAAGGTAGAACCCGTCAATTTCTTAAAAATCCTGAGAAGTTCAAGGAATTTAGTGATTAGCTGCAGCAAAGCAGTAGGTAGGAAAACAATACAATATAAAATGCAGTAAACCTCGAGACTGTTCCACTTGTCATGGTATGAACGAGTACAGGTGTGATGAGCTGCTGCAATCGCCTTGGCAAATCTCTAATGAATAACCTTTGCCAAGTAAAGATGTGCCAAACGTGAAGAAGTAACATCTTAGGTGACCTATCAAGGGTAGAATCATAGGGTCCAGATCGGGGAGGTTTATGAGGTTGACTAACCAACTCCTTGCCAGCCTAAAGATAGAAGTAGAAGGGTCTCTTTGGGGGCTTGAAGTTTTTGGAGGACCTGAGGCAGGGCATTGGGATCCAATGGAGATACTAACCTGGGCATCTGATTCTTTATGACATGGTTATCTGGGTCTCTTTGTCAAATAAAGTGGCATCATTGGTGTGAAAATCTAATAAAACAGCTGACACAAACCAGACAAACAGGCCACAAAAGATCTTCAAATGACTTTTAATTAGGTGAGATACAATATCACTTGAATAGTGGACTTAACCCACGTGTGGTGAGCCCAAAAACTGCATCTTATCGAGTCATCCAAATGTAAGTGTAGTATCCTTCAAAATGTTTCTAATCTCGGGTCTAAACTAAATCTATACAAACTGTCTCATGTACGCACTCACTTGTTTGTTTCGCTGTTATGAAGATCTTCACACCACTTATAAGAACTGGGGTGTAGTTCTTCACCTGTTCCAGGGATCGCACAAGCATGTCACGATGAACCTGATGAGTAAGCTCCTTCTCACGGTTATCTACCTCCTTTGTCATTTTAGTCAACACTGGACTCAAATTCTAAAAAAATGAAACAAAAAAACAAAATTATTATTGTTATCATCAAACCAGACAAATTCCTCCTAACTGCAAAGTCAGAAAGTCCTGTCATACATCTAACTGTGTCCACTTAAAGGGCATCACATCTGATATCCTAACATGAGTCTTATTCAGGATAACTAAAAACCAGAAAGTCCAATTCCTCAAACTGCCTGAGTAAGAAAGCTTTATTGACATTTGGTATAACTTTGACTCTCAAGTTCACACAGTCACATCCAGTTCATGTTGAAAAGATGGTATTAGCTCTTACAAACAGTACATACCAAAAATTGGGTTGGTTATGTGCACTAGGGTGAGTGGGTTTAGTTTTACGCCTGTTTTAGTAATATTTCAGCAATATCAAGGTGGGAGACTCCAGAAAAAGGCTTCACACATTGTGCCCTTGTGGGAAGCAAACGCCTTAACCACAAGGCTACCCCACCACCCCTGTAGACTAGCGAGTGATATTTCAAAATAATATTTCAATAACCCTGAACTTTAACCAAGGCTGCATGAATAAATCTTTGAGTTATTTATGAGGAGATATTAGCCCATTGGTCATTTGTCTTGATAAAATCTTCAATTTGGTAATCATGCAGCTTGCTTAGTCAATGTGAAAACTAATTTAGAGAATTAAATAGAAATGATAAAATCCAATCTTCCATTTGTTAAATGAAATACCACTATTTTGGTCTGTGAAGACTTCAGTTGTACAAGGTATTCTAGAAAACTCAATAATCACCTTCAAACCAAAATAAGCACATATTAAAAATGGTTCTATATCAAATACATAAACATATACTTGCCTTGACATATGTGACTAAATCTTCCATACGATCAACCACTTCTGTGATGGCCAAATACTCAAGAACATTCTTGCATACTCGAATAATCTTGCGTACCTCTGACTCATCAAAAGCAAGAAGAAGGGCTGATGTCCCTTGAAGAATACCTGCCACATGAATATAACAAAAACAGCCATGAATTATCACCACAAATAGATTGCAGAAATAAGTACGCTTCTCGCTGGACAACTCTACCAACAATAATGGTTGGTACAAACGATTTTACTTGGTTCATTATTGTACACTGTGCAACATAACCATAAACATTAAACATGCTACCTCTTGATCCATCAATCAGCTTCTTACGAGCTGGTACTGAGTAGGGATCAGCTCTGAGTAGTTCCGAAGCTTGGAGGAGAAGGACCGAAGATTGTTCAACCCGACTTAGGGCAGGTGGCATGTCTTGTTTCAGAATCTGATCCTCACTGCTGTTGATAGTATCATATCCAACCTGAATGTATACATATTGCCATAACACATCAACAGCTACAGCCAGAAGTACTACCAACAGATTCCATACAATAGAATTCTAACTGAGAAGATTCGGACAACGGTCAACATACACAGGTCAAAGAAAAGTCAAACTTAAAAACATTGCAAAAGATTTAACATACTGCTTCAGGCTAACGACTAACAAGCTACAGATATTCTAACATGGGAGAGATTGCTCTGTGTATACAATTCCTTGGTTACTGTGAATGCAAGGTTTCAGTATATATGACTGGCTTGATAATGGTACAGCCTTAGAATTATCTCCTTTGTCCACAATACCAACTTCATCTGAGCTTGCAACGATGTAAATACCATGTTTCACCATCACTCTATGAAGGTGAAAATCAGTTCATACACATTTCCATACAACTATTTCATATCTTCTCTTTACTTTACAATACATCTTTTGTTACACTTGGTAATTCCCAGGGGATTCCTGTGGGAATAGTCCTTCAGTATCGTTCATACATATAAGGACATCAGTCTTGTGGTCAAGTGAGATAGACCTCTCATCCTATGAAAAAGCTGAATGTTGAGAAAACTTCACACTGAAGAAATATTCATCTCTAATCATGTCATTGTAAATGAAATACACAGTATTCAAACTTTGTTTTCCAACTGTAATATGTACATACTGTCCAGATGAATGGCATTACCCACAGCACATTTATCAGACAAGCAGCAACTGTTGGTTGAAGTATTTACCCTCAGGCTCCTATGTCTAGGAACACAGATATATATACTACCCATCAAAAGTTTGGACTCACCTAAAACACTCACTAAATGTTATGTATATATATATATATACGGTTACATCGAAGATGATTTTCTCCACTAACTTGGGAGAACCAAATGCAAACTTTATGCAGATGAATTGTACGAGGATCATGCATCAAATAGGTAAAAAGCATGTGCAAATATCGTTCATGTGAACAGCTGTGTTTCGGGGTAAAGTTCTGTTAAGAATTGGCCAATTTTTACTGATTTTCATCATTTACTGAACACATGACAATAATCTTTTCAACGTTATGAATTTGTTGTACAATACATTCATTCCTGTGTAAACAGTACCTTTAAACTGAATGGAATATTTTGCAAAATCAAGGTTAGAACAGTTGACTGAAGTAAGTGGCTACATATACACTAGTGAGTCTAAACTCTTGATGGGTAGTAACATTTACAGCTAAATGTTTACTTCATGTGCATTAGCTTACCCGTACTAAGTTGTCAACTGCTACCTTCACAGCTTTTACAGGATGGGCCAGATCAGGCATGGCATTTCCATCTTCAGCCTCTTCATGGAGGATAACCAGTCTTGAAACCTAAATGGATACACAAAAAATAGTCTGATAAGGCTAAAACATCAACATGATGAACTGATGAACATGGTGAAATGACGTTGAACAACATAGACTGCGTGAGTGATTTGTTTAACACATCTTGAAACACTATTCCAGTTATATCACCAGTATGCCAATGACTGTGTGAGTGATTTGTTTAACACATCTTTGGACACAATTCCAGTTATATCACTAGTATGCCAAATCACTCACGCAGTCATTGGCATATTGGTGATATAACTTGAACAGTGTTCCAAGATGTCTTAAACAAATCACTCATGCAGTCATTGGCATACTGGTGATATAACATGAATAGCCACTGGCCCACTAACCTGTGGCTAGTAAAAATCCAATCGGGCCAGTAAATCTCCACAGTCAATGGCCCGACTGGCTAGTGAATTTTCAGGGGGGTCATTTTGTAAATTTATCTCCAACTTGTTGAATTATAATACACTTTTAAATCATGCAAGATTATGATATGGTAAAAATGTTCATCATATTAGCAGTTTAACGATGACTTATTTGAGCATAAAACAAAATATTTCAGACATGTGTTTTCATATTTGTTTTTGATTGTATTTTACCTTTTTGTAATCTGTTGCTTAGATTCTACATTCAAATTTCTGGCTAGTGAATTATTTTGTACGCTAGTGACTTTCAGGCATAGCTAGCCCGACTGGCAGGCAAAATTAGGAAACTATTTCGCACACTGTGCATGAGTGAGTGATTTTTTTTAACACATCTTGGAACGCTATTCCAGTCATATCACTAAAACTCCAATTAGTCATATTTTGGCACTGACTGGTTTGTATTCGCTGCTATGTGTTTTTAATTTATTTTTCTATTTGTATTAAAAGTCTTCTTGCTGTAACCAAGAAATGTCACCAGAAATAGGAGTTGTACTGGAGTCTGGGGGGAAAGCTTCTTTGAGCTTGTTGAAGGCTTCATTGTGTTCATGGTTCCAATCCCATGCAGTGTCTTTCCTCGTGAGTTGACGTAGTGGTTCACACAAATCAGAGAGTTCCTTCAGGAATTTGAAGAGATAGTTGACCATGCCAAGTAGTCTTTGCATTCCTTGGACATCGGTTGGCTTTGGCATGTCAATTATTGCTTGAATCTTGCAAGGATATGGTTTTAGTCCATCTGAAGACAAGAGATGTCCTATGAAGGCAACTTCTTTTGTGCGAAGCTCGAGTTTGTCTGGGTTGAAACAAATATTCTTCATTCAAACAACTTGTGAGATGTTCGTCATGGTTGCATACAGCTTCCTCAACAGTATCACGTTCCCTAATCACAAGTATGTCATCAGTGATCCTCAAAGTCCCTTCAATACCATGGTGTGCCTGATCTATGAGATACTGAAAGATCTCAGGAGCAAGTGAGATTCCAAATGGCCAAATGGAAGTCACAGACAGCAGTACCGACCAAATGGAGTTCCGACTGTTGTCAAAAAGCTAGAGTCCTCATCCAGGGCCAAGTGCCAGAAACACTCGTTGCAGGTCACATTTAGAGAAAACCTTTACCTTGGAGATATCAGGAAGAAGGTCATCAATCACAGGCAGGGGATAATGACTTCTTTTTAGAGCAGTATTGAGAGGCTTGGGATCAATGCATATCCTTAACCAACCTGTGGGGTTCTTGACAAGAACTAGGCCTGATACCCAATCCATTGGCACATCGACTTGCTGGATGACACCCTTTTGTTCAAGATCATGAAGTTCATCTTTTAACTTGTTTCATGGAGTGTGGCATCCTCTGTAGTGCTTGCTTCACTGGAGTAATTGAAGGATCAACTTCTAGTTTCTGTTCTCCTTCCAGGAGTCCTATGGTTGCATCGCTGAACACATCTTGGTACTTGTCGAGATTGTCTGTCTTTGAAACATAGTCTCCTATCACTGTGGTCTGGAGAATATTTTCATACATGACTTTGAGAAACTACATGATAGTCTTGTTGTACATGTGTAACTTGATATTGGAGTCTTCAAGCTTGGTATTTGCAGGTAAGTCAGACTTTGAGATAACATTGGAGGTTGCCCCACAGTCAATCTGAAACTTTTTGAGAGAGCTATCCACTTCAAGGTGAGTGAGGATTTTGTCTTTGCATTCTTCCACACTGTTCACAGATTCTACTAGATCTAAAGTCATTACTTCTTCATCTGAAGTGTCACTGAGCTGTTTAACATGTTTAGACTTTCCTTTGGAAGTTGGTTTGACTTTGCAGTGTTTAGAAAAGTGAGACATCTTACCACAGTTGTGACATTTCTTGCCAAAGGCTGGACAAGAATCTCTCTCACTTGCTTGCTTAGTACCACAGTACTTGCAGTCGAATCTTAGAGTTACAGGTTTAAGCTTACTCGACTTCTGTTTTTTTGGAACGTCCTTGGGCAAGGTGAATTTCTATATTTCCAGACATGGCAAGAAGTTGAGCAGATGTTGACTCAGATGCTCTAAGTAATGGTTAGATTATGAGCGCCCGTTGTCTAATTGTTGAAATGGTTAGTTAGAGCATGAGGCCGAAGATTAGACAACAGGGCACGAATGATCTAACTAACTTAGAGCATAGTAAGCAAATACATTATGAATTTTAATTATTTAAAATGATGGTAAATCTTTGTTATATGTAAGGGACTATTTTCATATGAATTTCAAAATGTACAAGCCCGTTCCGAGACCGTGCTTGCACGTGCACGTCTGAGCGAGGCCTTGGTTGAACGTGTTATGATTTGCACGTGCCTGACGCGGAAACAGTCATGCGCATTAACGTTTGTTCAGAGCACATTTGATGGCTGCGATACAGTAAGCAAGTCGATAGTATGGAGTCAGAAAGTGACATTGAATTATCTCAATGGAAATGTTTGGATGAAAGTTCTATTGTTGATACAGATTGTATTTACGCACCTAAAATTAGTGACATAAGTGATTTAGAAGCAAAATCTCTGGGGAAAAAAAGCTGGATGAAGATATTTCGTCAACAGATGATGCAATACTGTATTCAGCCTCACAAGAATTGGACCATGGGAGGACACCGGACCCTGTGAGTACGAAATCATGATTAGCAGACCAACAGCCTGACACCATTGTTGATAACCTGAAACAAAAATTTATTCCCCAGAAAACAACGGCAAAACCTGGAATGGGCATGTCGGCTGTTTGAAGACTGGAGATGCGCAAGAAATTCTAGAGTTATGAGAGGCGAAACCTCCGGAATGAAACTAAGTTTGATTGTTAATAAGCTACTGGATTGAAATGAGGATGAACTTAATTATTGCTTGTGTGGGTTTTTTAAATTGAAGTTCGGAAGCAGGACGGCACCGAGTACCCACCCAAGACACTTCAACTACTAGTGTTACTTCTTCAAATTGAGATAAATAATTCTGGTCATGACATTCAGTTTTTGTCAGATTCCAGATACTCAGAAATTTGAATAACCTTGAACAATCTTATGCGTGAGCGATCAGCAAAGGGGAGGGACTATACTCGAAGCAAGCAGACATTATCTTTGTGCAGCAAGAGAACAAGTTATGGGATTTGGATCTCCTTGGCTCCTCGAGACCCCAAATATTACTGGATACTATGCTGTACCTTATTGGATTGAATTTCGCCTTGCGTTCCAGAAATGAACACAGAATGCTATGCATGGACCAACTGAAAGTGGGGTCAAATTATCATGGCGAATATCTCCGTTATACTGAGTGCGCAGCAAGTGTAACCAAAGAGGACTTAATGATATCGGCATACCACCAAAGACTGTGACGGCCTATAGTTGCGGCAAAGTCAACAGAAGTATTGTTTCACTCTACCAGAAGTACGTAAGCCTCAGACCGGCTAATGCTCCAGACGCATTCTACCGGAGACCTCTATCGAAGCCTTGTCAAGACCAGTGGTATGCATCCAGCCCAACTGGTCAGAACACCCTTGCGAAAACAGTAAGCCTACTTTGTGCTGCTGCAGGATTTAAAGGTTAGTACAAAGATTTACATAAAATGAAATAAAATAGAATAGCAAATGTTTTGTCATATACTGCATAAAATAATTTTCACAACCCGATTAAGAAGAAATTAGTTACTTAAAAGGCACCTAGTCTACAGATAAAAGATTTCAAAATAAACAGTCAACTGGCAATATAGAAGTGGAAATAGACCACAACATGTCTATTTCAACAAGTTGAGGGGCCATCTCAAACTTTCAGTTTCAGATTTCATGTGATTAAATAGGGTTGTGAAGGGAATCAACAGGTTTTTACGTTGCTGTTGTCAACCTCGCAGTACACATTTTCAGTTTTTTATAACATAATCTTCTGCACTTGACTAGGATTCACTGTCAATTCTGACAAAGGAGCTGTAAATGACTTTAGAAAGTTTGAGATGTCCTATAAACATGCATGTTTGGATGTCGAACTCTGACACAGTTGAAATAGACATGTAATAGTCCATTTCCACTTCCTCACTGATCTGTAAAAGCGACTTTTGTTAACTAATTTCTTATTACATGTACTAGGTGAGTGAGTGAGTATGGTTTTACGCCGCTTTTAGCAATATTCCAGCAATATCACGGTGGAGGACACCAGAAATGTGCTTCACACATTGTACCCATGTGGGGACTCGAACTTGGGTCTTCGGCGTGACGAGCGAACGCTTTAACCACTAGGCTACCCCACCGCCCTCTTATTACTAGGACAGTATTTTAAGCGATATAGGGGCGGGATACCTCAATGGTCATGGGTTTGCATCCTGCGCGGGGAGCTCGGCAACTTTTCTGCGCTGGAGGAGCAGTAAGGTTAAGGGGCAATGCTGTAGTGCCCTGCATTGTAGTATTACCCTTGGTTTGTCAGCACCAGCATCGCTGCTATATAATTGAAAAAAATAATTGAGAGCGGTGTTAAACCCCAATTCAGTGCCACTCACTCAATATGCAATATAATGACATAACATTTGCGCTTTCACGTCTTTTATTGCAGCAAATCGAGAAATTCATTCATTGATATATTTTAATTTGTACTTTAGTACTATACCAATCATTCCTTGCGGGCGACCTGTGCTACCAGACTCTACTAGTTGGGAGTGGATGAACAGTTAATTGCAAATCGGACTGGCCACAGAAGTAACGCAATCCGGGCTTACAAGAGAACCAGCGAGGCTCAGGAAGAAAATGTGAGTCACATTGTCCAGGGGTATTCTGGGAAAAAACGACTAGTCTCGGCGACTTCACAATCAAGAGAGAGTGTATCAACAGATACTGGTGCCTGCGGCTCGGTAAAACTCAAGTTAAAGATAAATATCAACTGACTGTACTGACTGACTGAGTTTGGTTTTACGCCGCTTTTAGCAATATTCCAGCAACATCACGGCGGGGGACACCAGAAATGGGCTTCACACATTGTACCCATGTGGGGATTCGAACCCGGGTCTTTGGCGTGATGAGCAAACACTTTAACAACTAGGCTACCCCACCGCCCCTCAACTGACTGTAAACAAGATCAATCAGGCAGTAAAGTTTCTGGCATTTGATTATATATACAGAACTGTTGTTGTGTCTTTTTTCCAAACGCTATTTCTGGTGGACATGCACCTTTTCCTTTTGCTCAGTAACATGGGTGTACCTTGCATCGAGGATATTCATAAGCAGACAAGCAGTCAAACGATATAACGTTCCCCAAATTTTTGCTTAAAACATAGGTATAGAAAATCTTTATATAAAGAAACAAGGCTTCGTATTCGTGAAGGGGATTTCCTTTGGATTTTGGTCTTCATCAACCAATGCTTGTCATTCGTTGGTTTCACATTAATTTTCGACTCGCTGTGCGCATGCGTAGAGCGTGTAAAAATATCCACTGGTCAACTTCCGGTTTGGTCGTATTAGCGATATTGTAAACACACTCTAAATAAATGCTGTATGAATATTATTTACGCTTGACAACTGTTCCATTTGCCTATGCTTTTCAATAATTGATGTCCTATTTTGGTGGCATTGCATCAGAGATGTGTTTTTTACTTGTGAGAAGGGGATGTGCAGGAAGGACGGTGGACAGGTGGTGGCGAGATGTGTTTATACAAGAGCTTGTTAACAAACGTTAAGCTATTTATTTAACTAATTCCGGTCCCTTCCATTCATAAATGAATTGAGATCAGTTAAATTTGACATAAAACCATAAATTTGTTTTGATTTTTGCTTTCTTTAGAGTGTGTTTACACTATCGGTAAAGCTTACGACCAAACCGGAAGTTGGCCCGTGGATATTTTAACGCGCTCTGCGCATGCGCACAGCGAGTCGAAAATTAATGTGAAACCAACGAATAAGATGCAACTAATCAAGTGTTCCGGCTTGCTGACTTGGTTGAGACATGTCATCGCATCCCAATTGCATAGATCGATGTTCATGCTGTTGATCACTGGATTGTCTGCTACAGACTCGATTATCAACAGACATCCACCATATTGCAAACAATATCATTAAACAACCAGCCAACGAATGAGCAGAGTCCATCAGTGTTTTGATCTTCGGAGGCATTTCAAGCCTACAGTCATGCATGTCAAAATGTGTCATTCATACGCTCATAAAAGTTTTGAAGTGTCACCGACCACTGGTTCAAGTATATATTGGGTTAATTTCACAGCAAAACTTCATATTTTATATACTTATATGACTAGTTGGAGCAGAACCCAAGTTTGCAGATCTGTTCAAAGATGATAAACACAAGAGTAGAATCCCTCCAATCTTTTAACGACCACTAACTGAAAAGTTTACAAAAAATATATCTTAATTTCGTAAGTGAAACAATGAATGCTCAGAACTCTGTGTATATGTCCAAAACATGCTTTTCAACAGAGATAAACTAGAACACACAGTGGATATGTACCACATTACGAAGGTGGGACGTGTTGAACTTCTAGCCTTTATTCACCATCAGCCGGTACGTCTCTAGGCTTTCTACAACAGTACAAGGATGGAATAAACATCGACTTCTGATGATGTGACTCATAAAATCCATTCTTTCTTACCTGCTGTGCAACCGGTTCCAAGATGCTCTCTATTGTCTTCGTATGGAAGACAGGCATATTTGTGGTAATCAATTAAGTTAATTAAATATACAATGCAAATAACGAAGTCTTCCAACAGACTCGACTTCGGTGTTTATTACTGTTATATATATCACACTGCTCATACGATTTCCCACACAACTGCTTAAAGCCCGTTTGTCCAAACGAGAATATGCTCCTCCCCGAGCTAAACATGTTTTGGTTGTTAATCGTGCATTATTGATGTCACAGTGTGAGCAAATATATTTCCTTACCATGGCATGATATAAAACTTAAAACGAAGAAGAAACTTCAAAATCTGAGACTGTTTTTTTTCAAATCGCCATACACTTAATTACTACCTATCATGCCACAGCTTATATTTGCAATAATGTTACCATCAGAAATATATTATATCTTACAACTTACGTGCAGAGATAAAACAGCTCCGCCGGTTTTAGTGTCATTTAATCGATGTTTGAAATTTTATTTTCATTGTCAAAAACAATTATTACATGTACAAGAGAAACTAAGTCATAAAAGGATATTTTATGGTGTTCGTGCGGGTAGGTGTGATTAAAGGAACTGGTTGATGGGTAGCTGGAATAGGTTGAAAAGCTATTTCAGTCGAGATTTCTTGTGTCCAAGGTGAGGATTTTAATCTATTATTTACATTCGTAATACGTCGTAGTGCCAGCAGTATATTAGGTCCGGAAAGTGGTTGGATATGGGCATGGGCTATGCCTAAAAGAACTTTATGAAATAAGATCACTTTTACTGTGCAGTCACGTTGCCTTTACATCTTACGAAGTAAAAGTAAAAGGAAGTCACCGTGTTTGATATTATCACAAAACAGTAAATAAGAACGCGACTGAAATGTCAAACTGTTCCTATGGCCAAATAAGGAAGCAGTTTCTGTACTCGTGCGTTTTCCTGATGAGTAAATTGCGAATGGGACCATAGCCATCAAACTAGAATACGCGAATCTTTGTGTCGGAATAGTTAATTTTGCACTTTATTTACAAAGTGAAAAGGTGACAGAACATACAGCTTTTGAGCAGCGTTACGAAAACACGCTTGTCAGGTTTAAATAGTTATTTATAGTAACACAGTGAGTACCGGCAGTGTCAGACGTAAACGGCATCGCCTCAAAACAGCACAATATACTTCTTGGCAAATACGGTGGTAAAAATAGACATGGTTGAAGGATGGGGACGAACCCAAACCTATCCCTACATTTTGATTTTTGTTCCCTTTCAGTCTTCCATCAGATAAGCATGCATTATATACTGTCCTTTTAGAAGTATGGTTTTTTCTTTCAAAGTTCTGACAAATTTCTGCTCAGGAATATCACTTTTCTGAAACAGGGATTGACTAGTTAAATTCCGTGATATGTGTATAGTTGGACAATATCCTTGACAAATCGACGGACGGTTTTACAAAGGTTTCCACTAGGCATCTGGGGTTCTCAAACAGAATAACATCAATAATTAAATCAAAATGAAATGAAATACGACAGACGATACGACGAAGACAGTTGCTGTACATAGCGACAGGTTTGGTCACTTTATCAGTTGAAAACTAAAAAAACTTCAATCAAAGGATTGACCGATAGTACGTTGATTTATTTATCACTGTTAGCTTGCGCAGTGGATTTATTTTGTCAGAAGTGTTTATATATGTAAGTTTAATTACTAAAGCAGACGGGAATACACCCGCATCTGGATGTCTAGCTATGACTAGACTTGCACAAGTATCGGAGGTAATAATTAATTGTTTAAATGATAATTTCTAAAAACATGATAAATACCAGACTGGGGTTCTTAGACCTATATTTGCCGCTTCGAAGGATAGAATTACTATACACCCATATGAGCTCAGCCTTCAGTACAGTCTTGCAGCAAGGCTATTCTATGACCAACAACATACTTTGTTCAAATGATTAGCCGATAATATGTTGATTGACTTGTCTTTGTTGTCTAACTAAACTGAATATTGTTTAGATAATCGTGGGTATAATATACTTCCCCTCAAAAGATTAGACTCACTAGTGTAAATGTAGCCACTTACTTCAGTCAACTATTCTACACTAGATTTGGCAAAATATTCCATACTGTTAAAAAATGCTGTTTTTAACAGAACAGATGTGTTGTAAAACAAATTCGTAACACATGCACGATATTTGCACATGCTTTTCAGCAATTTGATGCATGGTCCTCTTGCAATTCATCTGCATAAGGTTTGCAGTTGGTTCCCCCAAGTTAGTGGATAAATTCATCTTCGACGGAACCATGTATATATACATAGCATATAGTGAGTGCTTTAAGTGAGTCTAAACTTTTGATGGGTAGTATATCAGCATACAAATTTAGATGATATGTTGATGATATGGCTGACTTTTTGAGTTGGCGATTAGGTCCTGACTGAGTGTGCCCCGGTTGTGACTCAACCAAACAAAAGTACAAGTATCTGTCCTTAACTGTGAACGTGAAATCCTGAATATAACATATGTTACATAATAACTATAGTAATTGCGGCAAACCCGAATCAGCGCATAAGATCCAAAATAACTTGCTACTATACATCACAGTGTTCGCTTTACGCAGAAACCTGCGTTTTCACGCAAATAAATAACAAAAACACAGGAATTAGACACTTCTCTCTAAACTGAATATAATTGATATTCAAATAATTAATAAGAATTGTCACAAATATTTCCACAAAAATAACTTGGGCTATGTTCAATACAGACACGGATTACATATAACAATAACATCATATTATTATATTTCCCATGTAAGTCGTTTTTGTCTTAGCAGTCGACATAATTAGCAGACATAGGTCATTTACAGTTGACTATCGGAAAATCCTTTACTTGTGACGATATTTAGGAAAATCCCGTCCAGGTTAGCGTCTATCCTCTTGTCAACTAACTTGCCCGCCAAAACTTCACTCTTGACATATTATATAGGTCAAATGGACAAGGGAATAATTAATTACAAACACAGTTGAGTTGAGTTAGGCTTTACGTCACATCGGCATTATTCCAACCATATAGTGACGAGAACAAGTCTGCATTAATAATCATTGTAGGTACAGAGTCAAAATGAGTTTTGTTTCAAAAACATATATTCATTACATTGTCATTTAAAGACATAGCACTAAATTTAAAGGCAGGCAATTTGTTAGTGACATTACACAGTTACAATGTATGATACAGATCAACTTCCCTCAGGTAGTTCACTATTAGATGAGCGCTCACGCGGGAGAACAAATCTTTCAGATGTGTTGCATCATAATGTGAGTCCCTTGCAGACGATCAGTCCACACAGTCAGGCAGAATATGCTTGATGGTGAAAACATCGCAAGAGACACACATGGGGGTTCCATCCCCATCAGTTTTCAGCAGATAGTCATGTGTAAACCGACTGTGGCCAATACGACATCGTCGTTAAATTACATCACCACGTCTTGACTGACAACCCAAGTAGGTATAACTAATTGTTGGCTTCAGTTCGTACAGTTGATTTCTTCCCACTTGAGTGTCCCACCTCTTTTGCACGAGGTCCCGAGTATAGCTTTTGATAGTGGGTTTGAAGTCACTGTACGGGATCAGCAGTGGAGATAAGGGCTTGTCAAGAGCTGCTTTAGCTGCAGCATCGGCTTTTGTGTTACCTGCTATGCCGGCGTGACCCGGCAACCCGCAGAGTACGATGTCACTTTGGCCAGTAGAAAGGTCGTTGTAAAGTTCTAAAATGTCCAGAATGATTGGGTGACTTGAAGTAACGTTTTGAAGTGCTTGAAGGCAAGATAATGAATCTGTGAACGATGAAGTTTTTGGAATGATTCTGCTGTTTAATGTAGGTCAAAGCTGAGAAGATATCTTTTGCTTCGGCAGTGAAAATGGAACTGTTGTCGGGAATCCTAGAAGAAACAGTCTTGGATCCAATGACTGTAGCACTGGCAACTTGGCCCTCATCCTTGGATCCGTCTGTGAAAATGGATCTATGGGTGTCATACTTGGAACGTAACTGGTTGTATTCCTGCTGGAACACCAATGGATTTGTTTCAGACTTTTCGAGTTCAGTGAGGGTAAGGTCGACCTGTGGTTTCACCATCTGCCAGGGTGGCGAAGACAGGAGCCAGTAAGGTGCTATGATATTGAGATTAAGTTTAGCTGCAGATATGTGTGGTTGAATTCTGATTTCAAGTGGTGGAACCAGGCTTGGCAGTTTAGGAAACAGGTTTTTATAAAGAGGGTTGAAAACACAATTGTATGCTGGATTGGACTAATTTAGTGATATACTGCAGTGAAAGTTTAATGCGGCGTTGTTCAAGGGAAGGTTCGTTAGCCTCTGCATATAGACTGTCTACCGGAGAGGTCCTAAAAGCTCCCAGGCAGAGCCTTGGTGGTGAATAGAATCTAATTTTTCTAAATTGCTTTTGCAGACTCCACCATAAACAATGGAGCAGTAGTCTAGTTTAGAGCGAACCAAAGATCTGTACAAGTGAAGGAGAGTAGCCTGATCCCCTCCCCGCTCTGTATTTGAAACGACTTTTAGTAAGTCCAGAGCCTTCAAGCACTTGGTTTTCAAATATTTTATGTGTGGTACGAATGTCAGGTGACGGTCGAATATGAGTCCCAGGAATTTGGCCTCTTCTACTACCTTGATGGGAGTACCATCTAAAGACAAGTCTGGATCCTTGTGTGGTTTGTATTTACGACAAAAGTGAATACAATTTGTTTTGGATTTTGAAAACTTAAAGCCATTTCCATTGGCCCATTTTTGGATTTTGTTAAGATAGAGTTGTAGCTGCCTTTCTATTGCGTGCATGTTCTTACCACGACATGAAATGTTGAAATCGTCCACGAAAAGGGACCCATCAACACAACTGTTCAAGACGTTAGTGAGGCTGTTAATTTTGATGCTAAAAAGGGTGACAGACAGGATGCTGCCTTGAGGAACGCCCTGATCTTGGTGGAAATAATCAGACAATGTGGAACCTACCTGTACTTGAAACTATCTGTTGTGTAAAAACTGAGATATGAACTGAGGTAATCTGCCCCTCAATTCAAATTCATGTAAATCTTTTAAGATACCATGTTTCCACTTTGTATTGACTGCTTTTTCTAAATCGAA